TGAGAAGTGCTATGCAAGTTGTTCTATGCGATAGCGCTATGTGACGTCCAACTAGCGATAGCGAGAAGAAATCAAAGGGAGCGAAAGCGAGGAGTAAGGTAAGACAGTGCAAGTGAAATGCTCGATAGCGACTAGATTATAGCTCGACTACCGATAGCAATCCTGACTTTGCGAAGGTCAAACTTAAGAGGGAACTTTAGCGACACACACTTAAAGCAAGTCAAGCGACACGCAATCAAAGAGATTTGGCAAGAGCGGAATTGATTGCACCAAGACTAGGATATAGCGACTAAAGTGACTCTGACACCAGCAAAGGTCCGGGGAAGGGAAGTACTGTACTGTATGTAGGACGGGTCATTTTATCATACTGCGTAAGGGTTCGGAATTGTGTAGGCAAGTATAGTAGCAACACTGGCGAGGGCACGATGTAGCAACAGGTAATAAAACATGCAGTGCTGCAGAACACGAGGACACATGTAATAAGACCTGCGACTGATGAGTAGCGACATTTAAGGAAAAATAACACACCAGTGGAGGTAGGTGGACATAGGCAGGACATGGGAGGACGGAATACCTAGGTGTCAGACCAGGTAGCGTGCTATGGGAGAAAAGTGGTTCCAAAGCGGATAGCTTGGGAGCTGAATAGTGCTGGTGACTAGTGCCTTACTCTTTTCCTCTAGACAAGGCAAAATATGCCTATGACAGTCATATGCACCTAGCGCTGGTATGATTGTCACAGCGGTCTAGTTTGAGTCTGTTTGGTTTATACCATGTCACCTCTAACCATTCATCTGGTTTTCTCCAAAGTCTGACATTTGCAATGTCCAAATTCCCCAAGTCTAGTTTGTGTACAGATAGACTACTAGGTATAGATTGTGTCTAGGCAGACAGCTTATCTACATCTAGATAGGGTCTGGTCATTTTCTCATTTCTACAGTGACTCTGAGAACTGGTGAGGGTACAACAACTCTGCCAAGGTGCAATGCAGAGCAAATGAAAGAAATATATAGCTTTAAGCTCTGGGTGGGAGATAGGTCTACACTCTCTCTAAGTGTTGGTTGAGGTGTGATGCGAATCATTCGACCTGGGGAAGCAGATGGCAGCAGAAAGATGATCCAAAGCATGCTGAATGTGCGCCTAAGGGAGCGCTGTGGTGTTCAAACTCGGGCTAGCCTCACAGAACCCCTTTTTGCTATAGAGGTCAAGCATCCTAGAAGTCCACCTCACATCCATACATCACTCCCTTGCAAAAGCCTCGACTCACTTGACTCTTCCTTGTTGCACAGGACTATATCCGACTTGGCCGATATGGACCTGTTATCTTGGCTGTTCACAGGGAGCCAGGGTTGTCTGTACCAGTCCCATACTTGTCGTTTCAGTCATTGTGCACCTCGGCCGACCATTCTGTCCTGTCGGTACCGAATCCTCCCATGTCCTGCCCATGTCCGCCTATCTCCATTGGTGTGTTTTAAGCTTGTTTTATCGTTACTGAATGAACAGCAGGCTTTATTACATGTATTCCCATGGCCGCAGCACTCGCAAGCCTTATTACATATTGAACCAAATACCCTGCTTTTCGCTACTACTCTCACCTGTGCAATTCCAGACATTCACGCAGTTAGATAAATAGGACTCAGGTTTCGTATTATCTCTTACTTCCCTTCTCTGGACATACCTGCTACCGTTGTAGGAGTCACCTTAGTTAGTCTTGATTGTGCAATTGATCCCTATTTGCTTTTCAACTTGGACATGCCTTAACCACTCTAAGTGCGCACTCTCTAAGGTTTCTATACCTAGGCCTTGTATAAGACTTGGACCACTACCGCAAGTCTAGACTCGGCAACCCATACCTAGTTTTACCTCACTATACCTAGTTATACCTAGACTCTCTTTACCTCGGCCTAGACTTACCTGTTGCTCCCATCGGCATCAGACTCCTCTGCTCACATCAGTATTCATCATTGGTATCTCGCATCAGTGATCATCATTGGTATCTTGCATCGGGTACAGTGTCGGTATCCTGCATCGCATCGGACATTCTCAGACTCGGACCTTTGTTTGGTCGGAACATCTCAGGTCTAAGATCTTAGCTTCTTCCTTTCTCTTCCCTCGCACTATTAGAAGGAAGTGCTTCAATAGCAGTCCCCTTGGGTCGATGTACTGCACTTGCACCCATTAGGATTTAGTAAGTTAGTTGGTATATCTAGCTGACTACTATTTCTTTCACCACAGTGCCTAAGCGCAGGAAAGCGCTGGAGAAGCAGCTCTCAATGCAAGACAAAGTCTAAATGAAGTGGATAATGATTATGACTCTAAAGTGCAGCTCTATACTGGTGCTCCGTGGTAGTAGATGGGTGGTAGAAGGTAAGAGAAGTAGTATAATAATGCCTCCTCAGCTCAACACAAGATGAACCAGAGTAAGGTAAAGCACTATGTAATAGCTACTGGGCCCATAAGAAATGGTGCCATACAGTGTAGGTAATAATGAAAGGTACATGAAATAGTAAAATAGCAAACTAATGTGTACCTGTGGACTGGATGGACAATGGATGGAAGCTCCTGGATGATGGGCGACGCAGAGTGCTTAAGCGTGAGAAAGCGCGCAGGAACGCTGCGGCTCGTGTGGGAAAGTAGCGCGCTGTGGGTATCACAACCTGGCAGGCACATATATAAAAAGTGCTCAGCCAGTATAAGTGAGTCTCAGCTCTGCCTAGCTGCTATACTCGCAGAATGCAAGAGCGTTCGACCCTAAAGGGGAAGCAAGGAAAGCAAGGATCCACAGAATGATGCTGATCAACCCTGGTGAATGATGGTGAAAGTGTGAGAAATGCGCTAAAGGCATGCATGGGAAAGCAAAGTGCGAAAGAGTGTGAAGCGCTGTCTTAATAACCGAGGGTCTTATATAAATACATGTAAGAATGTAATGACACCACAATTACACTGGATAAGACTTCTTGCCAGTCCTCGATTAACACGGTCTATGACTTTTCTTCTTTCGTGGTAGATAATGTGTGAGTTCTTGGGAGGCTCGCTAAACCAATCAGTCAGATTAACTTAGCCGGAGCTTTATTATCTCTGATTGAAACTATGGGATTGTCTAGGATATACCGTCTAGACACTTGAACTGGTTTCCTGAGTATACAGTTAACTGTTGAGAAGCTGGTCTCAAATGTGACTACGTGGACCAAAGCTCGTGTTGGTCAATATACAAATACCTGGTGAGAACGCTGGTCTCACAAATAACAACAATGACCAAAGCTCGTGTTGGTCAGTATACAAATACCTGGTGAGAACACTGGTCTCACAAATAACAACGGTGACCAAAGCTCGTGTTGGTCAGTAAACACTACATGGTGAGAACACTGGTCTCACAAAACTGGGTTTCTATCGCGAGAAACTTATGTAATCTCAAGGGAAACACTTTCCCTGCACTTGTCTGGACAGTTCTTACAAAGGAAATGGGCTTTGTAAGCAGCAATTTGTTCAGACTGAAGCTTCTTAGGTGAGAGTTCAATTTGCTCAAGTGGGAGTTCTTGAATGCAACAAGTGGGAGATCTATTTTTTTTGTGGGAGAATGGGCTCGCCTTATATACATTTTGTGTGGGAATATTATGCAAGTAAAAAGGTGATGTAATGACTTCAGAATGTGAGAAGAATATTCCAAAAACTGGAGCAGAATGTTCTAGCAGGTGCAAAAGAACATTCCAGAATATTCATGGTGGGATAATGACATCATTCTGAGTCATTGGAATGTTCTAGCAAATTCCATGGAACATGACATCATACCCTGTAGGTAGAATTTTATGAAGCATCTGATTAGTCAGAGCATCCTAATAGAAAAGTAAAGTAAAGAAACACTAGAGAAAACAACTCAGAAATAATGGAACAAATAATAGTACACAATACATGGGCTTTTTAGATAGGTTTTTGTTAGGCTTTGAACTTTTCTCTATGGGTTTCTCTAGCCAAAGTGAATAAGCCAAAGGAAAGGCAATACCTTAACCTTCATTTTGCTACTCATATCAACTAGGTCATTATGTGATTCCCATCTCACATATGACTTTTCTTCAAAACATGGTGGATTCATGAATCACTGAGGGAAAACTGAAACTATTGGACCAAGGTTTGATACCAAGGTATGGGTTGACTAGTCTGAGGACTAAGCTAACAGACATTGTCTTTTAGGGGGATACCTAGTAGTCATGTCCATGCATGATTCCCAAATCATGCAGGACAGCGCAGGAAGGTAGTGCAAGCAGTGCACAAGTGAAAAAGACGTGAATTGAGACTGATGAGAGATGACTGATGATGATGATAGGACGAGAAAGGTGGCTGAAGAAAAAGGAGTATGTTCTGCAAATTACCACATTTGGAAGCCAAAACTGCGGTCACAACATCTTTCACTAAATGTAGAATATAAAAATAGCTAAGTTTCAAAAATGCGACATATGTGGCTGTGTATCTGAATATTGATGCTGTGGAGAAGCAACATTTGGGATCCACCATGGGAAGGAGGAGCGGACAGGATTATAGGTCAGGAGAATAATGGCTACCATAGGCGTATGCGAATAACAAGGTTAATAGTGTCAGATACAGGTTTCACTCCTGTGATTAATACAGACTCAAGGAAATAAGGACTTACCATAGCTACACCTCTGCTGGCAGGCTATACACACTTTGCCCGTTCTAGAATGACACCTTATCTTCATTCTTTTGCAGTATTCACAGCCTGGAATTGTCGGTCCAACCGCCCTCATGATACCCAGAATCTGTGGCATAGGGGCTACAATTTGTCATTAGCATTAAGGGATGTGATGTCAGATGTGCAGAAATTACTTACCTAGCAACAACGAACACTGTTTGCAGCATCTCTGACATGATGATACAGAACAATATGCATAGCATGGCTGGTTCTCAGCCACGCATGAATCACACCCAGGTTCTCTCAACTTGAATGGTGAGTATGGCATGGATGAGCGTTAGGAAGGGATGCATTGAAACTTCGGTGTATTCGTGCATACCTCGAGGTAGACTGGTACGCTGCATTCGAGGTACATACCACAAAGACGATTGCTGCAGGACAAGAAGCCCTTCAAGAATTCTCAGAGCTAATGGATGTAAGTTATGTTGGACTTTCTAGCACTTTCTCTTTCAAATCAATTACTTAGAAATATATCAAGAAGTCTGAAGTTGTATGACCCAATAAGAGCTGGTCCTTCCAGAAGAAGCATCTAGTTGCCCACTTGTTTGATGACATCATGGCCAAGGGAGCAACTCGCAATTACAACACTATGCCGAATGAAAAGTGTCACAGTCCCCTAAAGGCATCATATCAAGATCAGACTAATTTCAAAGATGTTGCACCACAAGTTTGTTGTCCAGTTTTTGATTTCATGAGTTCTAGTTTTAATCTAATAGGTTACATGCAGATTTTACACACTGACCATTGGTCTCTTGTTTCCGAGTTCATCCACGGTCGAGTGGACGAACTAGATACATACAACACTCAGATGGCCAAAGACGAGACCGACCCTGATAATAATGTTCCATCCAACTTCCACATCAGATTCGGATCGAAGCAACCGAAAAAGTCACTCGAGATAATCAAGGAACAACATGTCGACAATCCTTCCTTCAGACATTTCTGCACAAAGCTCAACACATTTTAAACACTTTGCCTGCTGTGACACAGCATGTGAATATGTTACTGTTTGACAAAGTAAGTCTGATTTAATCATTTGAACATCAGCACTCGCACACGACTCATCCTGAGAAGATAATAGAGTTTCGATTCCTCAAGGTTAACTACGAGTCACTAGTCGACTTCTGCCAGACCACGGACTACCTTCATTGCAGCCCGAGCTTCCACAATCTTCCCCGATATGACTGTGTCATCGTTAATACCACAACTAGTGTTTTTTGCGCGACTCCTATTCCTCTTCACATGTGTCATTAACAACACACCCTATCCCATCACCCTCGTATGGCCATATGATGCACCAGTTGGAAGGCGTCTCCAGAAGGACAAACACCTGAAGTTTTGGCATGTTAGACAACAACCAAGGGAAACGGCTAGTGAGTTTATCTTAGCAGAATTGATTATTCGAGGAGTCACTCTCGCTCCCGATCCCACTACAGTTGGTGACTTTCTTGTTATGGATACAATAGACGGTGACATCTTTCTGCACATGAAGCAAATGCACCTGGCAGCCGGGCACTGATTGTTTAATTATGTCATTTAATTAGTAGATATTAGTCCTATCTCACAATATCATCTGATCCTGAATGGTACTTCTGAACTTCACTCTTGACGTCTGTTCATTGGCACTACCACTGTCTTTTCGCACTCTCACCACTATTAGTCTGAGCAACAAGCCACTCAAGTTTGGAGGTCCCATCTAAGGATGTTATAATGGGTTGGATCAGACCAAGGCATGCCTCCATCGATTCTGCTTTATTTGATCAGTGCCACACGCCTCCTTCAACTCAGAACCATTGATTCATCTGAACTGTTATGCACTGTAATACCAGTGAGTATAACACAACTGTTCAATCTTGAGCTCATTTGTCACTTCTAGACTTATTAGACTGCTGGTGGTGAAGACATGACCTTGCGGCCGCAAGGTCATGTCAGATGTCAATACTTATGTGAATTTTCAATCCGAAAGTAAGCTTCCTTTTTGACTACAATGACACAGTGGTGCGGTTTAAATTGAACTTCATTTGATACTTGGTGAGCACTTTAGCCAATGATGGCATCTCACTCAAATGTAGCAATCTCTGGTGGTGAAACTTCAAGATGTCAAAAACCCTCACGAGAGGATCAAAGTTTTCGAACACCTCCAGAATCACACAGACGAACCCCAGACATTCACACCCCTAGTGCAACTTCAATTGGGCCATCATCCTCTACTTGACCCACGATTTTCCATTGTCTGGCAGACCGACATAAGTCAATGACACGGTGTCAAGGGTAATTGTATCTAAATTATGATTCAATCTCTACCTTTGGTTGTGAAAAGTTCAAGGTCAATATGTCTCCAAGTAGACTCAGATGTGTCTACCCCAACACAATGCAGTATCATCAAGGTATTCCTAAAGAAAGTCACTATCAATCCAATAAACTTCAGTTATGTACTTCTATTAAGTGTGTTTTTGTCATTTTTTGTCTGCTGTCGACAAACTTATGATAGGGATTTTCAGGCATTCATCAACAGAAAACAGACCAAGCAGACGGCTTGGGTTTTGCCAGACACCCAATTTGTCCATCACGCTTAACATATCAGTACCAGGCATGAACACTCATTTGTCTCTTCACGACATATCCAGGGCATTTTTTATCAAAGATGCTGGCATACAGACCTTGGGCGGAGGCTTAGAACTGTGGCATGGTTACTTCAAGTAAGCTCAGAATCTCTTGGGCAAGATATATTTGACCAATGTATAATAGGCTTGTAAGCCATATATATTTGCGCACTGGACCTCCATGCAGAGTACCTGCAATTCTGACAATCGAACTCATCCACTGGCTGGGCCTCACAAAGATTTGAGGCTTGATTGCCAATGCTAGCAACTCTCAGCTTGAGAACTCCACTGTTAGTAAGGTAGGTTTCAAACTCAATCATATTCATAGCAGCTTCTCTCACAGTGAGTGCAGGAGTGTCTCAAGAAAGCCTGGAGGTGCCAACTAATAAGCTATCTGGACATAATCGGTATTCAAGTTGGATCGAAGGATCGCAATGAGGTCATCCAGCAGAGATGTACATTATCACCCCGGATCAAGGTTATCTTCCTCCCGAATTCTTGCCGTTCATGGTTGAATTCTCTTCCAGGATTGCCTGCCACTCACCAGCACTGGAACCGACAACTCGATCACAGCCGACCAACGCTCTGTAAGTAATACATTCATCTTTGCATGTGCTTAATTGACTGCCATGCAGGCACTAGATTATTTAAATTCACCGTTCTTGCAAGATGCTGGGATCACTGTAACTCCCAAGCCAATCTCAGTCACCAGGTGTGTCCTCCTGACGCCATAATGCATAGGGTAAATGATCTAACTAGCCAACCAGTTTATTGTCCTGGGGGATCCTTAATTACACAAGGGTCACTAATGCCATCAACCGCACTCATGCCAGCAAATCTGGTTTTGTTGGATGAGAGTAATAATGCAGCATCCTCTGGATCATTTAACCATAAGTATGAGTGCTTTCTCATAATCTGAGTCTCACGCCACTCATCTAATGTCACTCAGCATGCACAAATTTACGTGTGTCTAACATTTGGTGTTAGTCGATATAAATACTCACTAGAAAGCACTTAGACTGACTCTCATTATTATGTTGCCAGTCGCTCATCAAGGTTCCAATTACTGTATCCTCCACGCCTAAATAATACCAAGCACCATAGCATGCACTTACCCGAATCACATATAAATTATAGCTGGCATTGTCCTTTCGGTACGAGCACCACTCTGACTTTAACTGCCACTGATCTCATCAATTTGTCTAAAACTTGCTACCATGTCTCAAGAAACTCAACATTGGTATGCCAATGAATCTTTGTCTGATGAGAGGACCACATCCATGCACAGTGTTGTTCAAGGGTCGATTTCTAATCCCATTCAACATCGGGCTGTAGTTGAATCAAGACTGCATCCAGAGGTGAGTTTGAGAGTAAATGATACTACCAGCACTAACAACTGAGGCATTGTCAATGTCTGCAGGGGGTCAAGAGTGCGCAGCTCGAAAACCAGGCCCTGAAGGAAAGACTCCATGCCGTGGAAGAACAGAACAAGGTACTCTCCGCCAATAAGAGACATCGCAAGCAGGACAACACAGTTTCCAAAGATATTCTAGCCTTTGAAGCAGAACTAAAGATCTGCGCGAAACAATATGGCCTCATGATCAATATGTTCCCTCCACCAGCAGCCCTGCTCAAAGTGACACTTCCTAACCCTGTGCCACCGTTCAACACAGCCGCTCGGTATGCCACTACAGGCTTGCAGGAGATCGCAACTCTGGCGGAATTGTACGACACACTCCCTCAGCACCTGCACCACCTGGTGCCGATGAACCGTTTTTCACATGTGGTAATGCATTCTCTCAAATTGTCATACTTTATCTTACTTATTGATACTGCTATCTACAGTTCTCAAAGGTGCTTTGTGCTGGCCATGCCTCTGAGCTGAACAAGCTCAGGAGTGCAGCTGGTCAAATTTTCAATTTACCCCAGCATTACTTCACAATATCACACACTCGTGATATGGAACCCGAAATCCGCCAGCTACTTGGCATCACTGGCAAGGCTAGCAAGTCGTACCCCCTTTTGCCACCTATGTTCCAGGGAATCTCATTGACCGCACTCGCAAAACATTATTTGGTAACTGGCAGCCTATTGCTAAGGTATGTGCTATTCAGCTCATTCAATTTCTATGTTTAATCTATACTCATAAATCAACAGACACTGAGCTGCTGCCTCAAGGGCAGGACATCGCTCTCTAACCAGGGCAAATGACAGGGCGGTGCTCCACCTAATGCAGTTAAGTGGGGTGTTACAGCGGTAACGCCTGGGGCTGTGGCTTGGGCTATCATCACGGTAAGTCCAGGCCTTTATTCATTAAGTGCTCGTCTTGATTGATTCGTTTTCAAACACACGCTCTAATAGAACATATGTCTACTATCACCCGACCAAGAATTTCCTCAAGAAGGCAAGGGGAAGACCTCGTGAATCAACTATGGCACAGTCTTTGCGTTCTTTAAAGAACTTCTCACCTGCGACTGGGAGAAGCCTCGCCTAAAGGGGATCGTCAAGAGTATCAATAACTTCATTTTTGAACGCACTTCTTGCCCTCTCATGATCTTAATACCAGAGATTCTGCTGAAGATCTTCAAGAAGAGATGTGTCTTGCTCGACTTGGATTGGCGGCAGAGGCAAGGGACTCAGAAGATATGTCTGACAATGAAGAAGGGGACAAAAATGCTAGCATTGATAATGTCCTTGCTGAAGCTACAGGCACAATCACTATACATGAACCGGATGAGGTTCCTGTACCTCCTGGGCCTATGATTTCAACAACTGACACCATGACATCAGCTCTCACTGTATCAAGCAACTCCAGCTTAATCACTGGCAGCAGTCCTTGTGTTTATGATGGACCAGTTGATGAAACAGAGGTAGTTGTGATCGAAGAAACTAATATTCAGCCTGTCAAGACAAAGTCTAAGGCTGGTCGATGGCCCAAAAAGTCGGCAGTACTACAGGAAGGGGATGTCATTGATAGCAGACCTGCTGCTGCCCCTCAACGCGGCCACTCGAAGAGATAGGTGGTATCACGATATCACTAACTTGAATATTACTACTCAGATTCCTATTAATTTAATAGCTACATTTTTTTCTTCTGTTGATTTTCTAGTTATAGTTACGATCTACATGCTTTCCACTCACCTTCTGATGTTTTCTCCAATTACAATGACACTTTGCAATCTGCGTGTGGTGATTATGTCAGCATTGCAATGAACATTAGTATGTGTTTTGTTTTCTCTTTTAAACTTGTGATTCATCATTGAAAATGCCTCTAATTCCTGGACCTGGATTCAGACCCAGGACCCATTGAACCTTTTAAATTGTCGCCACTTCTGTCACTTCTGAGAGCTTGCCGGAATTGACATTAAATCTGAATCATCTGAATCATAATGCTTAGACTGATAATTTTCTATTACAGGTCCAGGTCAAATTGACTCATCGCACATCCGCATTCCCTCTCTTCACAATACAGAAGTTCATTCACGACCCTTAAAGTGCTCTGAACTCTGTCTTCACCATCGCTTCCTACGCCAGACTCCCAGACCACACCACAAGCGATCTCATTCAAAAGCAGTGTCAGCAACCTTTGAATCTGGACATGGACAGTGGCAGCGTGTCAGAACTCGAGGACAACCTTGGTGGAAGCTACACTGCTTGCATCGATGAAAGGCACAGCAAAAGTGAAGATGAAACTAACGGAAACAATTTATGCACTTACTCATTCTGGACTGGTTGTAGTGGTGGCGCAGTGTCTCATGAGCATAAAAACTATCTGCAGTAGAGGATTTGGAAGAGGACAAGTCACCTTTGCCCACACCATTGAAGTATCGCACTCATAAGCCTGTTTCACCTCCTCCCTCCTGCAGAGCACCTCAATTTAAAGTCCAGCCTCATGCATCATCAGTGCAATGCTCACGTTCTCCCCCGCCTGCACTTCTTTTACCAATGCCACCTGTGACACCTCCCCGTAAACCCTTTCTTCATGCGCTACCATCTCCCTCGAATTCTATAGCTAAGAAATATGGCCTACTCGAGACTCCCCTGATAACCCTTTCCTTGCTGGCGAGGGCGAAGCAAGCGTATCTAAGGCAGGCGGCTGGGAGAGCAACAATGACGAATTGCCCATTGGAGAAGCACCTGGGTGTGAAAGCACGCCCACTCCAGCACCAGTATTTGAGGAGAAGCCAACGATAACCCATGTCTTGTGCATCTTTCTAGTTCTTGGAACTATCTACCTGCTAACCACTTCATTAGCCAAGGCCAAAAAGCAACCTTCCACAACCCCCAATATCATCTTACCCCTGAAGCCATTGAGGCATCTAAACTGCCAATCGATCATCCAGACTTTGAAGTGGGTTAGGCATGTGCCCCCAGGTTCTTTGCTGACAAGCTTAAGTGCAGACCCTGTGACTGCAGCCAAGCACCTGAGCGTGAAAGTACACCCACTCCAGCACCAGTATCGGAGAAGAAGCCAACAATAACTTACGTCTTGTGCGTCTTTCTAGTTGTCATAATTATCTGCCTGCTGACCACTTCATTAGCCAATTCAGAGGCCACATCACATCCATGAGCCCAACCTCATGCATCATCAGCGCAGCGCTCGCCTTCGCCCCCATCTACACTTTTTCTACCAAAGCCACCCATGACACCTCCGCTCTTCCTTTGTGTGCTACCATCCTCCTTGAATTCTAAAGCTAAGAAATTCTATAGCTTACTCAAGACTCTGACCCTTTCCTCGCTGGCGAGGGTGAAGTAAGCACATCTCTGGCAAGGAATTGCCCATCGGAGAGGTGACACCTGAGCATTGTGAAAGCACACCGACTCTAGCATCATTTGTGAGGAGAAGCTGACAATAATGTATGATTTTGCATTTTCAGATCTACCATTCACTGTTACTGTACCAGCGACCATAAAATCAACTTTTTGTTTGTGAAACTGATTGTAATGTACAACCACATCTGTTGTAATGCGCGACACAAGCAATATTACAATAAAATTATAATGTGCAATGAAAACCTATTATAATTGATAGCTGTGGAAATAACTTGAATTGGCATATGCAACGCAAACCCATTATAATGTGCAAAATGCAAATCACAATTATATTACAAAATCATCGAAAACATGCTAGAATTGGAAATGCAATGAGTATTACAAGTGGAAATGCAAGGATTACGGTGTCATTAAAATCGGTTTCACAAACTGTGGCTTCTATTGCAATGAGTTGCTAATCACGTGTTATATTGGGACTATTACAAAGCATCCTAATCAGTTGAAATAGATTTGTGAGATTTCCGACATATGGTATGATGGACGACGACATGGCGTCGGCACAAACGGCACCTGCAATTTTCAAACTCCACGCTTCGCCTGCCAAATTTCTCCGAGATCGACCAGTCTGACTACGTCAAAATTTCCCACTCTCAAAGGACGTACGTCAGACTGGTCACGACTCACGAGTCTAGCCAGTGGCAGTGATTTCCTTTTTTGTCACACGCACGTGAAAAAAATCGCCACTGACATTGGTTTCTCAAAAGGCTGTAAATTGTTACTACTACTTGTTCAACACTCTGCAGATCTGAATAGTGTTAACCAGGTTGCAGAAAATTCAAAGTGATAAGTCGGTAGCGCCGAACCTTCTCAGTTGCAAGGCCTAAATATATTAAATTTATCAACTATGACTGAGCGTAAAAAGGCTAGGAACTTACCCATCTCGGCAGTTCCCCCAGTGTTGTCCATGTGCCATGCAGCTCAAATCAAGCTCAATATGTCCTCTGGGCATTACCATTGCAGTCTGCGGAGTATAAAATGCATGTCGGAAGGCAGGAGGTACCCAGAATAAGAGCCGACGATTAGGTCCTACCATCCACCCGTCACTTTCCAAGGAAAACGAGGTTGACGTGCAATCATGATGGGAGGTGCGCTCAGTTAACTCGACGGGGTTGCACAGCGTGTGCTTTGGATTCGATGAGAAGCAAATGAAGTGATTTCTATCCAAAGAAGATGTAGAACACTCCTGCAATGGCAGCTTACTAGTTGCATACCAGAGCCGGATAGTGCCATCCACTGAGGCAGACACAATGCGGGTCCCATCCGGCGAGAACGAGACTGACCTGATCCCACCAGTGTGCCCATGGAAGGGCTCGCCAACTGGCTGGCCCGTCGTTCCATCCCACAGCCGCACGGTCTTATCCGATGAACCAGATACAATGCGAGTTCCATCCGGCGAGAACGAGACAGAGTTAACCCAGGTGGTGTGCCCCCGTAAGGGGTCACCGACTAGCTCCCTCGATGATGTTTCCCACAACCGGATGGTCTTGTCATACGAACCGGAGAGGATGCGAGTCCCATCCAGCGAGAATGAGACTGAGTTAACCACACCAGTGTGCCCCCGCAAGGGTTCACCAAGTGGTCGCTGTGTCTCTACTTTCCACAGACGGACAGTCTTATCATCTGAACCAGACACGATGAGAGTCCTATCAGGCGAAAATGAAACGGAGTTGACCCAGGCAGTGTGCCCCCGCAAGGGCTTACCGAGTGGCTGCCGAGTTACTGCATTCCACAGCCGAACAGTGTTATCCGATGAACCAGACACAATGTGAGTGCCCTCCGGTGAAAAAGAGACGGAGTTAACCCAAGCAGTATGCCCTCGCAAGGGCTCGCCAAGTGGCTGCATTTTTACCGCATCCCATAGTTGCAGGGTCTTGTCATGCGAACCAGAGACGATGCGAGTCCCATCCGGCGAGAATGAGATGGAGCTGACCAGACCAGTGTGCCCTCGCAAGGGCTCACCAAGCAGCTGCCCCGTCGCTACATCCCACAGCTGGACAGTCTTATCCGTTGAACCAGTCACGATGCGAGTCCTATCCGGCGAGAATGAGACTGACAGCACTCCCAGCCTATGCCCACTAAGCACATTCTGAACAGCTGCCGAGTCCGACACCACACGAAGAGTGTTCGGAAACATTGCGGTGAATTTGGTAGCTATCGGCGAATTGGCAGGCAAGAAAGGCAGCGCTGATACATACAGGTGCGGCGTGCTGTACAAAATGATGTTGCTGAAGGTTTGAATAAATTGCTGCATGTCCATTGCAGTGGACGAGACATCTTCGTATCCGGAATGGTGCTGTGGTTGCACATGAGTGTTTCGTTTATGTGCGGTAACCATGCGCTTACCTTCAGCCACTGGGTAATGAGCGACAAGGCGGAAACTGCATCACTGGTTGCTTTGATGATACCAACGACCTCGAGCCAAAAGAGCAATCGCTCATGGCAAAAAAATTTGGTTGCTTCCTCCGCGAGCTCTGTGTCAAAGTCCGTTGCCCGGAGGTGCAAAGCCCAAAATCGACAAGAATAGGACAGATGTGGAGGAATGTTGCTTTTAACTCGTTCTTGAAGCTCGGGGTCTTCATGGTTAGGCAGGTACGACGACTTCAATTCACAGATGTTGAAGCGAAGTCCATGTTCCATCGCTCGCAGTGATGCAAATGCAAGATCGCGTTGCACCGCCGACACATCGACAAAAAACTCTCCGCTGCATTCTGGGTCTGTGAGGAACTCGCGGAAGGATGCGTGAAGTCGGATGGGGGTAGATAGATTGGTCGTCCCGCTGAGGAGAGATCCCATGCTTTTTACCACAACCTCCACCCCGTAATGGTCACCTTCATCTGGATAGTGGCGGCGCACGGCATCCATGGAATTTATAGGGAGGGGTTCAGCTGCGCCGAGGATCTGTCCCATCACAGAACGAAACCTAGCTAGCTGCATTTGCTGAAACTCCGCATGTGTATATGTATCCGTTCGCATGATATCTGCCAGAATGAAGTGATACATATCAGACAACAAGTGTACCCGCTTGGCAGGATTGCGGGACACCACAGCATTGAAGGAATCCCTCGGAGATAAGACAGAAAAGGGCGATTTGATGGATTCACAAGCAAGACGCGCCCATTCGAAAAGTCCATCGGCTAGCTCAGCGAGGACTCCAAACTCTGTGTCCCCAAAATCCGACAGACCCTCCAGCTCCACCGATACGTAAGCGTGAATATCGCGTCTAGCGACCTCTGGTGGTATATCATCCATGGATATCCGTAGAATATGCGAAGTACCATCAAACTCAGCGTCAATGTCGCGAAGCGGACGAGAGGTGACGATAAAGCGGACACTGTTTGGGAGTGCCGTAATCAGGGGAATATCCGGGTTTCGAAGTTTACCAGCAAGAATGCGAAGAAGGTCACATCGTGTCTCGACTCCACCGCTCTCATCCAGTGCGTCGATCACGATCACAACTGGTGCCACATTTTGTCCAGAGAGCTTCCCCAGCGGTTCTATAAGAAGCTTCTGCCACTGCTGAATGATATCCCGCGTGTGTTTGAGTGCACTGGCATTCCTGACTGCATCTGACAATGCCCGTCTCATCCCCGGATCAAGTTCAGCTATGTCACGTGCGATGGTGGAGAAAATCTTTTCATGGAAACGGTCTGCATCTTTATGCCGGTCGAAGCCGAAACATGAACTAAGTCCGCCAAGTTGGTTCCACCGGTAGGCAATGGTGTGGGCAATGGCTGATTTGCCAGTCCCAGCAGGGCCTGATAGCCATAGCACTCGCGGAGTATCATATGAACTGCTTTGAATCCATTCTTCGATCTGGGAAAGAATTTCCGTGCGGGTCCCTGGTAGACATTGTTTCCTGGAATCTTGTCCCGCACCCGCAGCATAAGCCATATCACTGAAGTCTAGTATTTCATCTGAAGAGTATTGAGAGGTTGTAAAGTCGGAAACACATCCCGATCCTTACCTGTACAATGGACGTAAATAGCTAAGTTGCGAGAAACTTGATCCCGGAAGGTTTGCATCAGTGTATCCAACACGTCACTGTGTCGTTGAATTATATTATCTGTTTCTGAGACAACATTCTTCCCGACTCTCCTCCCTACAACAAAGGTAGAAGATTGAGAACACGCAAATCTTAATAGTTGTTAGATACTCACAAAAGTCCTTCGTCTCCGAATAATCTCTGATGAAATCTGCACATTCAAGGGTCCGCTGGGCGATCTGTTCAATGATACCATGCATCGACGAAATCTGGCCAAGCGTCTCGTCTTGTGTTATGAAGTTGTAAACTTGATGCAACTTGTTTAAGAGACGAAGTACCGCTTCATCGCGATCCCGTTGAGCGAGAATAATCTGCACGAATCAACTGCTGAGCAGCAGCTGGGAATGAGAGCGAAACCAAGCATACTTTTGATGCAGAAATCAACATCTCCAGTCCCCCTTTTGCATGTGGATGTGCCTATGGAATTGGATCAGTTCAGTTCTGAATGAGAAAAACGCCACATGCATTTGCTAACGTCCTGGCAACACTGTCGAATTTTCTGAGAGTTTGAAGATTCGTAGCCACGTCTGCAACCTTCGAGGATTTAGAGAGTATAGAGACTTATGACGAGATTGAGCACCTACCTCGATGTTCGGAGCGCCTTCACCGTCGACATTCGAGAGAACGGGGTGGAGGTTGCGAGAAAAGTGCTGGTTGTACCATTAATTTCAGTCTTATTCTGCAGTAGGATCACAACTCCGCGTCCTCGTCGACTTACAACAATCTTTTCAGTTAGACCATTCTTATCCTTCCCCAGAAACCGACGGACCAAGTTGCCACGGCGTCGGATCTGTCAGATTTGAACGATACGTGACTCAGTGCAACAAATTCCAGGAGTAACTTTATGCTCATGGCGGCCTACCGAACTTTCACCAGGAATTGCTTCACGGAATCCGAGGGCTTCTGGATCTGGCCACGTATCTCTCATAAAAGGTTGGTGTACATGATCTTCGCTCATTGCGAATATGTGAGGGTCGTAGTGTGGTGTGGACTCCTGTCATGGTCTGAGCGGAGAAGGAATTGCAGAACGACCAACAAGCGCCCGGGGGCAACTCGCCGCACACACTCAAGTTGGTGGGTCAGTCAGCGGTGCGTTATAAGCACGGTCACCAAGGTCAGTTCGAGAAATGCAGTCTGACAATCTTGTTTATGTTTCCCAAGGACGTACTAACATCAGGCCTGAACTTGAAACCGCTTAGCCCGAATCTCACCAATTGAGGCACCACCGCAGTACTGGAAGACGCGACGGGCCTAGTAACTTAGTACTATCCTCATGATTTCCCGACACCTGAAGGAGTTCGACTCCACTGCTTTCCGGATTGCGGATGTACATGCTTTTATCTCTAGTTTGTGCGGAGCTAATCCTCATACGTAGATTAATCCATATGCGAAGACAGCAATGAATATCTTGACTTGCGCTTCCAAGGTTCGCTCCCACCGTGGCGGCATCCTCAGCTTTGCATGTTTATGAAATCATGTCTTGTGTGTGTAGATGATCCTCGATCACCCGGACAAAGATGATGTTCTTTCCTGTCTGCTTGCGAAGGTCTCGGAAGTCTATGCTTTAATGACGGAAATGCAAGAAGTGGCTAAGATTGCATCCACGCTAGAGATATACGGGAAGTTGGCGCGACAGATGCTGGAGTGCGCCGACTTCATCGTCCATTACACAGAGACAAAGCGTGAGTCAATTGTGCTCCACCGTTGCCTAAGGACTTCATGTGACATCTCTGCATAGGGAAACGACTTGGCAAGGACATCTACAAAGAAACAGATGCCGCGATTCAGGGCTATATTAAAGTTCTTGATAGTCTTATGCCACAATTGCGCGAGCAAAAGGCTCATAAGATTGTCACTCTCCACCGTGCAGGTAAGGGTTACAGCAGGCTCGAACTCACACTGAATCCCTGACATTCGCCGTTCTGTGATCTAGCCGAGGATCTGGGCTTCAGCGACATGGTCTATACAGCCTGTGCCGGACTAGATATCTCCAAGTGTTGCCTCTCAGGTACTCGGGAAGACATCCTGTCCAAGATCAAGTCCTGGGTCTACAGTACGGGAGAGGGTGTGCCACGCGTCTTGTGGTTGTCTGGCGCTGCAGACACGGGCAAATCAGCCATTGCCCATACAATAGCCAAGTGGTCTAATGAGCTTGGTGGTCTGGGAGCTTGCTTCTGCTTCGACCGCACATGGGGAACGGACCACCGTGACAAGAAAGTGTTCTCCACGATCGCACGCGATCTGGCTGCTTACGATCCTTTCGTAAGGCGTGCGCTGCGGCGTGCATTTCATGACGACAACACGCTCAAGCATACTACAGACATCGCAAGGCAATGGCAAGAATTCGTGGTCGGACCAGTAGGGATGGTCCCGAAAGCAATTACTTCGCCCTTCCTGATTATCATCGACGGATTGAACGAGAGTGGTGAAGCAAATTCACGGGAACAGATACTTCGCTTGCTTTCGAGCAAGCTGGACGCTACTGATTCCCAGCTATCCGAACTCCCAGACAACTACCGTATTCTCGTCACTTCCCGTCCACTAAAAGACATTCATGATGCCCTGTACGCCGTGGCACATGTTCAACATATTTCCATGGATGATATCCCACCTTCATCCACAGAACGCGATATCCAGCTTTACATCTCCGTCAATCTGGCAGGCCAATTCGACGGTGGTCATTTTAAGACGCTCGCTCAGAAATCTGATGGTGTGTTCGAATGGGCTCGCCTTGCCTGCGAGTATATCAAGGATACGGTCGGGGTGGGCCTGGATCCGATGGTCCGTTTCGAACGTGTACTTGCTGGAACACCTGAAAACCAAGCATATCCATTGGATGTTATGTACAGACACTTCTTAGCAGAAATTATGCCAGAGGATGAGCGTGGGGAAGTTATTCCCATGTTTCGCTCCGTGATGGCGCAAATCCTTGCATTACAGGAACCGCTTCCTATGTCCGCGTTGACTGCAATGCGACTCCATTTTCCATGCGATGCTGACCGTTATGACGTGGTTCGGGTCATCGGGTCATTGGACTCGCTTGTCATCGGGGTTGCAGACTGCCAGATCTCCATACGTCTGCGCCCGTCCTTCTATGACTTCCTCACAGATCATTCACGGAGCCACGACTTCTTCCCCGATGTATCATCGATACAGACAGATCTCGCTTTCGCCTCGCTCGGAGTCATGGAGTGCGGACTTCACTTTAATATCTGCGCTTTAGAGAATTCTTACCTGCCCAATTCTGCTGTCCCTGATTTGCAGACACGAGTAGAGGCGTCTATCCCAGCTGAATTATCGTACTCATGTCGCTTCTGGGGAACACACGTACAAGCTGTGTCCTTCGAACCAGCCCTTGCTAAGGAAGTCGAAGATTTTTCCAGCGGAGAACGCCTGCTCTTCTGGCTGGAAGCACTGGCTCTCATGAAATGTGTTGATAGTTCAGCAGAGTCCCTCTCATCTATCTCAGACTGGCTGAAGGTACGTAACTGGATGTTATTGGGACAAATGGAACCTCACGGATGGTTGTAGGATCATGTCAGATATATGGATATCATTAAGGCCGCCAGGGATGTCCAGGAATTTGTTCGAACTTTCGAAGTCACTATTTTACACAGCACTCCGCATCTATATTTGTCCGCGTTACCGTTTTCTCCGCCAGAGTCGATATTTAGAAAGTTTGCTGCAAAGTTTCCTCGCACTCCCCGGGTCACTGCTGGTCATGTCTCCAAGCGGCCTCTGATGGAAAACGTACTCCACAGCCATGCCCGCATTATGTCGGTTGCAATCTCGCGAGATAGCACACTCATTGTGTGTGGAACCTACGACGGAATAATCCAGGTGTGGGAGAAGGACAAGACACTGGGTGCTCTTCTCCGAGGGCACATTGGCACAGTTTGGTCCGTCACAATCTCACCAGACGGAACACGCATTGTGTCGGGTTCAAACGACAAGACAGTCCGGGTGTGGGATGTGGGAACTCACAAGGCAGTGGGGTTCCCCTTCCAAGGGCACAATGATGCCATTCGGTCTGTCGCCATCTCACTAGACGGAACATTTATTGTGTCTGGTTCAAACGATAAGACGATCCAGATGTGGGATGTGAAGACTTCTGGGGCATTGTGTGACCCTCTACGGGGGCACACCGACTTCGTTCTATCTGTTGCGATTTCATCGGACGGAAACCGCATCGTTTCCGGTTCAGCCGACTGTACGATCCGGCTGTGGGATGCGAAGACTGGTGATACGTTGTGTGGTCCTCTACGAGGGCACACTGACTGGGTTCAATCTGTCGCACTCTCGCCAGATGGAAATCTCATCGTGTCTGGTTCAGGTGACATGACGATCCGGGTGTGGCATGCAATTACTGGAAAGGCATTGGGTATCCCTCTCCAAGGGCATACTGACGATGTTCTGTCTGTTGCAATCTCGCCAGATAGAAAATACATCATTTCTGGTTCAGCCGACAATACAATCCGGATGTGGGATACAAAGACTTTTAAGGCAGTTGGTGCTCCTCTTCGAGGGCACACTGACTACGTTCGGTCTGTTGCAATCTCGTTGGATGGACAACACATCGTGTCTGGTTCAGACGACACGAGAATCTGGGAGTGGAATATGGAACGTTTCAATCAACAAGCCTTCGAAGCACCTGCGACATATTCATTCTCTAACCTGATTCCCACTTTCTATCCCGCCCCCTCTCTTCCCCAAGTTTCTCGCACCCCAACTTTCCTCACTAAGGACGGATGGCTTGTAGGTCCCGAAGGACGGCTTCTCTTGTCAATCCCGCACCATTTCTACCCTTACATTGTTCACGACACTCTGGTGATATCCAATGATTCATTCCAACTGGATTTGAGCCGTGTCACACATGGCACATTATGGCACAATTGTCGGGAACAGGAAGCTGCATCGTGATCTCTCTCTTAGGTTGCGCCATGAGATATGTGACGGTCATACAATACAAAGCTGAGTCCATCCTGCACAAGTTACAATACAGAGTCTGGGTAATGCCATACTGTGACTTACGTTTAACTCGAGGTAGACACGATGTTCTCTGCTTCCAATATATAACGTATCAGATCCTTCAAACCTTTCACCTCGAGCATAATACTCTCGTCCGGCTGTACTTCTCGCGATTCTAACCTTTTCAAAGTGCTGCTAAGCCACATACGGAGAGATTGGAGCTCGCTGAGCGAGGTGTCTTGTGGCATGTGCATCCTGGTGCGCATGACAAGAGCTCCAAGAATCTCAATGCCATCATCCAGAACATCGTAGTCATTGTGCGACTGATCGTAAGGGCGACTAGCGACACACCATGCCATCCTCGTCAGGTCCCACCATTGTTTGCCCGTGATGGCGCCGAGGTGGGAAGCGGCCTGCCCTCGGTGAGCAACTTGGATGCGGAGGAAGAATCCGGTAAGGTAGAAGAGGAAAGGAGAAGGTTGATCACGAAAGTCGGGAATAATACTGATACACTTTTGGATATGACCATCTTCATTTAAGCGACGAAGACAGCTGGAACGATTTGCAAGACAGAAGACGAGACGGAGATAATAGAGACTACCATCGGCGTCGAAGCGGTCTGGAAAGGCTGCGGTGAGGAGAGTCGGGAAGAACTCGGAGAGCACCATGCTTTGTAATGATGCATCAACTCCGTCAGCAAAGATCGTAGCCAGATCTTGTCTCATACTACAGGTTATGCGCAATGTAGTGAGGCGTTGGGGGGGTTGACCCATGTGGAAAATGACTGCACGGCAGTAATCAGTATACCTCTCGGGAATGTCAACCTTGGGTACAGGCAAAACACGCAACACAAGAAGCTGGATTTCAAGCAGCGGGGAGGACGCTAGAGGGCTACCCTTGGGCCATGTAGTCAAGTTGAGCAGCTTGATTATATCACTGAACTGGACATGGTCTTTATCGTGTTCGTTCTCCACGGTGTCTGTGTAATCGACGAATGAATGGACAGCCTTCAGGACAGCTTGCGAGAAGGGTTCCTGGAAGGGGAGACTGAGCTCGTTGTCGAGAGCTTGATAGGCTGTATGAAGTGCGATATGACGCCACCTAGTACGCCACTGATCATTCTGATCATCGGTGATGTTCAAATATCGAGTGATGCTGCCTTGACTGAGGTACGATGAGCTCTTCAGGACGCCACTGAGTAAGAGGAGAGCGTTTCCCGCTGCCTCAAAATCTTTGGTAGCAAGGAATTGCTCTATGCAGGCCATAAGCCACTCGACCTCCGGCAGATCGAGTTCCAGTCCAAATTTACCATCCCAAATGGATTTGTCATAATCTGGAACAGTGAATTTGACCATGCGACCCAGAGCAGTACGTATGTCTGCTTGGTAACTCAGCTGCAATGCTTCATCACCACTCTCCAGCGTTCGGTGATACGTCCCTCGACACTGTTTAAGTGCCTGAGGAAGATACAGGGGGCGCCATAATCGCCAGAAATTCCAGCTCTCTGTGCTTTCACAAAGCATAACCTTCGCGCCTACGTCACTCCAAGAGAATTGGATCAACGCTGTCCCATACGCCAGTGCGCCATCTTCAAGTATTAGTTTGCCTTGATCGAAGCATGCCCCGAACATGCCTCGCACTTCCTTGCATAACTTCGTAACGTCCACATTTATTCGTGTCTCCGACATGCTGGGCATGAACTCAAGTGCCGCCCTGACGGCATCAGGGTTGGTTGAAGTCCTCAGCATCCACTCCATCGCATCCGCGATGGAAACTTTACTCCGGAGATTGGTGTGCGTAGCCGAGGAGAGGCGCGTCTGGAATGGACAATTGGGATCTACCAGAGATGCCACGAAGGTGGCGAGATAAAAGATGAAGCCGCAAGCAGTCGCTGAGATGATGAGGATAGAGATGGTTCGCTGCTGCGTCCACACCCAAGGTCCAAGGGACAACCCGAACAGAAACAACGAGGCCTTGAGAAGGTTTGCGAATGACTGCAGCACACCTTCAAAATACCATGTCTCTAGCCCTTCAAGTTTACTTTGCCTCTGCATGCATCGCTGTTCAAGTGAACCATCGCCATAGCGGTGTGTCTTATAGTAATTTAACCATTGCTTGCCCAGGACAGCACCAAAGGCAGCAAGAAGACTGAGCGAGAGGCTCATATACGAGACCGCCTGTATCCAAAAGTTGGAATAGTAGCTGGTGGAAGATGAAAGGATCGCTGGCTGTGCTGCAGAGGGACCTTGTAGTGTGATCTGGATAAGTTGCACTAAAAGAGCGTTGGTGGTATCAAGAGGATTCGGTTGCATTGCAATTATGAAGGCAGTATTGGCGGCGGAGAACAAACCAGCCTTTACAATGGACTCATTCAATCGGATGTGCGTCGAGGAAAAGACGAGATTTCACATACAAAGATCAGTATTATATCCATATTGCCATTACACCTTTCCAACATGTTATCATCGGATTCACCAGACACTTTTTTGTACGCAGCCCAAAATTTAGAACGCAGATCCTTTCCTCTTTCCTCCGCAATTGTTGAAGTCTGGAGGATGTCGACAATCTGCTGGAGAAAGTCGAGAATACTTGGACCAATGTCAATTCCTACCCGCAATCACGCCGCAATGAAAACTCACCTAGAGTCCTTGCTTGTTGGAACATTGCTACTGTTTTTGTTTGAATCCATGTTGAAGGGTTAAAAAAGCAATATTAGCGAAGCGGACAACGGATGGGCTGGAAGAGAAAGAACACACGAAGTAGCGCTGGTCCGGAGTGTCATTACATACTGCAACGTTGATACTCCTAACTCAATATTCAATCCTAACTTGTAAGTTAACCTCTACCGTAACTCTGAGGCTGTCAAGCACAACGACCAGGCCCGAGGCCCAAGTCATCCATTATTTGCCAACCCGCTTTTTTGTGGGGACACTCTATTGTATCAAATCATGGCTCGCTTGCATCGAGTCTCGATATATTCCTTCATCCTTATTTCAATCTATCTACTGGTGTTGTTTGAGGTCCTGCCCATACCACTCATTGACGCCAGTGTAGCCCAAGAGATTCTTCCTGTTGTGCGTTCTTTTCACGAGCTTACTGGCACGAACGCCTTAAATCACGCTCCAATACCATAAATTAGATTCCGTGGTGGCTCTTGGTGTCATTCGGGTCGTATTCCCTCTGGAGTCTCGGCTGGGGGGTGTTTACATTCCGTGACTGTCCCGAGGCCTATCACGAGCTGCTGCAGGTAAGCGCTGTACGAATTTCTCAAAGACTTATGCGTTAATGGTCGTCTGTCCGACATGCAGGAAATCAATGAAGCCAAAAACGATCTCCGAAGTCGGGCTGTCACTGTCGACTGAGGTGTCTCCTTCGCTTATTTCTTACACCTTTGTTTGAGACTCGCCTCAATTACGCACTCAAATACCAGTCCCACGAATCTCAGCACTATTTAATTCTCCATTGATACAACGGTGAGGGTCGAGCCCGCCCTCCCTTCTTCCTTCACTTCACCATCCCTACCACAGTCCCGATCTAGTACGTCATAGATAGGCTGTGTGTGTCCTTACATCTTTTGCACTTCATAGCTAATTTCTCTTGTTTCACAGGGGCCAGTGAAGATATGATTTTGGCTCGCGAACGTCCCTTGATGGGTGCGGGACAAATTCAGCTCTCCATAGAACGATTTCTCAGAGGCACTATATTATACACAAAACCAACACGTGCATGGGGAGGTTGCAACTGAGTTCGTTTTGTGCAACGCAGTCGATTGTCGCTATTTTAAGTCGCATACAGGTGTGTCTTCGATGTTGACCTAAACTGAGATCACCTCCCTTGTATCTCGCAGCCAATGCTGATCTTCTGGTGCGTCACACATTTCTCATTCCATCCCATGCATTCATCCCTTCCGAAGACTCCATCCTCCCAATCGAACTGATAACGAGGAACATGCGTATGGTTCGATACCGTAAAGTTTTGGAGCGGTCGGAAGGAAGTCTCATAGTGGACAATGCCATGGGCATGTGGCGCAACTTCATTGGGGTGAAATCACAAATAGATCTGGAAGCATGTTGAAACTCTGTCTCATTCTTCACTCGGGAACCCCATTCCCAATTATGGCATGTGCCATCTTACAGATTCCTGTATCAATCTGCTTTATGTGGACGAGAACGCGTTACTTCCTTCAGTCTACTTTCATATCATGATCACGCGGATATCAAATCCATCTTATCTTCGAAGAAGCGTACGTCGGAAATGACCGGTTTGATCAAAAGAAGTTGAGCCTTCTTTGTAGAAACGTAAGTCCCTCCAAAGTGGCTGCGTGTTTCAAGGACTGATGGTGTTTTGAACGTTAAGCAAGAATAAAGGACTGACGCAGTGAGTACACGCGAGTGCCCGAATCAACTTTGTGTTGATCAAATCTAATTATACAGTACTAGGTGGTCTGAATTGGGTACTTGTTTTCAGTTTGGCCACAACTGTCACTTTTATCAACTTCCGTGTGGTCGACTTTAAATCAGCCAGTGAAACACTCCATCACGATCACAATCAAGCTAAGCAGCATGTTATCGCCAATATTTACGCCCGCATCTTGATGAGTTCCTAGTTCATTCATAAGAGATAAGAAAATTGCATAATGTATGCGCGAAACCCGTTTCTTTTACCTCTCGAACAAAAGCAGATGGAACCTTCGCCTGACGATGTGCAAGTCGCAGCGGCCTGGAGTCTGCATTACTTAGCTGTGCGTCGCTTTCTTAATGCGAGGGTAGGATAATAACAGATACTCATATCATGTGCGGCCACCAGTGCATATGCAGTGCGTGTAGTCTGAATTGCTTCTCCCCGTTCTAACTTGACAACTCAGCGACGCTAGCTACACTTTGGGTAGGCTTGTCCCAATCTATTTCTGTCTGTCGTTAAACCTGTTTATCCAGATCTATGATTATCTTATTTTACTTCACAAAGAGGTAAGTCATGCACTTGTTCCGCCATACGCCTCGCTTTGGATATTGATAATATGTTGTTCAAAGTGGACATTCCTGCTTCGGTCGCGCTGGACTAAGGTAAAGCCCTTTATGCCATTGCACGATATGTCCCCTTTTTCTTCATCGCCACGGACCTACATTGTGCGTTCATTCCAAGCAGTGAGCACATCCCCCTGATAATGAACTGACATGCTATGCTTCAGTGACCTTCGCCCCGAACGAGAATCCCGATGTATGTGAGCGTGCAGCGGACTTACCCACTGATGAATGACGCTTACTGCACGACTCCGCCAGAAATGCCGGATGTTGATCGATATTTACTCATGTACGTGCACGGTATATGTTGCCTGCACTTCCTGGCCGAGCGCTGCTCTTTCCTCTCACAGGTTTTGGAGCGATATCACTCACTTGCTCTGAATGTATTTCTCCTTTCCCTGCGACATATACATGCTCTTGATTTGATTCGTTCAGGCGTTTTTGTACTCGAAACATATGCGCTTTGGAACAACAATCGAATCGTACTCGTAGCCACGCTGTCCGCCCTTCTTGTGAGTCCCATGCCCTGACCACACCCAAGCTTGTAGTTGCAACGTTGATGAATCACTCAGGCTATCATCGTATCATTCATCTGCATTTGGTTTACAGCTGTTGCCACCTCTCATGGTTTGTACTCTCACCTTCCCCCACTGCTATTCGCACGTATTCAATTCCACTTTCACAGTTACGACTAGCACGATCCCAGGCACCACAGGCTGCTACCGGAACTCGCGCAGTGTCGATTTCTCCATGCCGTTTCTTCTCTTGTTTGTGTTTGCACTGGGTATGTCGCCGGGAACTGAAAACATATATCACAGACATGCGCTGGCCAACGCTCTCCTCAGGATTGGTCTCCCTCACACTCATACGTGTCACACAGAGCTACCGGACAGCCAAGGGCTCTCTGCAAGCCGTCCTGGCGAAGCATAATATATTCTACTATACATGTAGTTTGTGTGAGTCAGGGTTTACATACGTTTCCGTGCTTATCAGTGATGATTATTGTTCGGAAAGTTCTCAGCCGTGAACGTCCTCATGCCAATGCAGTTTTCCCACGTTGTGAGTAAACTGCATACCCTTCAATAGGATTGAACCGTTGAACTTTATACCCAGCGCGCATACAACTCCGTCTTCGAACAGTGTGTACTTCCAACTTCCGCTGAGAATTCCTACTGACAAACGCCCTAAACACCCTATAGTTTGCAGGTCTTTATCCTTGCGATCCTCGCCACGCGCATGCACCTCCATCTCTGGCATAGCGACCGGCACGTGCACGGCTCTGATACCCTCGTATATGTTTCCAAGTCCAACATGCCACCTACAGACTGTACGGTGTAACGTCTTATGGTGTGGCTTATTCGGCGTTGTTGGTAGTCTTAAGTGAGGTTCGGACTCTTTTGGACTACAAGATGACTGGTCCGGGTGCTTTAGGACGTGCTTAACTTTTTGAAATAAATTTTTGTCGGGAAAAAGGATCCGACGGACCACAGTGCCGCGCTGTCACTCACTCTTCCTTCATAGACTCCATCGGAAGGCTGTTTCAGCTCTCAGTCTGAGCCGCCACCCAGAAATCCAGAACTCCTCCTTCAATATTACGTCGACCGGGGCAAGATTCGTGGTCATTGGGATAGTGTAAGTAATTATGACAGCGATGTGTGAATACTGACACACATACGGCGATGTTGCACTACAATTTCTCTCATGTCAACTACTTCATTTCATTCCCTTCAGTGACATATGATTGTGTTTCCCCTCTTTTAGTCAATGGCACGCACGAAATTGCTAACAATGTCGTTGTCAGCTGCGCTCGCTCTCTCACTGGCAGCATAGCGCCAGGAAACACTGTAACAGGTACTCGATGATCTCGCAAGAGACAGCTCTGGCTCTACCCCTCACGTATGAGCTTACACTCGACACTTGTAGATCGACCACCTTCAGAATTTCGAACTGATGGGAACAGCCGCTCAATTCACTTTCGCAAAAACGCCATAACATCACGATTTCGTATGCCTATTCTGCCACGACTTCGGCGTGTTTGTTACATGCGCTGGATACATCAAGGATACGATGCTGTGAGCATTGCTAGAATCTTCGCCGAGGACAACAAGACACATATATTGCTAGATTGAACCGGTCACTCAGTGGTGGTGCGGGCGACACAAAAACAGTCAAGATTTTCTTGTTCCGTCACGTCAACATCGCTTAACTCATTTTCCTCCATGGAGCCAAACCTCAAAGTCTCTCTCCCATCAGCCGGCGCTAAGGTACTGTCCAGCATGGGGCCCCGCCCCGCCGGACAATAAACAACGATTTTTTCAAAAAAAAAAAAGCCGGCGCTTAACCCTCATGATATTCTTAACTTGTATCCGTATAATAACGATATGTATGAGACAAGCCAAGATGCTCATATTTTCACATCTCCCAGACAGTAGATTCTCGCCGTGGCTTAAATTATTCAGCAACAAGGTCTCTATTGCATGCACAGGGGGCTGCAGGCAGATCGTCACCACCGCGTCAAATTATCACCACGATGTGACAACGAGCTCGAATACACCGTTGTCGTGCCTATATGTTTCTACTGGACATGATTCTTTCGAGTTGATTTTATTCGCCTTGTTTCGCTGACATCAACGTTGCTTACTGTCGACGAGCTGTCGTCGCAAGATTGAATTTTGATTTACGGGAGTTACGACGCATTCAAGACCTTGTGCGATCTCTGACCAGCCAGGTACCACCTGGACCTGGTATGCTCTATTGTCGACGTGAAACCTCTGCTAAATTGGGGCTGTCACTAACAGTAGTAGGCCGCTGTAGACCATCGTCCTTGTGGTTCAGCCACATCATTAGAAAAATGTCTCACTCTGAAGTGTAGTAAAAGCTTACAGGCAACAATGAATAAAAAAACTACACCCACGCAGTTGGTGTGGATCGTGCGTTGTCAATACCCACACCTGCAATAGGTATATAAGCTCACGAACAGCTCACGACAAAATAAGTTACAAACCCACTCACCACTCAATACCTCCATTAGACCTGCCTATTGACTCATAGCAAGAGTAGCTTACTGTGTGCCGCAAGCCATTTTGACAATAATTATCTGTTCATACCTGTCAAAGCACGGCCTCTCGCCAAAGGTAGATATCGTCGAAGTATAACCACGAACTTAGCTTGTGCCACAGCCTAAAGGACATCAGCAGGCCCAGCACTATCAAGCTTCATCATCCTCGCTGGGCAACTCCATGTTGCAATGGCAATATGGGACTGCCCAGCGATGGTAGGTGAATGAAGTGGGCGCCGCGGTAAGGACCGCACACAGCATGCACAACTATGTCTTTACATAAACTGCTGCTTCTGGTCGATGGTCTAGTACTTTTTCGAAGGCAGGTGTCATATCGTGTCATATCGTACAACCGACAACTTACTATGTGTATGGCACATGACATAAGTAAGCGTTATGAGGACTGGCCTTGCGCTGATGTCGACGAGCACCTTCAATTTTCGGGGCTCGTCGTCGTGTAGCATCAATCTAGAATGTAGATAGTCAAAATCACGCAAAGGGTCAAGGGCTAATTAACATACAGCTGTGCTGAATAGCTTCTTAACATTCTGTGGTGAACGACGATCAGTGGATAAAGACTGTTTAAGAACTCGATGCAGTGGCGTACCCCCTGGAAGGATGAGCAGACTTGTCATCAGAGTGATGACATTGAAGACGAGATGCATTTAACCTTACATTGTCAGGCAGAAGGTCATTGACATACCATGTATATATGCAGAGGTCAGTGTTAACGGTGGCGAGGAATTTTCCATCCGCAAAGGCCGCATCTCGCCCAGCCTTCATGGCGCCTCTTTCAATAGTATCGCTGCCTCAGTTTCAGCGTAACTTCAATGTATATCTGATCAGGCGAGATTTTCCAAGTAATGACAGCCTGATCTCAACGGTCATTCAAAAGCCGGCGGTATTCGGAATCGAAACCCCCATGCGTTGTTAGAATATGAGGTACGTATACGTGCTGAGAGGCGAGGTTAGTGCGAGCTGAGATGAAATGAATGCCGCAAACTGAAAGTGCGAGGAGGGTGAGAGCGAGCCAAGCCAAAGTCCAGCGCTTGTTAAGTGCTTAGGTATATATCAGGGGCGTACGTGCCTGTCCGTGCCCCGGAGCATTCGCAGAGACGGAGAAGTGGAAGAGACACGCGTGTCCCCTCTCCTAAATAGTATGCCCATATATAGGGTATCCGCCCTGAATTGACAATGATTGGATTTAAATTAAAAGGGCGTGCGTACTGCGTCGCTGAAGCTGTGTGTGTACACATGTATTGCATAAATCAGCGCACGGCATTGTTTGCGTGCTGCCGCATCTGTAAAATATCTCATAGTTGTATATTGATGACATGAGACTCGGACGCATTCCTGCTAGCTGAAAACAAGGGACATATCGACCAGACCTTCAGTCACATGCAAATACCCGAGGTGAATATTTTACTTACACGAAATCAAGCAATGCACATAGTATCACGTAATGAGTTTCAGCGAAGGAGTTACTACTGCTCGCTTGTCATGCATATGTCACAGTAGTTCAAACGAACAGAAGCAAAATGTGGTTAGCGAGACGAAGGATTTCACCCTAATTAATACGGAAATGTGTTAGTTACTTCGTGGTGGAACCAAAATCGGAGTACGATGTCGGGGTTGTCCACAGGTCACAGACTCAGGAGAATCAGCCTCATCAAATATTGTGGCCGTGGAATCTGGGAACTAGGCCTGAAACCAGGGACCACGCGGCTGCACGGTATCAGCCGGTGAATAATGATAGGCTGAGATGCAAATTGGAAGGATAATCAATTTTCCCTGGTTGAAAATGGACGGGCCACGTCGACGGAGTAGTGAATCATGTTGTCAATGAGAGACCTCCTCCTAGAAGTGCAAATGGCACTAACAAATATTCAATGGAAACTGGCCTGGCAGCGCCCCTTGCGAGTGTGTGTGAATTCATTTCGCAAATTTCCGTGGATATTGCTCAGGATGATCGAACGTCGTCTCGTCGATCATTGTGAAAATACTCCACAGCTCGTCGCTGTGGACGACGACCAAACGTAAAACCCTCACGTTTATCTGACTGTCTCACTCACTTTTTCGCTCTTGTATTCTCAAGACCTTACACATTAATAGTCTCCGACTATTTGCTCCCACTTGAGAACTCTCAGCTGCTGGCAGAATGTCACGTACTAGCTCAGCATTTGAAACGGCCAGCACTTCATCGCCGCTATTTACATCCTCTTTCCCTGGTCCTCCTACCAGTACCGACAGTGATGGCAGTAACAGTGCCGAACCTAGCTTAACCTCGAGCGCTGCCTTATACCGTGAGTCAGATTGATCGTTATGGTTCAACCATTTCTCACACTGCTCTCTAACGTTTCTCTCACTACTGTGCTTTTGACCTCCTACTCGTGTGCTTGTTGTACACTCACCCGTTCCCCTGGTTCCGTAAATTTATCGCCTGGATTATTCAACCTCCCCGAACCGGTTTGATTACCTGTGCATCAAATTGCATTGCCCTAAACTCACCCCCATAATACCAAAATGATCACTTCGCCTTTCGTAGTTTACACCTTTCTTGGTGCGTGCCTCTTATTTCTTGCTTCCACTACCATTGACGTTCTTCATTCGCAATGTCCACTCAATATACTCCGGCTTCTATGTCATATACGGCGCTAATAGCTACACTTGTCGTTCTCCTTGCTGTCTCATCCGCTATTGTTGTTCGCAGCCTCGTGCTTCGACGACGCCACCAACGCATCGTAGAAGAGGCTATCCGAGCAGGCACATGGCACCCTCACCAACCATATGACTCCAGAGGGAGTCGCAGACGAAGAGACATCGGAAAGAAACCCAAGTTGTGGGAGGCATGGCTCCGCAGTAGTGATGAAGAGGGCCCATTTGACGGTAAATGTGCTTGGGATGACATAATGGTATACTTCTCTCGCGCAGAATGTCCCCCAAATGATGTTGCTAACTCCATGTCACAGCCCGTCTACGCCGCTCATATTAAATCTGCTCCAACTCCACGATCCCCTAGGCCAGAGCCACCCCAAATCCGATCTGACGCGTCGTCTCGCACGATGCGCTTCCTACGACCTTTCCATACACCATTTTCACCAGCACTAGCGACATCATCTCCGATTGTCCCTTCAACACCTGTATCTTCATCTCCGTCAATATCGGCACCACCTGCCGTAAGCGTAGCTGTCCTCATTGCAATGCCCACACAAAAGCATGCACGGGAGGCAGACGGACCACCTGTCATTGAGCTTGGTGTTGTCGACGTCCCTCTCCGGGACACGAGCCTAAGCGGTGACCAGCCATAACAGGCACACACTGCTTCTGGGCGATGCATGTATACCTATTGTTTTTTTAGTCCTTGTACTTAATACTACAACATATTACGTCAACATGTCGCATAGATGTTATGTACTTACCGACCGCCATACAGACATACCATTACTTACGTAGGCGTTGATCCGTCCGTTCGTCCTTAACATAGCTTTCTTGATCAAAGTAGCGTGTTAATGCTTTCTGGGATGGTCGCCGTGGTGTGCTCGCAGCAATCGAATTCTGGTCTGATTGAGAAGGGTAAAGTTCATGAATCCAAACGATCATATTTCTGGACTGACTTATTGGTGACTGACTGCCCGAGTGCCGTTATCTTATCATTGTACTTACATGCTTCAGCCTCGAGGACGGGGCGCTGATGGCCTGTCAATGCTAGTTGAAATGATCTACGCCTCGTGTAAGTCCGAGAATTTCAATGATGTCAACGTCCTCATTTCATCTTGCCAATGAACTGGCTCAAGTCAGGCTCGCCCGCGGTGAGCTGTCTACCAATTGCAAATTTTATTCAAGAGTAGTAGTTCTAATTAAAGCCCGACCTGGACGGTGGCCTATTAACCTCCGTTATCAAGTTAATCAAACAAAACCGGCAACCGTTACTGCCAGCCCTGCCATTGTCACTCAGTTCTAAGGAAGCTTGGAAGCCTGACAGGAATGGGCTTGCGCTGGGACGACAGACTTGAGAAGATCAGTTTCGCAAGTCTCTCGCACCAGCGCAAGCCCGGCGGTTGTCATAAGGCTTACTTACTATGTCCTGTAGGCTATGGCATGTACATGGTAAGTGATCGGTTGTATGATAACACTCACCTGCGAAAAAAGAACTAGAACATCGGCATTAATGCCAACCTTCGGAAGCAGCAGTTCTTGCAGACTCGGGCATAGGCTTGCATGCTGTGTGTGGTTCCTTGCTACGGCGCCTAATACCTCCACCTACCCTCGCTGGGCAATTCCGTGTTGCGATTGCATCAAGGAACTTCCAGCGAGGATAATGAAGGACAGGGCTGGGCTCGCGGTGACACGGGCATACAGTGGATCTACTGCGTGCATGTCCCGGCGCAAGGCCGGTACTCACAAGGCTGTGGCACACAGTAAGTCATTGGTTGTGAGATATGACAAACTAGATATCTACCTTCGAAAAAAGGCACCAGAACATCGGGGGCAGTTGCTGGCCTGGGGTGTTCTAACTTCTCACATGGCGATGCTGTGTCCAGGTTCCTCGCCGTGCCCAGCTTCTCCACCTACCCCCGCTGGGCAGTTCCGTGTTGCGATTGCATCATGGAACTTCCAGCGAGGATAATGAAGGACTGGACTTGCGCTGACACGAGCAGTCAATCTAAATGACGACTAGTAGAAGCAGCAATATTGCGCAGAGGTAGTTGCGCGTGCTGCTTCCTATTCCGTGCCACTGCGCCGGATACCACCGTGACTGGTAACGATAGTAATAACTGACAGGACGGTCCTTGGTTTATTTGCTGCAGCAGATGGTCCTCCCCAGCGAGAATCACGGAGCCTGGCAAGGCGAGGCACAGACAGGCACAGACAGGCATCTACGAAGAGGCGCTAAGTTACACCTCGCTGCGAGCCAATTGCCAGGTCTGATATGGAAAGGCAGGTACTATCAAGGAGTTCTAGTTGGGGTGAGTGGGCTCGCAACTAATGTTTTCGTAAGCTGTTCCGAGTGACCTTATATATATACCTATGGCAGGTGTGGGCGTTGACCACACACGATTCACACCAACTGCGTTGGTGTATTGGTATTGTCTTCTATTCATTGTTGGCTGGAAGCGTTTGCCACACGCGAGAGTGAGACATTTGCTAATAATGAAGCACAATGATGAATCGATGATGGCCTACAGTGGACCCAAATTTGCAGAGGTTTCATATCGACAATAGAGCATCATCCTTGTACGATTTCAGACAAGGTTCACAAGGTGATACCCGGCTGATCAGAAATCGCACGATATTTGTCTCAATCTCGCAAGTATAGTCTTGGTCATCGATAGCAATAGATCAGAATTCAATAAATCGGGAAGATAGTACTTAGAACATTGGTTTTTGGCTAGCTTCGAAGTAAACGGCGTACGACGAACGGGATTGGCAGTACCAAATTGACAAGGGCAGACACAGGCCTCAGCGAGTTCTGAGGCGAGTCTCAAGCAAGGGCGCAGAAAAAAATAAGACTTATGACGCACCAAAAACTAGCCTCTGCACTCAACAAATAGTATGCGCAGCGTAGGCAGGAAATTGCATAGTGAAGCGTATGCCGGGAAATATCCTGGGACCTCATCAGCCATGGGAACGTCTCGTTTGGAATCCTTAAACTTGGTATCGTGTTCACAGCAGCGTCCTCTTCCTTATAGCCTGTCGGCCTTCTTCGCATCGCTTCCTGACGTTCCGATACTCGATGCGACGTCGGGTTGGATGCAGATAAAAACCTATACAGCCGAAGGAGTCGAAAAGGCTCACTCACTGGCAGTACATTACATCATTATAGCAGATAATGTGGTATTATTGTCGTCAGATTGCAAGGAAGCGGTAAGTGGGTGTGTTCGCGGCGCAATAAAATTGTGGAACATCGACATGAGCAAGGCCATTAGAAATGGACATGATGGCGGTAGACAGTGATAAACTGGAATCCAGACAGAGGGACTCCAGTGTGCTCAGACATTAGAACTCCACAAACATGTAGAATCAGTTGTCTGGGCATGAAGGGCGGCTGGGTTGGTTGCTAGACGTTCCGGATAATTTCAGCATGCCACTTGGTGCAAGCATGGGTGGGCAGTTCGCTGACTTCCAGCAGCGATAAGTTCCCGCTACCTTCAGGTGGCTGGGTTTTGTCGACCGTTCTGATTCAAAATAACACTTTTGTCGAGGATTTTACGCCGTTTTACGGTCACGTGATCTTCGGGTTCCGCCGGATTCCTTCCCGCACGGTGCTGTTTCCCTCTAGCAGTGTTCTTGTTCTCTCAATGACGCGCTGCGTGTCTCTTAAAACAAATCGGATTTGCGGAGGCCCAAAAACGAGACCTTCGGTGTGAAACGTACGACAACTCTTACAAAAGCAAAAACTACACAACATCGAAGAATGCAAAGTTCGAAGAAAGATACAGATCCAGTTGTGTGTGTGGTTCATGCCGGCCCAGCGACAGTGAGTGTGTGCTACAAATGTGGATGGGGTTGATACATGGACAAGTGTTGGTGGTATGCGGACCCAGAAATATGGTGATGTGGGGCCGTGGTGTTATAGTCTCAGCGGGAGGAGGATGCTCGAACTTCTGGGCAGCCGTTCTTACTTGCTCGTCCAGTGATTTCTCCGCGTCCCTCGCGCTGGCGCTGAATCGCATCGAAAAGTGGCTTGACACCGCGGGTCGCCTCAGGGTATGCTTCCAGAAATACTCCCTCGTCCCGCTGCAGCCTGTCGAAGCCTGTGATGAGTTGCAAGCAACCAAGCGCCGCTCTTGAACCCACAATCGGCGTGAAAGGCTACTCACCGGTAGAACTCGACAGCGATCACCTTGCAGGATGTTCCGCTTCACGCCAGTGACCGTGCGCATGGGGCCAGTGTACCACTCTTCGGGCCAATCCTTAAGTGCCTTGCCGCCGATGGATGCAGCAGGGTCTTCCCACTGCTTCACGGCAGTGCACCACGCCTCTGGTCCACGTGGGAGGTCTGGGATGCCGACGCCAGGGATGGGAGCTGCCTTTTTTGCTGCAGCGCTATGCCGGTGGCTGTTGGAGGGTGGCACCTGTGGTGTAGGAATGGCGCGAGGCGAGGGACAAGAGGTCGAGTCCATGGGAACCGGGGCGGGTGTTGTAGAAGGAGCTGTGGCCTGATGGCACAGGGTTGGCTGTAGATACTGGGAGGAAGAGACTGAGGTCGAAATCAAGATTGGAGGTTGTGATGGTGGCGGCGATGGTGAGGAATACGAGGATGAGGCTGGAGCAAGTGTTAGTTTGTTTAGGACTTCCTCGGCGCTACACACTCTTCACTTCGACATCTCTTTCCGATTCAGACCCGAAACCTAGGATTGCAAGACTGATCAAGCTAAGCCGGTCTTCGCCGCGTGCGCTGAGGTCGATATAAGGTTGTGATTGATGGTCAGACAAAAGATAATGGAGAAGAGATAGATCCCCAAATACGCATGCTTGGGGTGCTAAGCCCGAATCGGGTGACAGCGAGTGGGATATGAGACTTGAACTCGGATACAAAGGATGAAGATCAGGCTCCGGGGAGAAATCCAGTGGTCCAAGTGATACAGGGACCATCGTTATGATAAAACGTCTGGGTCACTGTCGGGTCACTTATAACAGTAGAGCAGCAATAACCGTTGCCAGTTACCGCATCGACCACCAGACGGGACCTATCTCGTCCTCGCGTGAAGACCGCGAAACGAAAATATGGGGCCACAGAAGAACTGGAAAAGGACAGGTAAGCAGATGAGTTAAAAAGCAACGACGAGCTACAAACCACGCCGACATCAGTTTCGGGGTGCTTTTCAACTATAGAACCGAACACCCTGTCCCAGTTTGGCCTGCCGAAATGAGTGGGAGCACGCAAAGAAGGGATAGCGTCTTTCTCTGCACCGACATCTTGGACCTAAGGAAAATACAATTAGTACGGAGACCACTGAGAAAAATGGGTACCGCGCACTATAATGTTGTTCATGTCATCCTCCTTGATCTTTGCAGTGAGGTAGATGTTGATCCTGCTCTTCGATAGCCTGCAGTAGTGAATGGAACCACTCGGCGCTGCCAAAGTCGCGGATGACCCAAGTGAAGTAGACCTTGGAGAGACGGGTAGGCTTGGAGTTGTTCAGGTTGTCCATGCGGTACCAGATCGACTTTGGAATACTGAATGGATATGGTTAATGTCGTCATCGAGTAAATGAGAGATGTGATACGCACGAAGCGAAGGGTGTGACACCAATACCAGCACCAACAAGGTAAACAGTCTCGTAATTTAAGAATTCCTCACTGGCACTACCAAACGGACCGTCAACCATTGATACGAGGGAGCACCCGGTTGAACGGCGGATTTGCGTTCGTGCCAATAACCTTTCCACCACTGGCGTTGACATCCTTGGAATCCTTAGAGTCAAAGTTACAGCCGACAGCCTTGGCGAGCGCAGCGGTGAAGTCACCGACGACACGGATGTGCACAGAATATAATCTTCCTCAGGAGCGCTGTGGCATTATAAAGATGTATTGCCCTGCCCGCGTAGTGGTCTTCTCCTTTTTGATTTGATTTCAATGACTTGGATGTGGCGGGAGTGATGGTAGACTGTGGGCATTATGGAGGCCAGGACTGACGGTATAGGTCCCATTGGAACTCCGAGCAAGCGGATAACCAGTAGCTTTAGATGCCAGGGCACTTGAGCGACTTAGACTGAAAGAAATCGTGTCAACTATAGAAAAATATGAAAAGAACCATAAACGTACCGAGCATTAACCTCAATGCCACAGTATTCCTTGACATTGGGGTCCTACTGCCCCATATTTTGCCCCAACCAAGTGTTTTCAGTCGTGGGCGAAGAATACTCCTCTGGCGCATGTCCAGTATTGTCTGAGCTGTGGGATGAAGCCGGAGTATCCGTAGAAGTGAAAGAACGTTCTGAGTGGAGATGTATTATATACGAGCCTAACGCCATAGGCTGCAATCGAGCCTGGCGAATTAAGTCAAGGAAGAGGGAGACGCCCTGCCGAGACTACAAGGAGATCAGACGACAGTAACGAAGAAAGACAACAAAATAAGCTAACTCTTTGAACGTGAGCCTTGAACCGAGCGAGTCCATGGCTCTCAATCCGTTTCGTCATTCCCCAGCCGAACTTGGAGGAAGTTCATTGTCTGAACATGTGTAGCCCGATATTAGCCCCGCGGAGGCTTGAAATCGAGGAACTCACTCTTCTGACTTATTAGAGCTCCTCGCATTTGCTTCGAATGTCTGTATCGCAAACGTGCGATGCCTGTGAAGGACTGCGTGGTGCATACATATCCTCTAATGAACGTTCCTCTGGCTGCAACCTGGCTGTTTTCAGGGTGGGGGGCGTTCTTGAGTAGGTCATGTGCTTGGGCGGACCGTATCAGTCTTTCAACTAGGGCTCGGTCGTCTATGACAAGTGCTTGGACGCGCGAGACGAATGCTTGGACGCTGAATGTGCCTTTTGTTTGGTCTGGGGGTGGAGGACTAGTTGCTGAAGTAGGAGTAGGAGGAGGTTGCAAGTGATTGGCGAAACAGGAACCGAGACCACCAAGAGTGAATGCAGACCGAAGGTTGACGGGATAGCCTATTTGCTCCGCTGCATCCAAAGCGGCATTGACATTAGATGCAGCTGTGGACTGGCGAGCACCATTCACTCATACTAAGCCGCAGTAATGAACAAGACCGCGATAGAACTGAGTTGTATGGGGTGGTGTCGAGGGCCGTTGGTGTTGAACAAATTGTGCGGCTAGATCTAGTCTTAGTGCGGGACAAAGAGCAACGCGATTGTGACAAACGGTCACACTGCCTCGTTAGGGCAGCCCCTGGTCTGAGTGTGAGGCGCGTTGCAACATTTAATGAAAGGGTAAGAACTACACACCTCTAGGAACATTCAGAGTAGCAGAAACCGTAGTGAGAATGTAAGGCTACATTTAAAGCAAAATTTTGAGGGAAGGGAACCAGAAATGCAAATTTTCGCCACGCTGCGCGCCGCATTTTACAAGAAAAGAACGGAAAAGTCGGGGTAAAGTGCCCGCCGCACTTTATTTTACCGTAAGATCTTGGGATTTTACGGGTGGCTGAGAGCTCCGGCGGCGGAATTTTACATGGATAGAGCGGGCGGGCGCACGAGCTCATTTTCACCATACAATTAAGCAAATTCAAACATGTATATTGCATGGGTGCACGGCACGTATATACAGCTGTACATTATGGACAGAGAAAAAAACATAAACTATGCCATCTTTCTGCGTGTGCGCACGTGAAATTTCGACGGAATCGCGTAGCAACAACAGCGCGAGGTTGAATGGACGCGACACGGCGACACAAGGGGCCCGGCGAGCTCCGTTGGTGAGTGGTTTCTGTGCTTGCGAGTGGTCCTCAAGTGCAGGTACAGGCGCGGTGCATCCTGTAATGCGAAGACGAACGGAACGGGAGCTGCAGATCTGCGCGTTATAGTACTGGTAAGTACTATGCGTCGCGTTGCTGATGTGTCAGCGGGGTCACGTGCTTTGGCGTTTTACACGCCTGTGGTAAAATGAGGCAATAAAACCAACTTTTCTGTTAGGATGCTCTGACTAATCAGATGCTTCATAAAATTGTACCTACAGGATATGATGTCATAATGATGTCATAGGACTTCACCCACACTTCTGCTGGTATTTTGTTGAAAGATATGATATCATAGTGATGTCATAATGATGTCATGTTCCATGGAATTTGCTAGAACATTCCAATGACTCATAATGACTCAGAGTGACTCAGAATGATGTCATTATCCCACCATGAATATTCTGGAATGTTCTTTTGCAGCTGCTAGAACATTCTGCTCCAGTTTTTGGGATATTCTTCTCACATTCTGAAGACATTACATCACCTTTTTACTTACATAATATTCCCACACAAAATGTATATAAGGAGAGCCCATTCTCCCCCAAAAAATAGATCTCCCACTTGTTGCATTCAAGAATCTCCCACTTGAGCCAATTGAACCCTCACCTAAGAAGCTTCAGTCTGAACAAATTGCTGCTTACAAAGCCCATTTCCTTTGTAAGAACTGTCCAGACAAGTGCAGGGAAAGTGTTTCCCTTGAGATTACATAAGTTTCTCACGATAGAAACCCAGTTTTGTGAGACCAGTGTTCTCACCACGTAGTGTCTACTGACCAACATGAGCTTTGGTCACCGTTGTTATTTGTGAGACCAGCATTCTCACCAGGTATTTGTATACAACATGAGCTTTGGTCATTGTTGTTATTTGTGAGACCAGCGTTCTCACCAGGTATTTGTATACTGACCAACACAAGCTTTGGTCATTGTTATTATTTGTGAGACCAGCGTTCTCACCAGGTATTTGTATATTGACCAACACGAGCTTTGGTCAACGTAGTCACATTTGAGACCAGCTTCTCAACAGTTTATTGTATATTCAGGAAACCAATTCAAGTGTCTAGACAGTATATCCTAGACAATCCCATAGTTTCAATCAGAGATAATAAAGCTCCGGCTAAGTTAATCTAACTGATTGGTTTAGCGAGCCTCCCAAGAACTCACACATTATCTACCACGAAAGAAGAAAAGTCGTAGACCGTGTTAATCGAGGACTGGCAAGAAGTCTTATCCAGTGTAATTGTGGTGTCATTACATTCTTACACGTATTTATATAAGACCCTTGGTTATTAAGACAGCGATTGGACCAATGATGGTCTCAATGCTGAGTGAGAGAGGAGTGATGTTGAGGGTGTTGTGTGCGGCGGCTTGTTGAGGGCGTTGTGTGTGGCAGCTTCAGTGGTGGTTTGCAAAGTATCACGTCACCTGACTCACCTGGAACTTTGCATTCTAGATTCTCAAACATGCCACTCTGTATTTCTCGCGGGCAACTGCCCAACCTTTCCATGGTCATCCCTGCCATGGACCACATTGACACCACCTTCACAAACAGCATGATCAACAGAGATCTTCTTCATCCTGTGATACGCGTTGCTTTGGGACTGGCAAAAAAGACTCTGAACCAATACTACTCACTTACCGATGCCTCAGAAGTATACCGGATCGCAATGGGTAAGTTTTTTGTGCTTTGCAGAAATAACCTGTCACTAACTATCACTTCCTTACAGTTCTTCACCCGTGGCACAAGCTAGAATATTTCAAGTGTGCTGGATGGAAGCCTGAGTGGATTGAAACAGCTAAGGACATTGTTCATGAGCAATACCTTCAGTCATATCAATCGCACCGCACCGTTCTTGAGCCTCAAGTCTCTATGCCAATGGTCAAAAAAAAGGTATGTTGTAATCTGTTTGTTTTGCAGTTTTCATGGTATATATTGATCATACATTCTAGGATGACGACTCTGCTAATATATTTGACAGCCTGCCAGCACTGTCCAAGTTGAAGGAGAAGACTACATACCATGAACTCGACATGTACTTACAGGCCAATGTCGAGGACATCGACAATGCTGTTCATTGGTGGCACGAGCATCGTGCAATGTATCCCAACTTGTCTCACATGGCTATGGACTATCTCACCATTCCAGGTGAGTCCTATTTTTTTCGCCCAGTGTTTAGTACTTAATATCTACAGCTACATCTGTTGATGTTGAATGGACATTCAGTCGTGGGCATCTCTTACTGTCTCACGTGCGTAGTCGACTGTCGGCTCAATCCACGCATGCTCTCTTGTGTTTGGGTACCTGGTTGCTGATGGGTCTTGTCAAGGACAACGACATCAAGGCAGTTGTTGTTTTACCTGAGGTTGTAGGTGATGAGAAGGCACTTGATGATGGGTGGGATGATATCACTGTGTAGGACTTTACTTTATGTTTGTAGCTATGTCATTGTCAGTTTTTTGATCGCTACCTGCTAAGTACCCGCAGAACCCATGAACACCCTCTGTACCCGCTGTCCGACCCTTACCCTGGTGTATGGGTAAGGGGTTTGCGCGGGTACGGGTACAGGTTGATGCCCAAGTACCCCGGGTTTACCCGTGCAGATCCCTAAGCACCCCACAGAAGTCGGCACTTTTACAAAACTCGTATTTCTAGCTACTTCAACACAAAATTCTTAGCATAGATATCATTCTCTCTCTAATGCAACTTGTTACAAGGTTGAACAACCATGATTGAAGCAGAATTGAGTGAGATAATTGAAAGTGCTGAAGTCGCGCAGAAATGTCACCTGCCAATATGCACCGTGACGGAATTTCAAACTGCACACCCATTTTGGAAGTGCCGACTCGTGCTGGCAGGGTTGCTGGACCCTGTTGGTCATGGCCAGGCCGCATTTGCAAGTCTAGCAGCGAGAGATGGACGGTCGAGGAACTCAGCTGGGCAAGAATCAAAGATTTTCTTGCTGACACTGGAAATCAGCACTTTTCTAACAAACAATGTTTTTCTGCACTCTTCCAGGCGGGAAAAACATGTTTGAAGAATTCAGCCACTGCATCATGCATCATGAGTCAACAGGACCCAAATTTACAACTACAGCACTAATAATGGTCACCCTCGTACTTAGACATATCTACTAGTATATACTATGCTTGCTCGCTCACGCCCAATACTAACTGATCCTCAAGTTGCGCTCTTGCTTGACTGCTGAGCTGACTTTGAAACCAGCCTACTGTATCTGACATGTCATGACTTGCAGTGACATTTGCATGACTCCCGACTTCCATGGGTGCCGATTGCAGTGGAAGGGATAGTACTGATCGCCGGTCCAAACCCCGTCTTCAAATGCCGGTAATCCCATAAACCAGATGTCCTCAAATCAATTCAGAATACTCTTAGTAGCATTCAACCCATTCCTTCACAATCAAATACAAGACTTGCCGTCATATCGGATAAAATCACTCTCCGCTCACCTGTTCTACAAGCTACTAGATGTCCCATAGAGTTCGCGCATTTTCGAGAAAACATATATAACTCTACAACACATCCACATAAAAATATAATTTTTTGATGGATGAATAGCCTGACCTTTAAAGTATGAGGCCCGCTAGTTTTTTCTTTTAAAATTGACGTGTTGAGTCCAGTGGAGACTTACCGTGCAGAAAAGTGCAGTTTTCCCTAGAGTTCGTGTATTTTGTCACACCAAGTCACACGTTTGCTGCCATGCCTTTTCACACTCCGCACCATTTGAAAGTCGTGCACCACAGCAAAGTGTGAAGCATGCACAATTAATAGTTTATTGAACTGACTATGTGACAGTGAGATGATGATACATTGTGTGTACTAGCGTGCACTTGAATAATGAGCTTGTGTAGGTAAATAATCGTGATAATGGTAATGCTGAAGATTATGATAGTGTGTAGTAGCAGGTGTGTGGCCATGATGTAGATTTTGTTGAGGATTGAATGGGTGCTCGTGTCCATGAGGAAGTAAGGTATGTGCACAGGCCTTCTGGATTTTTTCTTCTTGGGCCTGGCGCAGCTGTTTGGACTTGACCATGCAGCTGTTTAGGTGAGCATGGACTTCAATTTGACATTGGTGTTTTTGTGCCACATTTCAGCACAGCGGAGTTTAGATGCATGCAGTCTCATTGTAACGCTTTGGATAGATTGTCACTGTCTAGGTCGTATTTCATTCACAGAGGATAATTCTGACAAGCATGTGGCCATGAAGAAATTTATTTTAGCATTCTATAATCATGTAGAACCATCATATTACATCCAAGATTTTTCCGTGGTGATCTGACCTTTTGAGGGAGTCATTTATGCACAAAACGAGCCTCGAACACCCATAACTCGACCATGGCACAAGATCCACTTCATTTTTTGCCAAAAAAAAATACATGGCCATGTGTATGATGTTGGGAGGAACCTAAGGTAGCGGTCTGGTGGATTACGAACATCACGTGCATGTGACCAAGTGTGACGCTGTGCGGATAAGTATCTCAAAAGTATGCCGAACTCATGCTGAAGCATGGTAAGTAGATTGAAGAATTTGGTACAATGAAGTTAAAGTATATTAAAAGCACGATGCAGCAACAAGTATGAAATGAGTTAAAACACTAGCAGAGAATGTGTATTGTGTGAATTAATGTGCTGATGGGAGGGGATGACAATCAAACTCCTCCATAATGGATTGCGGGAGAACACAATGGCCACGATATTTTTTAATTTCCCACGCGGCTTGCATGCCATTCAAGCCTTTCTGATATGCATCAATAAATCTTGCGGATCTCATAGCAAAGCTAAAGATTGGTCAGCTAATTTCAAGTGGGAGTCCGGACAGAAGCACTCACCGTCGCATTGACTCCATTGGGACGGCATCCAGTGATTCAATAACATTGCGTTCGAGAACTTCTTCTGATGAAGACCGGTCCTTCATTCGATACAGCCATTTTGCAAAGCCTCAACATTGTTCTATAAAATTAAGCTCACAATGAAACTTCGGCAAGAAGATTACATCAAAACCCTGTGCACGACACGAGGTTTCGAGACGTGACTTGATGTTGATGAAATCTGGTTGAATATACATCAGCCGATGACAGCAACATGTGTTCTTGCCATCAGTAGGACACTTGAAATCCTTGCATTCAGCATGGAGCTTGGGGGCATCAACATAGCCATGTTCAACTAAAATCTGGGCCATGCCCTTGAAAAATCCAGGCTTTTGGATGACTGTTGGGAAAATACAGAGATTGGGGATTGCCATTTGGGAGCCTCGCTTCAGGCCATAGGAATTTTCTCCTTCAACAGGTTTTCCATCAGGCCCAAGAACAATGTTACCATTGGTGTCCTTAATTGTACGGGGTACCCCCCAAGTTGCAGAGGGGCTTTTTGGCATCTTTCGAGCAGAAAGTGCATCGTCAGCTCATTTGAGGTGCGTGGTTGCGTTATTGAAAACTAGAACATGGTCCTCGTGTGAATACCACTTTCTAGGATGTCCATTGCCTTTGCAGCATGGGCCAAAATGTCCTCGTTTGTGAAATATCCATCATGTGCCTTCCCTGCCTGGAAGAGGACTCAAGCACTCTCCTCACCATCTGGAGAGTGGAGCCACCCATAATCTGCAGATATGAAATCAGCCACCATCAAAGAAGCCCCCTCCCCTTTCGGTTGAGGGATTCCACCTTCAGAGCTATGCACCCATCTTCGTTTCTGTTGATTGTGGGCATAGAAGGTCGACTTGTCATGAAACCACAGTACAATTCGACGACCTGGTAGTGCTGCATTGGCCTCAGCATCTTCAACAGTATTTTCTCCCTCACACTTCCACTTTGTCATCCGTGTCTGGTAATTATTCCATGCTGGCAGAAAAACATTTTGCCAAAAATAGACAACATCTTCCCACTCGTGACCATCAGAATACTGCCCATTTGGTTCTTTCTTCCAACAGAAACCAAGGTGATTCATCCATCATTGAGCGGTCCTCGGTGAAATTGTCTTTGTGAAACCATGATGTGCCTGATTTTCAGGAATGCTCAGGTACTCGATAAGATCCTGTGCACGCACAAATTTCCCAACAGTCTGAAGATGGAGCTTCAAATCGGCAGCAAGGGACTCGTCACAGATGCGTGAAATTTTTTGTGTCTGCTTGTGAAGGGGAAATGCATTACAGTCCTTGATATAAGCCTTGCTCCAGCTTCACAAGCACCAAGAAAGGTATGTGCCATGTGCTTTCCCAGTGTTACGTGCTGCTTGATCTGCAGCACGCATCCAGAAAACTTCCTGGCAGTATGATCTATCATATACTGTTATTATAGAAGGTAGGTGATACATCCACACCTTTCACTCTTACATGGTGATATATCACGCTGTGGCATATGTTCTACTTGCAAGAGATGTATCAACCCTTACATGGTGATGTATCACGCCGTGGCATATGTTCTACTTGTGAGAGATGTATCAATGTGTCCTGTATATCACATGACTCGGTCTGTCCACTTGTCTCTGATACATCACTGTCTTTCTAGTTGATTTTCTTGTGACCGGTGAGGGTGAGGAATGATAGCTGAATGCTAAAGGGGGGAAGAGTGGGAAGTGGGCTCTCAAGTACTCCTCTGGATACAAGTGAAAAGTCATCCCAAGGGGATTGCTACTGAGAAAGATTCCTCTAGAAAAGATGAGGGGGATCTATAACTGGCAGTTCTGTCTAGAGACCTGAATGAGACACTGATGCAAATAATGCACCCAAACGCGAAGTGCACAGATGAAAGGCGCCTAAACGCGCCAGGTAAAGCGAAAGTGTGGAAAAGCACGTTCTAATGTGAGAGCGCGTTCCACGCGATCTTAACGGAGAGTTCCAGTCGAGATGGCAATCAAATAGAGAGCCAAAAGAAAGGATAGACGTGGCAATAAGCGCTTAAGGGTGTCAAAGCGCCAAATGTGAGGGAAAACTAGTTGATTTAGATGATCACTTGTGCTCTACACTTCGATGATAGTAGAACGGAAGTAAGTAACAGAAAAATGAAACACGCTGACGTGTAAGTATGCTAAGTGAGTTCCCAGGCCTCGGAACCGAGTAGGGAGCACTAAGGTATGTGATGAGGTAAGTCAGGGTCCATAATGAAACATAGTGATAAGTACAAGTGCCTGTGTGATGCCATATGAGTTCTAGTGAAAAGGGCATGCACCAATGGACCTTGGAGGACTAGGACAGGACATGCGGAGGATGGGCGACGGATCCTAAGGAAGTGCAACAAAGTCCGATGTAACGCGCTCAAGCACGCTGGTACACGCCAAAGCACATATGTGCGTAATCAGGAAGGTGCGAACAGGCAGTAGCAAGGGTCCGTCAATGCGAGGATGAGAGAAGGCGAGGCGCTATAAAGGCGACGGCATAGGAGGTGAAACGCGAAAGGCGAAGTGTGACTGTACCAACGTGAAAGACGCGACAGCGTGAAACGTGACAAAGGTGACGAAACACAATGAAACACGACAGAACGCGAAACACGACAAAAGCGACGAAAACACAACGAAATGCGAAACACGACAACGCAAACACACTAAGGCAAAACGCGACAGAACGTGAAACGCGACAAAGCAAACGCGCTAAGGCAAAACACGACAGAAGCGCGTTATTACGGATGCGCAACTGCAGGAATGTGGATACTCAAAATGCGAAAGCGTGTACATGTCGAAACGCGCTAACGCGAAAGTGCGTTTGTCACATTCGAGGTGCATTTCGAATTTAGAGGGCGCGTTGCAAGGATATCGAGTGCATCGTGAAAAGGCGTGAATTTGGCCCATATGAGCCTGGAGAAACACAAGTCTCTACACCGGCTGATACATCACTCTCATGTTGTTTTAACACTTTCCAGCAGCTGATATATCACTAGGTCTGTTTATTTTATTTGCTTTCTGATCACCTGCAGGCTGATATATCATTAGTGTCTGTCTGCTTTTCCTGTGACCTGCAGGCTGATATATCACTAGGTATGTCTATTTCGTTTGCTGATCTTGTTACCTGCATGCTGATATATCATTCTGTATTTCAGGCCATTGCACTCTTCAATGCAGGTCAGTGCGAAGAAGCAATGTTGCTCATCAACAAACTTGCTGCTGTTTGTCCAAATACTGATGCACTCATGCGTCGTGTCGTAGAAGTATGTACCATGCGCCTATGCTCCGTCATCATTAACGCCTATCTGCTTTTCCAGTGACCTGCAGGCTGATATATCACTATGTATGTCTATTTCGTTTGCTTTTCTTCCTGCGTGCTGATATATCATTAGCGCTCATTTGCTTTCCTCGTGACTTGCAGGCTGATACATCACCAGGTATGTCTGTTTCGTTTGTTTTTCTTCCTGCCCGCTAATATATCATTAGCATCTATCTGTTTTTCCCATGACCTACAGGCTGATACATCACTTGTATTGTTGTAACAGCCTTTCTAGCGGCTGATATATCAGTCTGTCTACTACAGGCTTGTGGTAGTACTTATGTAGCTGATATATCACTTCCGTGTTCTGTCTATCCAGTATTCCATTATATGATATATCAGCCTGTGAGCATAAGACATAGATTATACACCTCTGCCGTAAATGAAATCATATATGCGCTAAAATATCTGTACTATGGTGTACATGTGAGAGGCATGGTGACACTAGCAGGAGTCCATGATGGGACAGCTTCCCACAACAACCTGAAGTGTGTAGACATTCTGTGATGTAGCGTAGCCTGGCGATGTGCATATGTGAGTGCCCCCTCTGTAAATTCATGTGAGACAAATTGGTGTCGTGTGCCTTGTTTATCCCACCATCCAGCCTGCCACTCAAAGAAAGCAAGAACACGGCGCATTTCCTCACGCAAAAGCAGCACTTCCTCCTCCCACCGGTGAGCTCGAGCCCTTGCTTTACACCATTCCACGTGTAGCGCTACAGCATATTAATCAATGTATACATATTATGATTGAAGACTTACAATCCTGTAGTCCCTCCTCCTGATTGTTGGATACCCCGGCCGTTTTCCATATCCACGATATATTCTGTTGGCCGACTGTCTTCCCTTCATCGTGTTTGAGAGGGACTGCGTCCTTTGTCCTGTCTAGTGGCTTCAATATCCACCGCCAATCATCATTCTTACCAAGTTTTGATGCAAGCATTACAAGCACATCTCTGGCGGCAGTGTACTTGACCAATATTGCATCGATTCGGCTTTCAGCCGAATGGATAATACCTTGAGCACGAGTGTTCGCGCACTGACCTTGGACAAAAGCGTCCTTGTACTTGTAGAGGTGGTAGGTCATATTGATGACAGTGCGGAGATCGCTGAGCGCATCATTTGCTTGGGCTTCATGTAAATCCCATTCATACCTTAGCAAGTGAACGTCGCATGGGAAGCTCGAGGGTAGCGAAGAAGGAAGAAAAAGATTGATCTTGTGGACCTTGTCCTCAGAGGTAATGTCATGTGATGATCACAGGCGGGAGACACATGGCATGTACAGCAATTGTATGCGGGACCAGGTATCAATTCTGCGGCAGAGGGTATTGACGTGCTGAAGTATCTTGACTTTTTGAGTGTCTGTGGCATGCTGTCCAATGCTCTTCCCCTCAAACTCAACATGTCATCTAGGTAGAGCCAAGTCAGCTGTGAGCGTGACAAATAATGTGTATATGTACTGCTGACCCTCTAGTTCTATTCCCGAAGAGATAAGAACCAATGGTGATACATTATCGTCCAGGGACATGTGTTCACCACACTCGATTTCTTCTGCCTCGGTCTTCGATAATGCCAGACGCACGGCAGCCTGGGTCACCGCTGTTAAATTACCCATTAGCGACATAGATGTTTAGGCATGAAACAGCACTTACTAGCCCCCACCTTCACTTCAAAGGGGTTTGGCAAAGAGTGGTTCAACTCCCACATCTTGATATCTGTTCTCCACCCAGCTAATTGGTCAGCATCAAGGGCAGCATCGAATTTGTCAAGATCACGAGCACGTTCTTCAGCCTCAGGTACCGCGGCCTTATATTTTCGGAGAAGAATGGCGCCTGTGGGAGCAGCTTAGCTTTGAACACTAATCAATAGAATAATCACTCACCCATAGCACATACTTTCTTCCAATTCCAATCGTTAAAGTGATCGTCTATGGTATCTCGCCTGGATCTGGGTCCCATCTCGCGAGTACTTGTAGCAAGAGGGTTAATATCTGCCCACCCGCGCTCCGGAGCTTCGCCATCTGTCCACCCAACACCCTTGATAAAGTTGAACGAGAACCTGGTTTGACAACGAGCGATGTGCGCTGGTAGGTGAAATTTAGGTACAAGGAATGTAATAACCTTTTCGTCGTGGTTGAGATGAAATTTGTGCGGGAATGCCGACATGTGCGACCAAAGATTTTTGTTCCATTGGCAGGCAATGTCATAAGATATGTTGAGGACGTGAACGCCTTGTGAAGAACGCATGCTTGAAAAAAAGAGATAATCCATGTTGATGTACCTATGAATGGTGTGTTCAGAAACACGACTATGATACGATCAATGAAGGAATGCACCTCTCCCTCTTTTGCAAATCGCCAACTGAACAAGGGCGTTTGAAGTTGTGCCGCACACAATCAATGGTTCCTGCACCCATTGCTGCAAGTCCACGTGAAGCCCTTGTATCCGCCAGGTTGACTGCAGAGTGGCTAGAACACGTGCTCTTCTACATTTAATCATAGTCAGTGCAGTGACTCAGGCAATTGTGTTTGACTTACCTCCTGGGCATTGCCCACCCTGTTGCATGAAGCCAGTATATCCTTGTATTCAGTCTCTTCAACAAAAAAAGCATATCCGCGATTCAGCCCGGGATCAACAGCATCTGATGATACATTATGGCAAATGAGTCGGAAATTAGTGTCGATAGCCAGGAATAATGCATACAAAAATCTGCGGTGAGGGTAAGGATCAAGGTTAAACATTCATTGGACCTTCTTACTGGAATTCCAGTGGCGTGTTTTCCCACCCAACAGGTAAATTTTTGCTTGGGTGGGGACAGGCAGGGCATAACACAGCGCAAGTGCCTGCTTCTATTGTCTTAATGCCTCCGGGATGATGACCCTGGCTGCAGCGTTTCATCTGCATTATGAAACACCATTCACGTACCATATGGAGGAAGGACTCGTAACGATTCTGAATGATACCATCAGTGAGGATGACCTTGGACATAAGACATGTTGCATACCTTTAGGACACGGATACCTGTGTTGTCTGTGAGGCGAGCAATGGTATTATAGAATTCCCATACTGAGGCTTTAGATTTGAAGGACAGCATTTGAAAATATTCCAGCACACTAAAATGTAGCGGCTGATTTAGGGTCTGTTGTAGTTGAGGGAAAGAGGTGAACACATAGCAATTGGGTAATGTGTGGCTGAGCAGACTCACATCTGTAGAAATCGAGTCCAACTTCATGGACGCCATTGCAGTCGAGGACGACAAAGTCGTTGTTGGATGCAGACTTTGGATTGATACATTGAATACCGACAGGATGCCCAAGTTGGAAGCGGACACCCAAGGCTTTCAACGTAGTGACCTGAAATGAAGTACCGTTCCAACACTGCAACATTGTTCAGATCGTTGTTTGTGCAAAAATAGTGCACATACCTCTATTCTGTGAAGCGGTTGCCTCTCATGTACACAGAGAGTGCATGTATGGCACATCAGATCTGTGCCATGACAGTCTTCACACCGAAACATTGGGTTTGCTTCACTGCAGAAACACGTTGCCTGTGCAAAATCACCACGGCCCTCCAAGCGAAGAAACTCCAGCAAAAACAGGTCGGCATCAGAGGTCCATACAGATAAAGGATTGTCCTAATGAGAACATAGTTAGAATCACCACAGCCATCTCAACTGACATACAACTTACCCCAGCAGGGCGCTTTTGTGCGTGAGACTCTGTAGATGCATCGCAGAGATCCTCGTTGAAGCTATTGAGTGATGAAAAGTCGAATTCATCATTGTGCGCATCCTGTAAGTTGGACGCTTCAAATTGGTGTTTGGCAGGTGAATGCGGGATTGTATAGTAAACAGAAGAAGCTGCAAGACGACCACTGGATTCTGCCTCAAAGCTAGTGTGTTTGCGCTGCTGTTCCTGGCGAGTCAGTTGTGGAGTATCATTTGTCTCATTCCTCACTACTCTTCCTGCAGCATCACTATGCACAAAGAAATTCCGCTGGAATTTTTGGAGTGCTCGCTGTTTTTGACTAGTGACCATAGTCGACAATGGTGTATGGCAGATTTTGCCGGATGGGTAAGCAGAGTCCAGACTCCAATTTGAGTATGACTAGTACATGCAGTAAAATTTGAACAAACGAGTGACTCATTTGGATGGCACTTGCCAGCTAAGTAAACCTACTAACATAATTTCATCATAGGCTTCAGTACCACCCCGATCTATAAGAGTGATGAGTTCCCTTTCTGCAGCGAGCTGACGTGTTGTCAAACAGAGCAGCTCCTCACACTGCTGCAATAGAGTATTGAGTCCAATCCCCAGTGCACATAGCTGTACAGTCTCTAATAGCAAGGTAATGCGCTGGTGCAAATTGTGAATATAAGCACACACATCTTCGAGCTCAGGGGACATGACATCCCATCCTTCTGTGTCAATGCGTTGGAGTACTGCGAGAAAGTGATTCTGGAGGGAATTATGCTCAGGAACTCCAGCTTTGTAGCCAAGCTCGATGTATAATATGTTGAGGCTGTGAAAGTTTGAGATGATGGACTTCGTGAATCAGCAAAGATGTGCGCTAGTATGACGGTCTCGAGAAAGACATACTTCACTCATATGAGCCTGCCTTCGCCAACGACTACGTGACTTGGCTTGCTCTATAGTCTTGTTTCTAGAGCACGATGAATACAATGACCATTGATTCTGGAGGTAGTGATTAAAACTAACCTTGCATAGTGAGCTCGTTTGCTTTGCAATCTAGCATTACGACAATCTTCCTCGGACTTGTATCTTGGTGGCATTAATGATATGGGTTACCAAGTATGGTTAGTGTTCACATATTCACCATATCATTGAATGCATCGGGAGCCACACTTTGGGACAGATGGATTTGATTTGTATATACTGTATAATACCATGTACTCAACAACATATACTTAATCTCAATGCGCAGAATGCTTGTGCTGCTTGCTGTACTTACTTATATGTCAACCAGTCACGCCAATCATTTGGATGAACGAGAAAAAATGCACATTCACCAGACCCATCATAGGGTGTCTCAGAGAGTTGTGTGTTTTGCACCATGATATATCATGCTGCACCCATGTTAATCACTCTTGGCATGCTGAAATACCTTGGTACCAAGCACACCATTGGTATGGAGCATATCCGCGTTGAGCACAAATGTTACCGGGATTGATCGATCAATGATTGCCTAGGCCTGTTCAGTGTCATAAGACTCACAGCCAACTCGCTGATCGGATGCCAGATCCAGCAGCAACACACTGGAAAAAGGGCAGAGCACATTGCACAATATTTTTAGCATACATGAATGACAGAGTATATACAGTACAGAGATATCAAGCTGCCTCACCGCACCATACATTAAAAACATCCTCGAAGTGGGCCTGGGCTGCATGGAGCGTAGTAAAATAATGCATTGTCGTGCCAGCGGAGCAGAGTTTACGTGCAGTATGACTTAATAGGTATTGTTAGAGACGATACGGATCAAATAAATGAAGGAGCTTACATATCACTGAACAATCCGACTCCATAATGACAGACAGTTACGAACCACTTGAACTGACTGGCAGGGTCAATGTTGATGAGTGTCTCAGCACTTGCATCGGCAGCCTCCAATTCATCCCTCACACTATAATCATACTCAGGCTCAGAACCCGGCAGAACATTGTCGGTGGCATCATTAGTGGTATCATTGGTGGCATCGTTGGTGGCATCATTAGTGGCATCATTGGCAGCACCAATCCAAATGTCTTCAATGGAGGTGTCAAGATCTGCGTGTTCATCACCCGGACTGTCCATCACATCCCGGTGAGAGCCTATAAGTAGTGTGAGCATAAAAAACGCAGTAGATACACTGTATGTACCAGATTGTGTGTGAAGATCGCATTCTTCACCTTCTGGCCAATAGGGCCAACCAAATGGTTGTGGACACAATGGAGGAACTTTGCAAAATTGTGTCAGTACCAGCAAACATTACGGAGAACCAAAGAAAATAGCTTACCGTAGCCACACTGAACCAAGTGAATGGCCTCGATGAACTGTTCGGGCGTGAAACAAGGATGGGGTAGCATTTGGATGCAGGCAATTGTGGACACAGTGGACTTTTGGCAGGGACATGTTTGCAGATCTGAACAAAGTGGTAAGGTCAAGTTGCAGGAAAGAGAATAGTATTTATACCGCTTGCCATTGGATCAGGATTGGTTGGTCAACTCTGAAAAAAAACCTAATAAAGCTAAGTTGAACAAGTTCGTTCTAGAACCTGAAAGGAACCTGCTACAAAAGCATGCTGGACAAATGTGAGCAAAAAAAACACACAGGCGAACATCACACTAACATTGCAAGTACAGATGGCCCCTCTGAGATGGACAAGTGCCGAACAGCTTACATGGCTGCAAAATGAGGTTCCAACGTACCTACAGATGCAAAAAGAGAAAAAGTTGGTTCGGTTTTTTGAGCTGCTATACCCCAAGTGGTTCAGTGAGTTCCTGGAACATATGAGACTTTGGCTCACAGGATCAGAAAACTCACCTGACGACAACGACACCAACATCGACCAATCTAGTCTCGACTCGGATGCGGCTGTCAATGAGATCATTGCCGAGCTGGACCATGAAAACGCTATAATTCCTATCAGTGATGTTGAAAAACAGAGTGACTTAAATCCAGAACTTGCCGAGGTACTCAAGGACACCATAAAACATCGACGTAAAGTGCGTTTTTGACGCTGAGCTAATTAAAAATCAGAATACTGATTAGCCGTTACACAGAAATTACAGGAGTGGTTTCGAAACAACACCAAAGGAAAGACCAGACCAGGTGGGACTTTGACGAGCAAAGTCCTATCTACAATGCTGGGACAGCGCGCACGAGGCACTCAAGACTTGAAAGAAGTTGAGGTTTACTCACAACTTCACTATGAATCAAAGGTCAAGCCCTTGGTTTGGGAAGACATCAGGGAAAACAAGCTTGCATTACCTGACCAGAGGCTTCGTGCTGTCCAGCACCACACAAGTGAATGTTTTGCGAAGGAGTCGGAGGATGTGAAGGATGAGGTTCGCGTTGAGACTCAACGTATTAACACTGCCAGAAAGTTAGGTTCTGTCGCAGCGGGGGATGATTGAACAAAAGAGGAGATTTACCGGTAACTAAGTCCTCAGGGTTCGTTAGACTTTAACTGATTTCTTCTTTGAAGCGCAATTCAAGAGCTGCCAATTGTCCTTGGTCAGATATTTGAGGAACTCTCGACTTTGACTGGTGGATGGCATTACTCACTCGTCATGGGTGGACCAGATCCTTTGTGTGAAGGTGATATAATGACATTAAGGCATGTAGATGGTCTTCCTTACATATTAGTCATATGGTTGTTCTTATTTGCACATCATCAGTTATCACCATGGCAAAACCCCAGATGGTCTGAGCTTCAAGGCATCAACACCTAACTTCCACGAGCAAAATTTATTACCATTCAAAAAACATCTAGATCGCATCTATGGTACATATGATTAGGGTTAGTGGTTGTATGTTTACAACTGATATATGATTAATAGGTGGGTCTTCAAAGGGAACTTCGGTTCCCACATCTATACCCAGTACACCTCTGTCAACAACCAACCTCATTTTGACATCTGGACGCAGTTCCCCTCCTTTCTTTGCCACAGACCTCACCTTGCCAGATGATCTGTTAGATCAGCAGCATGCATCCAATGTCGGCCTGCCACTACCTCAGAGGCCTGCGCATTTCGAGGACATCGGCTTCAACACCGTGCCACAATTGAACGGATGGCAAGGTGGCCTGCATCCCGACCTGTATTCTTTTGATCCAGCAGCTCCAATACATTTAGATTCACCAATCACTACCTGGCGAAAGGAGTTTGTGTCCAGTGAAAATCTGACTATGTCTACTGCACTCCCTCAAGTGCAGGAACCATTCACACTGCCGCAATTTTCATTTCCAGATAACGCTAATTTGTTGCCCACACACGATCTGTCACTTACCAGTACAACTCCACTACTCCATCTTCACCAGCCTTCCCCAGTAGTTTTTTCAACACAACCCTCTCCACTACTCTCTTTACCCCTGCTTCCCTTGCTGCTCCCTTCGCCTGAGCCTTCCTTACCGCTCACTATGCCTGGGCCTTCCTTACCACTCGCTACGCCCAGGCCTTCCTTACCGCTCACTACACCCAGGCCTTCCTTACCGCTCGCTTCACCTGAGCCTTCCTTGCCGCTCACCTCGCTCAAGCCTTCCTTACTACTCCCTCCGCCCGAGCCTTCCATGCCACTTGCTTCGCCTGAGCTTTCCTTGCCACTCGGCCCACTCTCCTCGCCTGAGCCTTCCTTGCCGCTCTCTTTGCCCAAACCTTCCTTGCCACTTGAAGCTGACCAGGGCACATTGGCACCTGATTTGGAGCCATCAACATGTTTGGAACCGACAGTCACAACTAAGGCTAGGTGCTCAGGACATGAGGGACATCCTTCAACCCGAGCAAAGGAAGCCAACGAAATTGGCAATGCCAGCCCACAGCGAGGAAAAAATGCAGTGCTCAAGAGGAAGCGGGACTCGGTGCAGGCTAGTGCTTCAGAGTTGAAGAAAAAATCTCGTAAATGATGTTGATGTGGGCCTCGTACTCATGCCTGCCTATCTACTTTACTAGTATACCTATAACCCTGTCTGAGCTGTTAATATTGAGATTGTCATTGTGTCCCTGTGAACCCTGCCTCCATCAATGAACTTTGATGTATATTGTGTACTGCTAACGACCGGTATTATCAATATTTCACTGACATATGGTAATATATATCACACGAGCCTAGTGAGAGAAAACAGAAGAACCAGGGATCTGATGGAGGTAGCACACATGAATCCAGGTGTTCTGTGCACTGCGTACTGGAGAGGAAGAAGGAGGACGACAGGGGGAAAGAGTTGTGCATCGTCGAAGATTCATTGTTCGGACTCCGAGCACATTAATTCCATGGGTCAGAAAGGTACTTGTGATATATCACCTCCTAGTGTGCGGATGCATCCATGTACTAGGAGGTGATATATCCACTGGCTAGAGTACCGAGTAGGAGCTACAGCAGGTGATATATCCACTGGCTAGAGTACCAAGTAGGAGCTACAGCAGGTGATATATCATGTTTCACTAACCTGCCAGTGATATATCACCTCCTAGCGCGCAGATACATCCGCGTGCCAGGAGGTGCTATATCCACTGGCTAGAGTGCTGAGTAGGACTACTATTATAGCAGGTTATATTTTTTTTTTTTTGGATCCTTGTTTATTGTCCTGTGGGGCGGGGCCCTATGGTGGACACTACCTACAATATCGTACGTTGCTAAATATATATTGTGACTCTGGTGTGTCGGTGCTAATCAATGGTCCGTGCGTGAGCAGGGACAGTGACGCCGTCTCAAGGCATTGGAATATTGTGTTACATTTTGCGTGCGCTTCTCCTCTTCTCTAGCTGCTCCCTCTTTCCTTCTTCCTCATTTCTTCTCCTCTGGGGGGGTGACGTCTCCAAAAGCCTGTTCCATTCTTCTTGTGCGCGCGATGTATTTGAGTGTCAGCTCTGATTCCTTTGCTTTCGCTTAGAAGATATTTGATGTGGAGCTGGCGCGGTCCTACTTCCATGCTGAGTGTGTTGCGTTGTCTGGCGAATTTGGGGCATACTAACAGGAAGTGGTGGACAGTTTTCTTCGTGGGCATGGCATTCCTGGCATGTCGCTGACGGCGCTCTAGCTATGCGGTGGAGATGTTTGTTGAGGGCGATGTGACCAGTGCGTAGTTGGAAGAGTAGCATCCCATGCTTTCTTGGTAGGTCTGCGATTTTGCTTGCGAATTTCTTGGACGGAGCCGTGTGATCGATGGAGTTGAGCCGGGTGTAACGGGGTGATTCTTTCATGATGCTCACGGCTTCGTCTTTGATCCTGCCATAGAAATGCTGTTTGAGAGCGGATTTGCTTTGCGGGAGTATTCTGATTGCGCCGTCTCTGGTCAAGAGTGACTTGGGGAGTTCGTGCGCTTCTGAGGAGTCTCCTGACGCGGCTTTCTTCGCTTCCTCGTCCACTGCCTCATTGCCAGGTATGCCTTTGTGGCCCGGCGACCACCGGATGACTAGTTTTCTGCCGTCTTTGAGGGGTAGCAAGTTATGCAGGTCGTCGTGAAATATGTCTGCTAGGTGGTGGCCTGGTCTTGATTGGAATGCTGTCGTGGCGAGTATTGCCGCCTGGTTGTCTACGCCTAGTGCCATCGTTCCCCCCCTGCTGCCTCCTTCCTCCTTCAACAGTTGGATTGCCAAGATCATCCCTGCCAGCTCTGCCTCGTATACGGTATGTTCCTCGTCGCTTCCCAGATGCAATCTTTTCCTTCTTATCACCTCCTCTCCCCTCATCAGTACTGCTGCGCCTCCTACTCCCCCGTCCACTGACGATCCATCCGAATATGCCCGTAGTTCTTCCGTGGCGAGTGTGTCGTCTTTTACCGCTTGCTGCGTTGACTCTGCAATATGTGTATCGACGTCCAGTTCCCACTTGGGGTAATGTCTGACTGGTTCAATTTTCTCGATGTTGGATGGGTTAATCTGAAATTCATTCATCAGCCTGTGTAGAGGTGAGGGATATCGCTTTCTCCCCTGGAACTGTCGTTTTTCGCTATACTCATATGCTTTCTTGATTTCTTTGGCTAGCGGGTGCGGTGGGAGGAGTGTAGCCATCCTTAGGGATGCTCGATAGCACGTCTTCCTTAATGCCTGCTGAAAGGGGAGTACATTAGCGTGAGCATCCAGAATATCAGTTGCGGTTGATCTTAGTCCTCCTGTTATCAACAATGTGGCCGTCCTCTGAACCCTGGCCATCTGGGATGTGAATCCCCTTGCTCCTCGTCCCCCTCCGTTCTTTCCTCTGCCCTTCGCCACTAGGCCTAGCAGGTTATATATCACATTTTGTTAACCTACCAGTGATATATCATAATCTCAGAAACGGGCCCACTGTAGGTGATGTATCACCCACTGTGACTGATGGTATCAGTGATGTATCATAGAATTCAATATATTGATCTTCATGGTAGGTAATATATCACCCTCTGTGACTGATGTATTGTCATCTTACAGTTTCACTCAAAGACCAGGATGTATCATGTACCTTCTACAATGATAGGTAATTAATAGATCATAATGACACTATCGCCTGGCATCCAATGCCCACCAACTGGATTCAGCCCGTCACCAGCCACAATGTTTGTGTATAGCCACACGAAGTCCCGCATCCGCTCCAACCTTTCTTTCAGGATGGCATTCAACTTTGGTGGGTCCTTATAACCAACACCATATGGACGAGGTGGCTTCAGTAACATTCGCAGATCCATGTAGGCATGTCTGGCCTCCTCGACACTTGGGGCAAGTCTCAGCTCAATGTTGTAACTTGTCCATTTGTGCCACCATCAGCTTCGTCGTCACTCTCAGCATCAGCTTCATCATCACTCTCGGCATCAGCTTCATCGTTGATCTTGGCATTAGCTTCATCATCACTCTCGGCATCAGCTTTGATTGACTGGTGAGTCGATGATTTCTTCAATAAGAACAGGAGTTTGATCATTCTCCCTCCAACGCACTCCGCGGATGGCAACCATATTGTCCTCATCATTTTCATCAGGCACATCTTCACAGAAAGCACGATGGGTGACATTTGCAACATTTCTGAAGGCTATCTGACTCGGAAGGAAAGTAGATGCACCTCAGGCCTCTATGTCTGCAGGAATAGCATCCAAGCAAAGACCTGCAATAGGGGTCCCAAAAAACATGGTTGCCATGCCCTGCTTCACTGATCAGTGTTGAAATTACATTTGAAAGGATAGTAAGTCACTCACATTTGAGTTTTCGTCCTGCTCAATGTTCAATGTCTTTTGTTTTTTGTTAGATTCCCTATGAGCCCATGCTATTGCCAGGTTCTCTCTCGAGCGTTTCTGCTTCCGTGTTCTGTTGCCCATGGGTCTTTTTAGTAGGCGGGAGGATGGCAGCGGCTTCAGCGGCACATGGCGTCGGAGTATCATGCATGGTACTTTGCCGCCAACCTCTGCTTTCAATAATCTAAGAAATTGGAATTAAAAACTTTCCACTTCACTTCTCTTCATTCCGAAAAACATAAAATGTTCGCAATATTATTACCGAGGTAAGTGAGTAAGCGATTGACGCAGAAGGCGCCTGATCAATAGTAATTACATTGTTTGTCTTTTGTCACTCTTTCATCACGTTTGTCACGTGACGTTCGTCGAATCCACCAGACCGCTACTTATGTATAACATATATAAGGATTTCGTGCAGAATTGCGTGTGCTAAAGCCAATGCGCGAACTCTAGGGACGCGCGAACTCGTGGGACTATCTAGTATTAACCAGAACGTTCTCTAACCGGTACCCGGCCTTTTGGCGCAAGCGGGCCGCCGCAATGCTGCATCCTTCTCTGCTTTCGTGTAAACTGCTAGTACCGGTGTAAAGTAATTCCGTGTTTTGCAATGTCGACGTACCCTTTCTCGTGACCCTTCCACTTCAGCCTGTCAAGGGGACACCTGCCCGCGACAATTCACTTTGCGACACTGCGAATGAGGCTGTAACCGTTGTTATCCCACTCCCAGGATTCCCAACTAACTGGGAATCGGTACACACGCCGAAGCTGCCGTAGTTGTTATGGTTGTTGCGGTTGCGGTTTTGGTTGTTGTATTTGACGTGTTTTCCGTGGTTATCGTGGTTCAAGTTGGAGCTGTCATGTTGTCGTCCTTGACGAGCTTGAAGCTTAGCTTTAATAAGCTGCAACAGTCAACCTGCTGGAATCAGCAATCCGAATACGGTAAAATCGTTACATGATAAGATGTGGATTCCCGAGACTCGAGGAAATTCAAACTTAAATCGTTTATCCAGGACGGTTTTCTCCGCATGGTGTCCACCCCCGCAATTCCTCCACATTTTAGGACATAGTCGGATCTCACTGCACACGCAGCAATAATCAGCGCTTCAAGAAAACTAGTGCTCGAGTGCCGTACCAGTGACCACATTTGGTGGTTGCAGGGGTTCTTCAAATGGTCAAGTCTTGGAGTTCTCTCCTCACTGCGCGCCTGCTTAGGCCAGGCCCTGTAAGTCATGGATCATACCTGTGCTGGTAAGCTGACCCCATAATGTAGTTGACCGAGTTAGGTTACGTTCGTACTGGTACTAGATAACTGTTAGGGTTCATAATGATGAAGAATTGTCATCTACTTACAAGGTAAGCTGCCGTAAGCATAATAACAGGTTGTCATCTCACCCGGCGGCAGGTGCACCGCAGTCGCACTTTAGACAACTACAGCTGCGTTATCTCTGAAACTCACCTTGACGCAAGCAGACTAATCTCACAACTTGCGTCGGAGCCAAGACTTTTGTAGGTGAAGCGCAGCAAGAGGGGTCAAATAACATACGAGCCATGCGTTCATATGGTTGAGGGGCTATAACGGTCAATGATCAATGATTGATGATTGTCATATAGCGTGATGGTATCATTGTGATGCAGCTGATTCGATATACTGCGGACCTATTTCGATATTGGCGGTCGCCGCTAATCATAGACAATGTTTATTGCGGTGTTCCTTTCCAGACTGCGTGCGCAGGTTGATTGCCATATGCTGTATGCTGATGGAATGATGAGGCCTGAGTCGAGTCAGAACCTGTCTTCCAGCTTGACTCGGATGACAATGGTGCCGATGCTGCGGTGCCACTGCGAGTCGCACGGACAAAATATCATGTTGGCTGCTATGCGGTATAAAACAGCAAGTGTTGAGGGGCGATTCACTCATTCACTTACAAGCTTCCCCAGCTCTTTAGAAGAGAAAACCTAGGCATTACATTTAGCCACAGAGCTCTATCATCTTCGCTGCCACCACTGAAAATGTACAAATCATCATCTACATCTTCAAACACCCTGACCAACGCGTCATCCAACTCATCCTCAGAAGCTTTGCTCAAGTCACAAAAGGACATGAAGCAGACTTCCCCCAGCCAGTCCCAGCCGAAAAATTATGAAGCGGCCTTCGGAGCCCTTCAGGCGTCATATGGGTTGGGGTCGTCTCTAGGCTCTACGCCTCCAGTAAATAGGAGTCTTTGAGCGGATGGTGAGTGCGTGCAGATTTGATTGTGATGAGGAAACTAATGATTCGGAAGGGTATAAGTGGATAGGGGAGCCAAGTTTCTGGGGTTTCTTCTAGGAATGTAGCGTACAAGAACGAGTGGGGGAAGGTGGGGATGAGTTGCGGAATAACGCCAAGGGCTATAACAGTCGCAGTGGATTGAGACGTTCTCCTTTATGATATTCCAGTCCTGGTACGTAAACCATAAACCACTGCATATATTAGTGTAGAACAGTAATGGGGATGAAATGACCGCCAAACAAAAATTGGTATCACTTGAAATCAAGCGTACATACAGGGTGAGCAATACAAGGGGATGGGGATCAGAAGTGTGTTAAATTAAATGCTGAAGGATTGTGTGAAAATGTGATAGAAAAACAGCGCGATCCTATGACATACAGTTAAAGGTAATACCTACCTTTATTACTTCTAATTGAATGGTTTTCACCGTCTAGCCACTCGCTTTCGTTCTCGTCCCTCATCTTCTACGTCCATGGCGTCCCCCAAGTTGTTCTGGGTCTGTGTATGACTGGTGCCAAGGACGGATGTGCGTGAGCTCCGCGTTCTCCGTCTGGTATTTCCAGAGGCGGATGTGATTGTTGATGAGACGCTACTCCCTTGTGACGATGACTCGGTAACGCCTGAAGCAGCGGTGGAATCGAGCATCATCATGACAGCGTGACGACGCTTAGCGCCAGCGGTATAGTCGGAGAAAGCAGGGTCTCCTGTAACAGATGCTGCGGCCGTAACAGGAGGCGTGCGGAATAGATTCTCTGACGGTGTAAGGCACGCTGTGATAGGTGGGCCAATGGGGAATGGCTCGGAATTGTCTTTCTTGGCGCCTGACGCACGGGATTTGGATGGACGTTGGCCGGCGTACGGGTGGCTTGATTGGCGCGTAGGTGGCACAGCGGATGGCGTAGGCGAAGTTTGTCTGTTTGGAACATTTGAGACGTTAACCGTGAAAGGGGAATGCGGAGTCAAAGGCGCTGGAGCAACCTAATAAAAGGGGGATATATCAGTCAATGCGCAAAAAAGGATGAGGAAGCATACAGTTTGCTGTTCCAGGGGGGAAGAAGAGGGACCTGGTTGTTCAGTGTTCCTCGTATTGTCCCCGGGGAAGATATGACGGGGAGTAGAGTCTTTATTTGTATTGGGGCGGCTTGCAGGGACGCTCCCTCTTGCTCTTTCTTTTTCTTTTTCACGGTCTTCATCCTCATCTTCCTCTTCTTCGCGAGCCTTTACAGCCTCCATTCTAGCCTCAATCCAGTCCATGATTCTCCCGATCGTCATCACGTCTCCGGCTGGGTTGCTTGACCCAGATAGTGCTACACCACCTGTAGAAACGCCCTGTTGGATCATCGACATGAGATCTTGACAAGCCGTTGCATATCCTGCATTATAAGCGCGTTTGGATGCATGCCTTGAAGATCGGTAAAGGGTTGTTATACTGAGCGCAGCAGCTTGTTATGTGTGCTGAACGTGAGTAGCGTGGATGGAGCCTGGAGAAAAGCTCCTCACCTTTGAAGTTGTTCAACAAGTCCTTCTCAGCTTTCTCTAGGTTTGCTGCTGGTAGAGACTTTGCCAAACCGTTCAGATCTAGTGATGAGTCCATGGCCATGGAGGTGCTGGCAAGTAAACGTCGGGTACCGTGTGTGCAGCAGTTATGTATTACGTAAGTTGGTTTCAATCGCGTTGTTGTGCTAGTTTTAGCCTCTGAGAAGGTTCGCGGTTTGAGAGGGAACGAGCAGAATCGATGTGGAAGCTCTTGGTCAGTGAGCTGTGTGGAAGTTCTTGGTTAAAGTGCTGCACGGCCTACACCGGGCCACCCGGTAAACTAGTTTGTGACCGGGAGTCACGCCACAAGAATTGATCAGTGCCCTCATGATCATGGATGAAGAGGACGACTTTTGTAAGTTTTGAAGTGGTGATGAAGTTCGATTTTACTTGATCTCACAATAGACGGCGAGAGTCTGGTGGAGTCAGAGTCAGACTACGCGGATGACTCTGAATCTGACGATGAAGAAAAGGAATCGGAAGTTGAAGACATTGAATTGCCCCAAGGGGTCCAGGCAGAAATTGATACTGATTTCAAGTGCGTCTCTCCCTTGAGACAGTTTTGTGTATCTGAGTATAAAATGTAGCCGACTAGTGAGCAATATTCGCATGACGGACGATGTCTCAAATGCAGCGATGCTTCATCGAGAATGGGACTTCAATATCGCCCAGCAAGACGCCGAATTTCGTGATGACCTTCGCGAAGCATCTGGGATAGGGAAGAAAAAAGGCAAGAAGGTGCGTGGTTTGTGATAGCTCTTTTGAGCACTCTCGCAACTACTGCTTTGCATCGTGTTTTCAGCGCGGTCGTCAGCACGGACCCGTGCTCTCCCATCAAGTACGCGCCCTCATAGGTGAAGGAAACCAAGCATATGTCGATGGAAACATCCCAGATGCGATACGAATCATGCAGGAAGTCATTCGCATTGAGCCTCGAGCGTCGTCTGCGTGGTCCGTTATTGCTCAATGCTATGAAGATTCCAATGAACCGAAGAAGGCACTTCAACTGCGCATCATGGCGGCGCATCTTCGACATGATGCGGATGAATGGGAGAGATTAGCTGCACAATCAAGGTGGGGTCGTGATCAGCTTTCATCGAAGGGAGCATTGACCAACGGCGCATTTCCCAAGAGATTTGGGCTATAACCAACAAGCTATATATTGCTACAGCAAGGTATATAGTCTTGATCCGACAAATGTCGATGCACTTTGGGACCGTGCTTCCCTGGCAAAGGAGATAAATGACCTTCGCACCGTACGTTCCATTATCTCTTATTTACGCGTCTCCAACATATCAACCCATTCTAGGCTCGACACTCCCTTCTTGCAATTTTGAAACGGTTCCCACATGACATGACAGTTCTGGCAGAGCTCCGACCAATACTCATTGAAGTATCAGACCTTCCCCTTTGTGCCTCTCTTTACCAGGCTGCCTTGGAGCACTATCAGACCGTTCAGCCCCTGGGTCCTGCACAGCCCATTGACCCCTCCCTGACTGACCAACCATCACCAAACCAAATATTCGGTTTCATCGACCTTTTAGTTCTTGCCGATCTGTACAACACGATGGCAGAATACGACCATGCAATCCAAATCATAAGGAAAGGCTCCAGATGGTTGCAAGGCCGCGCAAGCCAACGCTTCTGGGATGGGTGTGTAGACGATCGAGAATACGATTTACCTCGTGAAGAACGGGGCAATGTGAATATAGAGCGAAGTGGCGATGTTCAGCCTGGTCACTATCCTCTTGACATCAACGCCCGACACCGACTCGCTATCGCGCGAATCAAGCTGGGAGAAGTCGAGGAGGGCAAGGTGCGTATTTATCATACGGTCAAAACCTATGGGTGTGTGACGAGTCACACAGATGCACGCGTCTATTGTTCTCGCGCAAGATGTTCTCGATTACGCTGCTCTTTTTGGAGAGATCGCTGACTCGTATTTCGAGCGTGAGATGTATGCTGATGCCAGACCAATATATGAGGTTCTTGGCGCAGACCCTGCAGTACGTTTCCTTTCCTCATCATGTCGGTCTCCCCACTGATCCTCTGTAAAGACCAGTAGCTTTTACGTACTTATTCAGGTGGCTGTATGTCGTAGAATGCTTGGTGACCTGCAAGAGGCTGCGGAGGTCTATAAGCAAGGTGAGATACCCCTTAATAAGTCATGTTAAAGTCTAATCTCTCGTTAGTCATTGATGCGGATCAAACCAATAATGACGCGAAGATGAAACTTGCCGAGCTCTACGAAATCATGGACGAGCCCCGGAAGGCTCTGGAACTCGTTTACCAAGGTTAGGGCGTCTCCTACTATCCAAGCTGAAGAATCAAATATATGTCCTTCCACAGTCATCGACTCTCGCAAACGACGGAATCACCAGCCTGAAGCCACGCCCGCACCCTGGTACTGTTCCTCAATCTCAAGGCGCCTCTCTCTTCGAAGAGAAATCACGCACCAAAGCTAAAACTCCAGCTCCCGGTAAAAGCAGGCTCAGCTTGGCCGAGCTCAAAGCACTCGAAGAGCAACGTGAGCGAGAGGTGATCTTGGGGTACAATCGTGTCGAGGATCTGTGGCCGCGTATGCTACATGGAGATGTGGAGGCGGAGAGGGAGTGGATGATTGAGGCTGAGAAACTGGTGGAGATGTTTAGGGAAACAAGGAATTTGTTTTTGACGACGAGAGTGATTGGTTGGATGTCAATGCGCTTGTGCTGAAATGACTGACCGATTCTGTCAGGACTATGACTTTAAGGGCATGTTCCCAAAGAGAAGAATACAACGAAGAGACGATACAGACGAGGATAGGATGTTGTCAAGGCTCGAGCTTAATGGTCGGTAGTGGCAGGCGTTCGCTGACTATACGTTATTTTGATCTCACTCCTGCAGAACGTGACAAACATACTCGTAGAGCCAAAGATGACGGCCAGGCGTCCGAGAAGGTTGATTCGTTCCGCGGCGTTACATTTTCAAGATGGCTGAGGATTTTTATGCAAGTCAGTCTTCGCAGTTGATATTCGTCTGACCCTTTAATCGTTTTGACTTCACAGTATGCCTTCGTTCTTACCAAACGGGGAGACTACGATCAGGCTGAAGAAGTTCTGCGCCATGTCCTTTTATCGAACGCCTATCGAGATTCCAATTCACAGAACACGATTCGAATAGCGATCATCAGTGAGGGTCTTGTTTCTCTTGATTCCACATCGTAACACGTCTTGCAGCGTGCGCCGTCTATGTTGGCAAGTTCTCTGTCGCAGTTGAACAATGTCGCAAAATCATCAACACCCACCAGTTCAACAACGAAGCTTTCCGCCTTCTGCTGGTTTCGTTAGCCAGCGGACACCGACCTACTGATTCGTTCGTTTCTTCTACTTTGCAGAAACATGTACTTCGTGAACTCCGACTTCACGATGCTTCCGTCAAGACTCCAGAACTCATGAAATGGAATGTTGTCGGGCGCAAGTATAATCTATCGTCGTCAGGCAAGGAAGAGCCGTCGAAAGTCGAGGAAGAAGTGGATGAGGAAGCGGATATCCCTGGTCCAATGGAGAGTAACACGACAGAAAACACAGCGGTCCGGATGCCTACGAAGAATAATCCAATCATCGTCACTCTTTATGGTCAGATGTCTCTCGCTGCCAAAAGCTACCAGAGCGCCATATGCAAGTTAGTATCCCTTTCCAGGAGCTCCTAATAACCGTTCTTTCCAGTCTATTTGTTGCATGCATACGATTATTGCCCTGAAGATCCTGTTGTCTGCCTGTCTCTAGCCATCGCTTCTCTTGGTCGGGCTATGCAGCGGCAGTCTGACAATCGACACCACATGATAGCACAAGTGAGACTTTTGTGCTCCTCATCGGCTTCGTACCTCACAGTTTTGACAGGGGATGGCTTTCTTGTCTCAGTATCGAACGCTCCGGAAATCATCCGATGATGAGATGCTTGCAGAGGTGGACTACAATTTTGGTCGGGCGTTCCATCAGCTTGGTACGATTTCCCTTTTCATTTGACACCTGTTAACTTAGAAACGCTGTCAAGGTCTTCACACACACGCTGTCTCGCATTATGAGCGTGTTCTTGAGATTGCTGAAAAGCGGGGAAGCGAGGTGAGTAGCGCGTCCGCCACATTCGATTATGGTGGCTGACGGTGGCTGACGTTTCTAGCAGTATGCGTCCGTCGCAAAAGAGGCCGCATATAATCTTTCTCTCATCTACGTGACTACTGGTGCCGTACCATTAGCTGATGGACTCTACAGACGATGGTTATCTATTTAACGAATTACAACTTCTAAGAACTTCTAATTGATACTATCCTCTATGATGTGTCACACCTTTGTTGATTTCGTCCGAGACCATCATCCGGAGACACTGCCATTAGTTGTTTCCCGATGACGTTGTCAGGCGAGTTCAGAATTGTCCCCTGTCAGGCCGACTATTTCTTTTCGTATTCTTCTCCATTAACTTCTTACTCCATGCAACCATGTCAAACACAAAACCTACGACTTCATCATTGATTGTACTGGTGAGCTGTCTGTCTGTGTTTACTTATGAGCGTCAGTACTGACAACTCTTCAGCGTGGCTCATCATTCAGCAGCGTATCCTCAGATAAAAGTTCGAGCTCATCGGACTTTGACAGATATTCCTCCCCGTCCTCGTCAGGACAGACCTCTCCTGAAGATGACGAGAATAAGACATTCCAACTTGACGTGCGGCATACTTCTGCCTCTGAGAGCGACGCGAAGCTCCGTCCGGTCTTGAGAGGCAGTCTTGCTATGAAGAAGGCCGCAACTGCACTCCATTCCCGGCAACGCACGTTGTCTGCTGCTGTGAAGACGGTGACTAGGGTATTTACAGTCTTCAAGAAAAGGGTGAGTCGGTCTCGTTTTTATCTATCACGCTAAGCTAACCAATTATTTCAGAAGTTGGACGAGGAAGAGCCGGTTTTCATTGCCAGTCCATTGCGAGAAAGGTTTGGTAGGAGGATTTCGGTCAAAACCAGACCAGAAGAGGTCAGTACATCAGCAGTCGCATGAATATAGCACTAACAAAGCTCTTGTGGACAGTTCTACAGTCTTCCAAACCGATACTTTTCTGTACACGATTTGCCTATGCAAAAGGTGCGTTCGTGTTATTCATTTCAGGTCATCGAACCTCGCTGACGTCCTCAGGCCAAGACTGTTGGACATAAGGCAGAAAGAAGGATAGCATCCATCTCAGGGCCGCCGTCCTCGAGCATCAATAAGCCATCTCGTAGACCACGCAACCCTAGTTTCAGTCTTCCTGGATTCGTTGAGGAACTACAGGTCGCTATGCCCTCGTCGCCACCTGTGGCTGCGCAAGTCCCTCTCGCTGACTCTTCTCATGAAGAGCGTGAATCATCCCAGCGCATTCTCATCATTATTCTCCGCGGGCTGCTGTTTATCCCCTGGTGCGCAACAGTAGGCGGGGCGCTTCTTCTATTCCCTCAAAAGCTCGAGCTTGTGGTATTCCGCCCAGGTTATCTCGAGTCCTTACAAGGTATTCGCCGCTTTGCTCACTGGGCCGACTGCGCATTCCACCATGCCATGATCTTCCTGGCGCTCGTTGTTGCACTCTTGTGGTACAATGCTGCTGTGGGCGTTCCAATGGCTTGTGGGCTCATGTCTAGGTTCATGTATGTTTGGACCGACTTCCAGGTGGACTCGAACGTCCCGTTGGGATGGGATGATCAACAGAGCTTATATTTGCTGGCAAAGGGGACGGCGTTTGAGAACCAGACGGTTCTGATTAAAGATTGTGAAGGAGAGGCGAGGATTGCACAGTTGAGAGAGGACTAATGTCATGAGTGCTTATGCAAGCAAGGTCAGAATATAGTTGATTGCACAGTACCAGTATACGACAACCAGCCGTATCAGCCGACATGCACGAGACTGAGCTCGACGTTCAATCCACGATGACTGTCGACACGCTTGTATGTACGAAGCTTGAATGAACATGATCTTGTACGAACGGATAAGTAGATGGGATAGATCATCATACGGCGCCGTGCTGGCCGGAACAATCGAAAGACTCGGTAAGTACACTAATTTAGACATCGGAGGTTGTATTTGACTTGTCATGGTCATCCTCTTTTTCTTTCCTCGGGCCTTCGGAAGTCGCATGGGATTGATGCTGCCTAGTTCTTCATGGCCCACATGAAATTCTTGAGAGAACCTATGCATCAAATCTTCTGAAGGCTGCTTCAAGTTGGTAGGCAACTTTGTTGGTGAAGACTGCACTGATTTCCGTGGGTTCGTCCGTTTGTCTGGCACCCACCGACCTTTCACCCCTCGAGTGGTTTTTTTTCCGCTCCCATTTCACCAGGTGGACAATTCCATGAGGCGTGACCTCCTTTGCCTTTGACTTGACCATTCTGAGGTGTGAGATGATGGAGGTCAAGAGTTAATGCGTTATTACATTTAATAGCACCGTCGCTAAAGCGGCTATTGTTGTTTCAATGCAGGAATTTCAACAGCAACACATAAGGCTTTCATCATTATTAATGAAACAAGGACTCCCCTTCGGTCGGCTTTAATGCCACCTCATTGTGTTTACAGTAGCAATTCGGGAAATACAATATTAGCACAGTCTTGTCTCTCGTTTGCCTCTGCGAATAGACACATCGTATCTCTTCTTGTTCTCACTCTCGATATGCTGTGTACAACTGACCGTGAGCAAAGGGATCTGTTCGAAGGTCAAGCACGGTTCGTGCCAGCGTCAAGCCTTGACAACCATTAAAAGTAGTTGCATACGCGAGCCGCAAAGGAAACTGCCCTCGATTCACCGTCCACGATGAACGATATGGATGAAACGGGACTTCAACAGACACTGAGGGCATGAGCGCGTCATAACACAGCAAACGGAAAAAGCCGTGAAGAGGAGACAGCATGACGTGGTGGACACCATCCGGCGGCATCTCGTGCTTATATATGTTAGATAGTTATATCATAACGAATTACATGGCTATCGAATGATTAGGAAGATGAATGCAATGATCTAGCACAACTATATGAAGACAAACAAATCACGGTCAAGACACATTAGCGAGACCAGTCGAGAACGTCAAGTACAGAGAACAAGTTAATACAAAGAGATACATCACATATACATGTCAGTTTATGGACGAGTCAGGTACTACCAGATAGTCCTGGACTATTGGAGCAATCTTGTCAGAAACGCCCCTCAGAATGTCTATCGTCTCTTTCTGATGGGCGATGTCAGAAATGTCAGTGATCAATCGTTGAATCAGTGGATTTTGACTCTTACCCAAACAGTGTCCTGCATTTTACGACCCTCGTCACTCAGCACGAAATCGGCGACCTCTACGAGGCGACCATGGCTGCTTACGAACCCTCCTTTCATATTCTCTTCATTGTCTCGTCCGCCCACCGCACCAAATACAAGCTGACGGCTACCTTGTTCGGGCGTCCACGCCAGGAGACGCTCCTGAATAGCGAGCGCTATTTTGGCAAATGAAAAGGTCGGTTTCTCGTACCAGACGCGCCGTAGTTGTGAATAACAGAATCCTGGGGTCACGGCTACCGCACTGAGTGGTGTGATGGTTTGCAACCTGTCCGTCAAGGCACGAACAAAGAAGAGGTTCAACACTGGTTGAATTTGTCAGCTTGGAATAGGCAGAGAATATAGGTGATACATACACTTTGACTCAGGATACCGGGATCGCATGTGCCTGAGAGATGACGAGTAAGACAGATACATGCGAAGTTTGATTTGTTTGCTTACTCGGGGATACACCAATCTTCGCTTCCTAGTGTTTTAAGTGGTTTCGAGGAGGTTTTGACCTCTTCCGCGGGTGTAATCCAGTAGAGGACACCACTGGACACAATTACCATCCGTGAAGGTGTTGAAGACTTTCTCCCCGCAGCAACTAGTTGCGGAATGAGGAGCAACGAAAGTAATGACGTTGCAAGATAATTGACTTGTAGCCTGAAGCGTAAATATGAGTCATAACTCCGCGCACAAAAAATCAAATAGACCAACACGGTCTCCCAGCCATCACTGGTGGGTTGGTAAATGGGTAGTGCAATCGCTGCATTCATGACCAGAATGTGCAAATCACCCCCCTCCTTCTCAAATTTGTCAGCGAATGCAGTCACCGATGCAAATTTAGCAAGGTCGACTATCCAGAGCTCGCATCCATTGTATCCGGTCTCTTGTTCGATTTCTTCAGAAAATAGACGTCAATTATCTCACACGAAATTCATTCTAAATGGTTATACATACCAGCCAAAGCGGCCTTTCCCTTTGCCTCACTGCGGCAGGCGATTATCAACCGCGCTGGTTGCATACGAGCGAAGTGTTTCGATGCCTCCAGTCCAATGCCTACATTTGCGCCAACAACGAGAACCGTTTTCCCAGATAGATCAGCCGTCTCCACTAGGGGTAACGCCGACCATTGACCAATCACATAATCAAGAAATGAGTACTTCATGATGATGGAAAGCTGGTGATAGATCAAAAGAATAACCATTCCAACAACTTTTAATAGTGCGCTGCTCAGCGTATTACGTCATGGGGTGACAGTAGCAGTCAGCACATCATGATCACACAGCCTTGTCTATGCAGCATTGTAAGACTTACTTAATAATCCATAGTAATCGTGATGCATTGCTGGGCCCGACGAATCGGAAGTACACAGCTCCATCATAAATGCTCCAAAGCGCAGAGTATGCTCATGACGCTAACAAGTGCCGGTGCATGTGTCAACAGCAAAAATATGTCAGATTACGATGTACGCATACCGCAATACTTTCACCCCCACAGGTGACTGCTTGTTTATCGAAGCCATTCAGAATCAACTGGCAAATCTCCTTCAAGTTGAATGGATTTCCCCTGCACTATACTCCTCTGTCCAGGCCCTTCGATAATAATAGCTATGGGCCGCCGTCAGGTGAACGTCAGCCATACCCCACGCGGAAAAACCAGTACTTACATCCCTTGCAAACATGTAATGGTCACATCCCATGTCGACAACTTGAAGGCGCAGAAGGATTCTGACTCATCGATATTGACTCATCATGATGGTCTAGGTGCAAGTGCCTGCGTATGGTTGATACTAAAATAGTTTTCCGTACGAGTTTCCCACACCTCAAGTTGTGACACCTTGGTTCTGACATGCTACTAGCGCCAGTGGTCACTGGATCATAAGATTCTGCAACGTTTATATTTGCCATCTACTTGCATGTGCAGTGCGTGAAGTAATAACAAAAGCTTTTCAAGTCTAAACTCCGACTTCGTGTTATCTACCTCTCTCTCTCTCACACATGATATTGACTCCTTTTCCATCATGTATTCATCCGGATTTCTTATCGAGATCGTGCGAGGGCGGTTTCTTCAACTTTCAGCTGGCGGTGCACGATGCGGCACTTTCCGGACGTCTCACGCACTGTCCGATTTTTAGCAAAAGCTCGAGCTTGTGGTATTCCGCCCAGGCTATCTCGAGTCCTTACAAGGTACTCGCCGCTTTGCGTACTGGGCCGACTGCGCATTCCACTATGGCATGATCTTCCTGGCGCTCGTTGTTGCACTCTTGTGGTATCAGGCTGCTGTGGGCGTTCCAGTGGCTTCTTGACTCATGTCTAGATTCCCGTATGTTTGGACCGGCTTCTAGGTGGACTAGAACGTCCCGCTGGGATGGGATGATCGACAGAGCTTATATTTGTTGGCGAAGGGCACGGCGTTCGAGAACCAGGCGGTTCTGATTAAAGGTTCTGAAGGAGAGGCGAAGATTGCGCAGTTGAGAGAGGACTGATGTTACAAGGTCAGAATACGATTGCACAATACAAGTGTACTACGAAAACCAACAGAGTCAGCGGACGATGATCACCCATCTTTAAGTTATTCCCTACGTACCTCATGCTGTCTATCGAACCATAATGCATGACAGCGGAATGATTTTCGGTTGTGACCACGATATTGAACTCAAGACAGTGAAAACGAAGCCTGCAATATGTGAGTACTAGGTCAGACTGCCACCCGCGCATAACCGTTACACCAAAAAGTAGGGATACTGGAGGCTGACCTTTCAGTGTCAGCGGCTCGAAGATGATGATATGGAGACAAGGAACGACATCTGGCAGCCGCGTGATGAGCTCGACTGGGTTAGTAGGTGAGTTGTTATTTGATATGAAGTAACTTGGAGCTGCACGGGGCGGCACGCCAGCCTATTACCACAACTACGAATATGGGATTGAACATGGAGTGCGCTAACAGCCTGAGTGGGGTGCTCATCACAAGTTCCTTGGTTCCCCCCTGGTCCCCCCGCCTCGGATTTTAGGTACCTCATCTGGATGACTGGGCTTTAACAACTGTGCCGGGCGCACTCGGGCGCATCGTTCTAAGTCATTGATATGAAGCGTGATCAAGTTCCATATGATATCAATGACCAAGTTCCAAGATCCGAGTCATCTGTCAAATTTTCAAATGTCAGTCTTTTGCAAGTCCGCACGTTAAACCGACCCAGTGACTGAGTTCTAGATTCAAATCACGCCTTCAAACACCGTGTGTCGATGATGTCGCAAACCTCCGGTATGATCGATACTTGCATAAATTGTCATGTACGTCTCATTTTGAGGGGGGAATGTATTTCGACTGCGTCATTGCGAGCCAAGTACAGAGCTTGCCAAAACGTATTGGCACGGGGATTATGAAGTAGGTCACCTCGAATGAGTTGTGTTCTTTTTGCTCGTCGGCGTGCAAGGCGTTCACATCGCGATTCGTCGCCTCCTGAAAAAATGACTGCATCAAGTACAGCTATCCTCCGGAATTCATTTTCGTCATCTATCTCATCCGCCACCAGCTCAAGCCTGTGACATAGCTGACATAGGTCCATGTTGTCGTCGCCCATGTTTAGGTTTGGAACATGTTTCTAGATGTTGATTACTGTGAACTGAATTTCTGACAAATAAGATTTGAAACGATATCTAGGATTCTGAATGCTGCGGAAAGTCACCCACTGGTTCACAGCTGTAATAGGACTTGAGCTTGATCACACTGTATGAATTGGCAAACCCTTGATCAAATCCATACAGCGTGACCAAGTTCTATTAATATTTGCGTAGTACCAGCATGATCAACTTGAAGTTCTCTTAATGTTGATACCCCTTTAAATACAGCCACTGCGCCTGGGACTGTATTACATCTCCCCACTCTTCCGCTTTACTGAGCCATTTTTCTCTAACACCCTCACGCGAAGTCACATTGCAGCTACCAACGTCCAATCCCATATACCATGCCACCCTGGCCCAATGTGCATCACTGCTTATGCAACAAGTCGACGAAGAGAGCCGCAAAGCTTGGTTACTGCCCCAAATGTTCCGAAACTTGCGAGGGACGTGGGTCAGCTGAGACAAAGGGAGGCGTGACACAGAATATCACCCACAGGAAATGGGTGAAAAACACGACAGAGGCATGCTCCGCTTGCGAGAGCGCCAGGGAGGCCATCGAGAAGAAGAAGTAAGGAAATTTTGGTATGTTCAAACCAGATATCACTATCGTTGATTTTACATCATGCACCTTCCTACAGGACGTACAGAATATATTTTATGAAAGTAGTCTGCAACTTTGAAGGAGAAGATGTCGGAGGGTGGCTTGTGGTGGCTCTCCATCCTGAGGCTGTGGGCAGACCATGACTGAAATCCATTTAGCCTGATACGACTATAGTTATACAAGGTTCTAGCGCGTATCTGTGAATCCACTAGTATCAGTTTGGCGCTCGGTGTTCGTTGAAGATGCCTATTCGTGGTTCCTGTAGAAGTTCCCCAGACAAGAGTTATTTGACCTTCATGCTGTAAGGTGCTATGCACGAATAGGGTGAACAATTGAAAGCACGCTGCTTGTGTGAGTCGAATTCTTCCGAGTCAAGGATGGTTCTGAAGGGCGGAGCAGAACTGGACGTGCCCTCGGGTCGCTTTCCAGTTCGTGAGTCGTTCCGAGTATTTCTCCCGTCTGAAGTGAGTATTAGTAGGAATACCCGAAGGGTTGCAAAAGGCAGCCGAGCAAAAACTCATAAACGCGTGTGCGAGTCATAAGACTCTGTCGTGGAGAGAAACAAGAAACGCTGCGTCAATATTGATCAGTTTATGTAGGATATAAACTCTGATTTTTATCATAGAAAGAGCGGAGACAAAACTCAACGGCCGTGCATTTTCACTAATCCCTTCGTCGACCGAGAGGTCGCGTCATACGTATATATGGCACATATGCAGTTTATTGGAGACCTAGTCGATGCACATGGGGAGGAATCCGAAGCGTAGTAAGCATCGCTAAGTAGTCTGGCGTTTGCTCAGGTGCGTCAGTGCTGCACAGTGCACAGCATGACTGAGTGGACACAATTGACACCGAGCAAGGGCGTGCATCGGCGCTGCGCACCATGACGCGCGGACGGGGTGGACACGATTGGAAATGCGTGGTCATATATGTTGGATAGATGCATAGGTTTGCAGCGCATACTAGGTGAACGCGAAAGATGAAAAGCAAGAAGGTTACTTGCCGTAGTTTTCTTTGTGCCTTAAGTTTCCCACACCTCCGTGACATACTACTGCCAGTGATTACGCTCGAAGAACATGGGCAATGATGCATATGATCGAATGTCTACATTTTCATACGATGGAGATGGCGAACCGGATTCCTTTAGCCTTGCTGAATTGCAATCGGTTGTTGATCTTTATTTCTTGACAAGCTGCAAGCTGGAGAAACTGGCTGAAGGAGGTTATCACAAGGTCCGTCTAGCCTTACATGGCACGGATTATACTTTGATATTTTTATAGGTGTATGATATCTTGCGATTGGATGGTACTCCTTTTGAGGCCGTCGTTCGAGTGGCCTCTCCTGCGTTTCCAAAGGACAAGCTTGAGTCGGAGGTAGCTACAAATACACGTTATGTTATTCGTGTTTAAGATTCTACGCTCTTTCGAAAGGTCGCGACATGCAAGATGCTTGCTGCGTTCACAAATATACCTGTTCCACGAATCTATGCATGGAACTCTGATGCGTCGAATCCTGTTGGGGCAGAATACATGATCTTGGATAAAGTAGGTTGCCAAAACTAATGTGACCCGTCTGTGATGTTTCACTCATACATCACACATTCAAGATTAAAGGGACCCCTGCTAGCAATAACTGGGGAAATCTCTCCGAAGAGGTCAAGAAGACCGTAGTGTCACAGGTTGCGCGCTATTTCTTGGAGATATTCTCTCTTCGATTTGAAAGCTCAGGATCTCTCTACTTGAGTCCTCTTTCACCTCAATTCCTCGTTGGACCAATAATCAGCACGCCGTTCTACCGTGCTCTCGACGGCGTTGTCCGAGTTCCCGACGCGCCCATCTCAAAAAACGTCGATCCCAACAGAGGTCCATTTTCTACCGTAACTGAATATCTTTCGAGCAATCTACGAGCAGAACTCGAATTCATCTCTAATCAGCCGTTCCACCGTTCTCTCGGAGCTTCACGAATGCGACCCTACTCAGTTAGCAGAGAGCCGACTTGAACTTGGGGAGCGTGTTATGAGAAAGGCTATTGAGTTGTGCTCTGTCTATCCCGGTGATACGTTGATACCTGCCAACATCAGCACTCCACAAAGACCATTTTCCTTAAAATTGGACGACTTCCGTTTATCAAATGTCATGGTACGTCTATGCATACTCCTTATGATGCCTATCATCAACGCACATGCATGTGATAGATCGATACCGATTCAGGTCGAGTAACTGGCTTTATCGACTTTGAAGCAGCCACCGTTGCGCCTCTATGGGAATGCGCAGTGATCCCGCGATGGCTGCAAGATGCGGATGACCCAGAATCCAGTTACGAAGGCGGAACCAGTGAAGAAAGAAATGTTTTGCGTGCTGCTTTTCTTTCAGCGATGGAAGGGTCTGCCCGATACCCAGAGTGGAGAGAGGCGTATGACATGGGTCGTCCTTTCCGTCGGCTTACGGACCAGTTGTACTTCCAGGTAAACGTCTGGGCTTCTAACGATTGTGAAATCTGGGTGGACGAACGTCTCGAATGGGCCAAAACCCACCCCGGGATTGGGTTGCCTGAAACAGACGAACCCCAAATTGACACCTCGTAACTCCTCAATCTGAATACTTAGCTCAATTGTTGACAGTACTAGAGTTGCAACTGTGCTGTTGTGCTACAGCGTTGTTACGAGCATTTGAAAGTAGTAATAACACGGGAACTATAACATGCTATATGACGCTCCAAAACGAACTTTAATAGATTGCGCGATACACAACAATGGAGTGCGCGATACAACATCAAGTACGCGACACGCATCTTCGAGCAAGCGACAACGCAAACGGGGGCTGTCACTGCACTGTAAGCTCCAACAAAGCTCCAACTTGAACGTAAGAGACACCCTTGACGCAAGCTAGATCTGCAAGATCTTGAGAATGACGTCAATTTTTAGTAAGGCGAGCAATCAGCCTTGTCAGAGGCATAAGATCTTAACATTCAGCTCTCAGCTCATGCCTGATTATAAGACAATCAAGATTGAAATCCTTTTAAACATACAAAACAAGTCGACTAATCACAAAGCACTCAGTCAAGTACTCAATTAGGCCTTAGCATTGGCCGCATCGCGTTCAGCCTTGGCCTTGGCAGCCGCTTCAAGCTCAGCAAATGTTCCACTTTTGAGACACATCGTCCTGAAAATACCATTCTCCTTCTGGATCAGATTCAAGGGTGTGTCGAACTCCGCAACCTGGAGTCACAAATGAGTTGAGTGTGAGCCCGCACAATTTATTATAACACGCACCTCTCCTGCATCGAGCACAATTAGACGGTCGTAATCAATCACAGTGCGTAATCTGTGCGCGACTAAGAAAGAAAAGCATAACATCAGTGAATACCAGCCAATCCCCCAAAGTAAATCACTAACCCGTGAGCAATAAGGAATCCGTGAATTCCTCCCTAATCGTTGCCTGAATTTTGGCGTCGGTATCAAAATCAATGCTGCTTGTTGCCTCATCAAGTACAATAATCGCGCTCCGCCTAAGCAACGCGCGCGCCATCGCGATGAGCTGCCGTTGACCCTGCGAGAAGTTTGTGCCACCTGCGGACACCTGGGTATCGAGTGTGATGGTCGTCTTGGACTCCACTGATACGTCAGTGACAGCCACCGAGGCAGCAGAAGAGGCGAGACCCTCAGGCGTGGATGCACGAGATGGTGTGCGGGAGTTGTGCAGAGATTGGTGAGCACTTTGACTGAGCATTTGCACGCGGTACAGCACGTCCAAACATTCGCCATCTTCATGTTCACCTGAAAGAGGTTCGGTATCTATATGCCACAACCAGAAATGTTAACGCACCGAACGGATCAAGGTTATCTCTCAATGTGCCCGAGAACAGAGTCGCATCCTGCCGCTAGATCAATCTCATGCGAGGCGCGGCAACACAATATAGACTCACCTGAGGAATAAAAGTCTGATATACAAATTAGCAACAGAATATACAAGTAATACATCGCAAACTCACCAGACGAGAGCGAAGGTCATGGACACCAATCTTAGAGATATCAATCCCGTCGATCAGAATACGACCGCTGACAGGATCGACCTAACAGATCAACTCAGCAAACATAGACCGTCCTTTACCAAGCATCACCTACAAAGCGAAGAATACTCATCGCCAAAGTCGACTTTCCACTACCTGTGCGTCCCAAAAGCCCGATTCGCTCCCTCGCACTCAAAGTAAAAGAAACGTTATGCAAGACAGGAGGGAGCTCAGGCGAATATTTGATGACTAGATCCTCGACGGTTAGCAACCCTTCCTTCGTCGAGCTAGAAGGCCAGTAAGCAGGAGGACGACTAGACTCGATGATGGCAGGAGGCTCTTGCGGCAGATCGAGGTATTCTACAACACGCTCGACGGAGCTGAAAGGGCGAGACGGATGCACATGAGCATAAGAACATCATAAATCAGCCCCACATACTTTAAATCAAGCTCAAGTGCAGTCCAGAACCGACAAGCCCAATAAACACTGCTGGTGAAGGTCATAGCACTCGTGATACACAAACCCGCGGTACCAGCTGAGACATAGCCTGATAGCGCAAGGAGAGTGGTGGTCAACACAGCCAACCCACCGAGCCCATCAAAGTTCAACAAGAGCCATCGATTCGTCATCCAGAAATTGTACCACATCTGTCACAGCAACCGTCAGTGTCATCGTACAGTAAAACTGAATTTGAGTCTACCTTGGTAGTAACGTCGATCTTGTCGTGTAGGTCGTCCAAAAAGCGCTGTTCAGCAGAGAAAGCCCGAACCGTAACAATACCTTCGAGCAACTCGCTAAAACCAGAGAAGATAGGCGACCGGGAATTAGACTCCATACGACGAAGATCTCTGCCAGTCTTCAGATACCCGAGAGCTAGCAGGCGGTAGAAGAAACCTATGACTACAGCAGGGATAAGGAAAATCGGGAAAAAGACACTAGGAAGTCAATGTGTGAGCACATGATTTGTTGAGACGTGAACAGTGACCTACACGACGGTGATAATCGCAGCCGCAAACGTCGCCAATGAAGAGTTGACAGCTGATAAGGAACCCGCGAGATTGGTATCAATAGTTTCAATATCCTAGAGACCACCTCGCGTGAGTTGACGATCCAAAACTACAGTGCTTTTAGCCTTACTTTTCCGAACCTATTGAGCATGCGGCCAGCCGGGGTGACATCATGCCAGCGCATCGTGGCGTGCACGACGCCCGTCAAGAGCTTGTGGAAAATAGACCTCGATGCTTTCAACGCTCCGTTGTACTGAATAGCAGTCGACAATATGCTGACTGTCGCGGTGGCAAACCCGATCATCGCATAAACACCAACGTAGAATAGCGGGTGTTCATGAACGTCAGGCAACGTGATGGGGTTGAAGCCAGAGGCATTAACATGGAAGTAGTTGTTCGAGTAGTGTCGATGGTCATGGTAGGGCACGTAGCCGTTCATCAGCGCCTCATTCTCGGTCAATACAGAGGGTGCCATGATGTGTGGACCTAGCTCGGCACCATCGCCATATGCTTGACCCCATTGCTATGACAAACGTAAGATGCCGATAATGAAAAATAGCGTATCGACTAACCCGAACCCAGAGCTTCTCAGTAACACCTAAGGTCTGCGAACAAGCAATGAGAATCCCAAGCATAAACCACGTTCGGTACGACCTGCCCGTAGTTAGCCATGCAACACTTGAAATGCAACAAAACCCTTACGACGCCTTCAAGTACGCATTATAAATTGACCACTTGACGCCTCCAGCCTCCCGGTGCTCATCCTTCACAAGCTTTCGAGGCTTTTTCTTTGATTCTGCAGACGTCTCTGCCTCGGCGTCGTCCTGCGCTTCGACGGGGGCCTCGGTGGCCGCTATAGGCTCCTCTTCTTTAACTTCCGCAGCGGAATCCTGCGCAATGTGGTCCAGAATGCCCTGCGCACGGAGATCTTTGACAGTACCCTGGGCATCGATGCAACCATCCAGCATGCGGACGAGGTAATAAGTGCCAGGGAGCACGAGCTCTACGTGGTGAGTGACTAAGATCTGCGAACAGATTTAACACCGCGTTGTATCATCATGAATGACAGACATACCACCGTACGGTTTGCCATCAACGGTCCGCGGAAGAGTCTCTCGTACAAGAACCGGGCAGTATGACTGTCCTATTCACAATATAAGCACGAGAGCGCCACACGAAGAGACAGATAGTGACACTCACCACAGCACTCAATGGATCATCCAACATGACATACTTTGTGCGAGCATACACGGCACGAGCAAGGGCAACACTGAAGACCATGAGCATTCCAAACAAAGATATAAAACCCATGCCTCACCGAGCTTTTTGGCCACCCGACAAGCTGACCCCCCTAGAGCCAATCTCAGTATCATCTCCATCCTCCAAGATATTCAAGTCCGGCAGCAGCGCACAGCACTCGACGACATCGTTGTACCTCTCCTCATCAAAAGGTTGCCCAAACAGAATGTTATCTTTGATGGATTGATGACGCAGCCAAGGTGATTGAGCAGCATATGAGAATGAGTGCATAAATCCGTTTTCGTCGATTTTCGACGTATTCTTCGAAATGGTCAATTTGCCGCTGATGGTAGTCATCTCGCCCAGCAGTGCCATCTAACAAAGCGTCATGTGAAATTTGGGTTAAATGGAAGGAACTTCACTCACGAGCAAAGCAGTTTTGCCACTCGCTGTCGGTCCAGTAATCACAGACAGCTCACCCTCAGGAAACTGTATCGAAATATCCTTGAGCTCGAATCTATGATCCTCGGGCGACGATCGGATGGACGCGGCCTCGGAATCAACGGCAGTCACACTTCCATCGCCCGAACTGGTACGGGAGTGGTTTTTGCCCTTCGCATTTGAATTTTCCTCAGGTGTCTCGGGAACCTCATTCCACTTAAAGAACCCATTCTCAATTGAAAGGGCGTCATCCTCTCCATCGACATAGGGTGCGCGAGCCTTCTTGATGGAAGACACCTGCTCATCGACTTCGTCCTCCTCGAGGTATTTCTCGATACGTTTCAACGCAACGCCAGTCTGAAAGCCCGCCATCAAATACAACTCTTTAAAAATGAATGATAACATCACACCTGTAGGATTTGAACAATCCAAGCTGGGATAACATTCAACGGCTGACTGACGCCCACATAAGCCACAGAACGAGATAAATACATCATTCACGACTTACCGAATCATGCTGAACAGCGCGATGGACTGAAAAACTGCATCAGTAATCCCACCTAAATTCCACGATCACCAAACTAACCGTGAATGCAACAGACACAGTCAGCTGGTTGCCTTGGTACACGAAGGTGAAGAACGATATGAGCGACACCAAAATAGGAGCGGAGGTCCAGATCGTGGAAAACATCACTGAGTTGATTCGAGCTAGTGAAATGGCACGTCAGTCGACTTCCAAAAAACGACGATGCGGCAATTTACCCTTCACCATCCAATTCATCTCCACCCCTCGTGCATCCATGGTCCGTTTAATCCAGCGGTCCTCCCATGCGAAGAACTTGATGAATTTGACAGCACTGATGAGCTCGTTAAGGACAGCCATGCGTTTATCTCGGGAAGCAGAGACACCCTTCTGAATGCGAATGCTGCGTTTAGTAACAAAGCTGTTCAAGGGCCAGCCAGCGAGAAGAACGACAAAGCCCGCAAATGCAGATATTCCCAGAAGACTGTAAATAGAAGGTGAGATGCATGAATTGATTGACACGAGTGGACTTCCTTACTTGTATAGGAAGGTCGTAGCGATGATAATCTCGAACGGACCTATCAACAGCGATAAAATCAATTATAACACAAGGGAGGACAAATACAACTGACTTCCGTAGATGAAATATGCGCCAGATACCATCATGGCAATCCTGTTTGCATCTACAGCCATTAGATTGACGATTTTTCCGACATCCGCGCCAGCCTTGGGGTCATCCGCACTCGGATTCTCAACAGGCTTGATCCCCGCTTTTTTGTCGGCAGCCTCCTTGGCTTTGTCCATGTCGATAATGCCTGAGTAGTCCTGACGCTTGAGAGCTTTGTCGTAGATGGCAGCCATCAGCTCTACACGCATCCTTGTCGCTGCTCGCCGCCCAAACCACAGGTGCTGGACATCAGCTTCCGCCTGATGCGACATAAATGAGAGCTCCCGAGTGGATGACTTAGATACATACCTTTAGCATCGTGCACAGGAATGCCAACAAAGCGTAGATGTATGCTTGGGACCGGTTCTCTGCGGTAGGATCATCGATAGCATCAAGGATGCGCCTGAGAATCGTTGAGCCCGGTAGCAAGTAAATATGATAAAAAGTAGTACTCACTTTAAAAAGAATGGCGAGGCATAGGTGAATATGACGCTGACATAAGTCAGGCCGAAATCCAGTCTGACTCGAGCGTTGAGTGACGTTTTCGGTAAAAGAGGGCAAGGGGCTTACAGAAGATCCTGCGAGTTGGCAGCCCACAGACGGCGAAGGAGAGAAGAACGACTGACAGTTGACATTAACAAGGAGTCGCCTCATAGGATGACATATACGTACATGATGGTGCTGAACTTGATGAAAACCGGACGGGATTGCTGGGTGGGACTGAGTTTCCAAACGTCATCCTCGGTCATGGTCATGTTCGAGCCACGAGTGATGAGCGGGTAGACCCATGAGAACGTGATCCATTCCCACATAGTAGCATAATCTTCAGGCGAGTACTTGACATACTATGATGCGAGTTAGAAAATCAGTAAGTAGGCAATTAAAGAGACAGCAGCCCACAATATCTTCCTTCTTTATACGGTTGCTCGGCAGCTCAAAGGGCATGTTTCCTACGACGGTCATGACCACCAGAATGGCAACGAGATTGAAAATGAGGCCCAAGAATGGGAGGTATGGAGGCAATGGGACACCAAAAACCTCGTAGTCATACAAAGTACCGCCAAGCAAGATGATGCCAAAGACGAAGTGTAGCATAAACAGGGTGAAGAGATCGAAATGGATAGTTGGCTTGGGCCAGAAGATGGGTTTGCAGGAGGCATATATCCAAGTGGCAGCAATGAGAAGTTGGGCGATACCCGTCCAGATATCAGCCTTGTTCGTGATGATGTCGTATGCACCGGCAGCAGACCAAACGAGAGCCTGAAGCAAAGCGACAAACGAGAGTAGTACGGTGCGCCATAAAGGAACAGTGTTGTCGACGACAACGTCGCCTGATTTTTCCCCTTGACTATCTAGAGCTTCGGCCTCGCGCAAGGTCAAAAAACTGCAGAAGGGCAAATTAATAGCGCTGGTAAGTGGACGAACGAATGCAGGAACCCGGGATATGGAGAAGAGACATAGCGCTAAGATGAGCGCAGCGGGTACGATCGCACCAAGGGAGGTGCGCACACAAGCATCTGATAAATCAAGTGCATTGCTGCCTGGACACAATTGAACCACCATGGCTCTCCAGATAGGTTTTTGGACGTGCTATCCCGTACGACTTTGAAGTTTGAAGTAAGTCGGGATTAAAGCACGAAAATGCAGCGCCAGTGATGGCTCGCTGAAGTGGTAGTCGCAAAGGTAGTGACTGGTAGTGAGTAAACTCGTCAACAGAGACTACTTAGTAATGAACACGTTGAAAGTTCAACACGCTCGCTTATTACGGGGCCTTATGGGGCCTTCTAGGATTTCGAAATGCCGCATCTGTACCGCCGCATTGACCCTATCCGACAAATGTTTACTTCATCCAATCAAAGGGTTTCAATATGATTTTTGATAAGATAGCGGTATGTGGTAACTTAATGGGTGTGGCAGTAATCCAGTAGGGTACAGCAAGGCGCGGCAATTCAGAGATTGGGCGCGGAAGTGGTAGTTGCACGGAACTTGGTAAAACTGCCGAGCGAACCATCTTCAATCACAATTCTGTAGCACCGGGTCTGCAAGAACGGATACCACTGGTATGTATTTCATATATGGCCTACTGTCTTGTCACTCTAATGTATCAAGCGAGGGCATGAAAATCGTTTGTCTCAAACTGTCTGGCATTTTCGTGTGAGTAATATTGCCAGACGTCCTACTATCAGGTACCTGGGGTTCATGGACGGCAGGGGCATGTGTGATCTGGTTGGTCGAGACAATACCTGAGGTGGGTTAATCACAGCTCCAGCCTTCAACGTGCTGAGAAGTCAGTACTTACTGGTCGCAGGTGACCTTGGGGATTTGTCTAGGTGGTTGATTCAACTACTGACCTGGGCAGGAATTTACGCATTTTACGAAACTGATCCCGCATCTCATTTGATTGTGGTGCAGGCCGAAACTGTTAAGACGCGGTGCCCCACTGGCCACCGGCCCGCCTGTCCTGCAAGATAAGATAAGGATTAGTTGAGTTAATGTCTTTATGGTTGGTTAACGCTGGAAAATTTACACCCACCACATATGCATACAAACACATTGCGTCTCCCCAACAACACTCTCCATTAGATTCCTGAAACAATCCGCGCAAGCGGACGAGAAACGCGTTGCATCACCACAAGCCAATCAATATCACCATGATAGATAGAATCATCATCTCATCTTCGTTGAAATGCGCATCTAAAACGGCCGGCGACAACGGCTGACTGATGGTGCGCCTCAGCATCAGGGCATTCGCGATTTCAGAGAGTACATAGAAGGGACACCGGGCCCCGGTCCCATAGATTGGAAAGTACTGTCCTACTATCAGGCTCAATGGACACAAATTGGAATTAAAAAAAAACACGCAATTGCGTCCAAATCAGAGACAGAATTGCAACTGACTGTGACGGTACGCAGTATCAACATGCCTCATCACGTCAGCACTCCCGCAAGCTTGCCGCCGCGCGCAGCATCACTCGCGGCCGCGCACTGCGGCAGCAAGTGGCAAATGATATCGGCATCTTGCGCTCAGCAAATGATCTGCTTTCTTGATCCCGCTACCATTAGGTAGAGGGCCTTTCTTGTTTTTTTCACAAATAGACGGGGAATTCTGACGAGCCCATTAAATGATACCAAGTTCTCACGGTACCTGTGTCGGCATTAATAGGACGATGGTGTGATTACATCAGCATTGCGCCCTCTGTTACATTCGAAGGTCTCGACGTCGCCGCTTCGCGCTATCTGTCTGCTTCTTCTTCGTCTTTTGTTACTTCTCAATTTTAAGTCCACCGTCTTCGCCGACGAAGTGTTATATATTCCATCCCCTTTCAGCCTTAATTACTATATCGGATGGTTCTACGAATCTCTCTGTGATTGACACGGCGCCAAGCGATGTGGTTTTTGGTTGTGACTGGATGTCGTATTGTCGGGATATAACAGAGAATCATTGAGAAATCCGATTGCCTGCACAATATGAATGTTGCTCTGGTAAGTTTGTTGTAAGTCTTACAATTGATTGATGTCGTTATATGTTCAGATGATAACAATTCGGTATACGGATCTTCGGTCAACGGTCATATTGCTATCCAGCCGGGTTCTTCCAAGTCTGATGACTGTGTCAAAGCAGAAGGCAGGATCCGAGAGATATTGTTCAAAACTGCTATGTCGCCGTCACTGTTTTCAGCTGATGGTGTTCAATTATCACGAATCGCGTATGATCACGGACTGCATATAGAAGAAATGAAGGTCAATCTCCTGCGTCATTTTTTTTTCCGGCGTTTGCATCGAAGCAGGAGCTGTGCAATGTGCTCCTCAGTTGGCTTGCGCGTTGATTTCTCAGGGATTTTCAGAACAACGTTTATTACTTGGTAATATACTCCGTGAGGTTTTATCTTCTTTATCATCGGCGTTGTCTGACGCCTGTTTTAGGGATATGTTCCTGGCTGCGGGGGAAGAAAAATTGCTTATTCATGCCAATCGCGGAGATTTGATTCGTTTGCTTGCTGTTTGTTGGATTTGAGGCTTTATCTTATTATTCGTTCTAAGTAACTAAGTACTATTTAGGTGTGACTCATTAAGACAAAAGGTAGCGGGCTCTGCTACGGATGTGGCCCTACACGACTTATCGCACAGCGATGCAGCCACTCCTCTGATTGAACAGCATAGAATATCCATTTTTATCTCGAATACCCATCACACCATGCTGGACAATGACATTCACAGTAGACTCCGAGTGACCGAGTCCCAATATCATCAGCCAAGAATACGATCTTGTTCAAATATTCGTCCCTGAAGCACATGTTGAAACTACTAAAGGTCTCTTGCCCAAAACAAAGTTCGGCCTTCCTTTCAGTGAGTATTATGTATCTTGCACCATCGTCTACGCAGTATATTATGCAATCACATCTTGACCCTTCGATTCACCAAGCTATCTGATCAGATGGTTCTACTTTCCGAGATAATAAATCATCAGTTCCAAGAATTCCGTGACACTACGAGACCTCCCCAACGGTGATCGTTTCGACATCTAGCACAACAGGGCAGACTGACCATTCAATTGTACACACAGTTACCAACTTCAGTCCCACGAGATCATCATCGCCTTCTCTATGTACGTACATGACCCAGCAATAATAGTTTGCAGCGAGAACCTGGGGATACACACGTCGCTCCGGCCGGAACCTGCGTGACAGTATCGAGCGCCTATATTCACAACAAGATACGTCCTCGCGGAACTTGTCCTGCCAAAAACGCCCCGTTCTTCACGGGACATTCACGTGGTGACAAGCGACCTGAAAATGTAAGTTTGAATGAAATCAGGCGCTAAAAATCGTCAGAGAATCTAACACCATGCTCTCCTAGTATTTGCGCCACTGATCTAATCCCCTCTATTGCACGAGCTCATGGTACCCTGTTATCAGTCGGACCTTACTCAGTTCCTTTGACCAACTTCAAGCCTTGAGCCAACAAAGTCCGAACGGCTCTCGTAATGAAAAGACCCTCAAACTCTACTCAACATGTTCGTTTCAGTTCAATATTGCAGTCACCGACCGGTAAGATATAACTTCTGTATCCCCGCAATGTGCATGCTTCCCATCCCTTACTCCTTTACTACGTTCAACTTTGTCAGTTCGATCTTCTCCTCGTCACGTCTTTCAACATGTCAACTAATCTCTTTCTCGCATTTTTAGTATGTTAGCTTCCCTTTATTAATGCTTTGTAACAATGCAGACTTGGGGAATTTCAACTCTCTGAGCAAGTTGGAATGCGGGTCTGCAACGCGCTCGCTGCGAACATCCGCTGGCAGCATCTGCTAACTCCAGTAACCCAATACTATCATATTCACGCCATTCATTTTTTCCGTTGAATAGCAACTTAGCCTTGTCGCAGCGCCGCCACGTCACTCAAAATGCAGTGGCACCACGGGAATGGACACCAGCAGCGTGATTCCCGACATTACGTCGTGCATCATGAATCATGATGAACTGCAGCACCAGCGCCCCGAAGAATCGTACCGTTCACGACAGTGCCATCCTGCACACTTGCTAATGCCTTGGACCAGACGCCAGAGTACGGGAGCCATGTCTGTGGCTGCAGTATACTGTACAAGCACTCACCTGAGAGAATATATTATGCTGACTTTGATATGTTAAACATATAGTAGCACCACCCAACCGTCCGAATGTTTACCTGCCATGTCAACAGCACCACGTCGTGACGTGACTCAGCAAGAGAGTGGTGATGGAAACAGCACAAAGAATCAATGAAAAACACTAATGTGGCTCACTGAGGGTTTGAAGTCGTTCGAAGGAACCAAATAAGGTCCGGCTGATTACAAAGTACCATGAACGTTGAACTCTTGTTCGAAAGAACCGAGTGAAGTCTAACTGATACAGGTCAATCAATTTCACCATAGTAGAACTAAAATCATCTCATCTTCATTGAAGTGCGCGTCTAAAACGGCCGGCGGGGACAGCAGACTGATGGGGGTACGCCTCACATTGGGGCATTCGGGATTTCGGAGATTAGAGGGGACACCGGGAGCCCCATAGATCAGAAAGCACTGTCCTACACATAATCTTATCCTCAATGGACACAAATTGGAATATGGAAAAGTCCGACTGATAGCAGGGCACCAGAAACCTCAGGAAAGGCTGGGCGACAAAAATAAGCTCACCGATGTAATCGTGCGCTTTGTGGCGCGGACTCGGATAGCGATGGCGTTGCATTGCAGTACGGCATAGTAATGCAACCCAATGACGCAATGTCTCAAAAGCTAGGCCAACTATAGGTAGGTATGAGAATGTCCCCATCAGCTTTGCTGATACTGTACTATACAACGATTTGGGTTCGCGACGGCATCGCAGTTACTGCCACTGATGGAAGAGCACGTACCAACTAGTACCCATTGAGTTTTGTTATTCGAGCAACACCATACCTGAACATTAGACGACAGCTGCTCAAGCTTCACATAGGTTGGGCTTAGGCGTGTTTGGGCGGCTACTTCGAGCCACCATAATAATAGAGAGCAAGAATAGCGGTACAGGTGACGATCCAGCGCCTGGAGTCTGCAGGACTCGTGATCACTCAGATTGAGTTCAGCTGCAGAGTACCTGTCAAGTGTTCCTGTAACTCTTAACTTCAGTGATACTCCACGCATTATAGCGTGTGTTTATACAACAGCAATAACAAGATGGAAAGCCAAAATAAAAATGAATAACCTTGCAGTATTGTCCCACATCACCAAGGTCATAATTAGTTTATGATGTCGACGTCGTCTACAGCTTCCATCTTAACCCACATACCACCCTACATGGTAGAACCAGATTAGATAATTGTAAAGTATCTCGGAGTAAGACTTGCCATGGCATAAAGTGTCAAGTGGTTTCTCGGCCTGAATTGCTCGATAGCCTGCCGACCGTCTTTCTCAGCCCACCACGCAGGTGGGCGCATCGCCGGCTCGGGTGATAGTGTAATCTTGAAAAAGTTTTGCAGTAAACGAATGATCATGAACGACATTTCGTTGTATGCAAACTGAGGTAAAAAAAATGGGGGCATGAGATGAGATGGGTGGCAATAATGAATGAGCGACATACTTGTTGCCCTAAGCAAATTCTGGGTCCCGCGTTAAATGGCAGGAAAATGAAGGGATTGGGAATCAGGTATTTCTTCACGCGCTCGTCGAGCCATCTATCCGGATCGAACTCCAATGCTAGAGCACGGAGTCCGATTGAATCGACAATGTGTACGTAAACGAATTAAATTTACTTACCGTCTGGTCCCCACAGATCAGTTCTCCGGTGCATAAGGAACACTGAATAGTAGAGCCTGAAATTGTTCAAGTAATCATGCGATGAATCTAAACGATCGAACATGATGCATACATGGTCCCCTGGGGGATAAACAGTGGCTTCTTCCCATGTTCAGGGGATATCCATGTGGTCTCATGTACGTTTTCCCTAAAAGCTCGTGGCTTAAGTCTAGCATTTTCGACGCAGCCTAAGGACATACCTCACATCAAAGGGGCTAGGCGGTTGTTGGACGATGTAAGATACGTCCGAGATCAAATTCAATTACTTACACAGCAGGAAAAAGGCGCAGTGTTTCTAAAATAGGTGAGCAACATCCCCACGAGCGATGGGAAACGACAATATGCACCATTGAGGACCGCTCTGAGATACTTCATCTCTTTGATATCATCATATGTGGGTCTGCGAGTCAGCCCAACCTTCGATATGATTTCTTCCCTGAGTCGAGTGAGGAACTCCGGATGCATTGCCAACAAATAAACAGCTGATGTTAATGTTGAGGCCGTCTAATAATCATCCTTCGTTACCTGGTAGGATGGTTCACGAGTAAATGCAAGCTTACCGTATCTCTTCCGGCCAGTAATATATTTAATGTCTCATCTTTGATGATTTTGAAGTCTGAAAAGGATATTGCAACAACAGAAATTCTGTCGTAACATGCTATCTCACCTGACGTCAAATTTACGAGATGGTCCACAAGAGTTTGGTCGTCTGCGAATTCATTTTTGTTAAACTCGACAGCCGTGCTATGCTTCTCCAGAGCGTCTTTGAGAATCGGATCTAAAAATGCATCTACCACTTTCATATGTTGCGCGGTGCTGTCAGCAAGAATCTCAGTGAGTGGCCAGGTCTGCCCGGTAGAAACACGCCGATTTATTCCCTGTTGAGCTTGAGAGAAAGCATATGCGAAGGCGGCGGCAGCGTTGTCTCCTTGGTTAGTATTTGTGGATTCTGTTGCGTTATGAGGGTAAGGGAGTCCAGCGGAAAGCGAATCGATACAGTGTCCAAATAGGAACTCCGATGCAGAGTCAAGTGTAAATCTAGAGATGAGATCCTGTGGTATGATTAAAAGATGTCAAAATTCCAGCTTGAAGGAGCCCGTACTTGGAAGTCCACTGCCAAGCCCGCTCTGAAACGTTCCTTGGCCAAAGCGATAGCATGATCCGCATGACGGTCAAAGATGTCAAAGTGACTTATCCGATCATGAGTGAAGAATGGCCTTGTCATGGTTCGGTGAAGCCTAGAAATACATAGCCTAAGATTCATTATCAGAGGTAATCTTCGAATTCATGGCTCACTTCCAGATTTCACCTGGTGGTACAACCAATCGGTCAATCTGTCATAACATAAAAGGCCCGCCAGTGCACGCTTACCATCTGAATTAAATACGCCCGTTCCAAGGACAGAGTCGGCTGCTTCTCTGAACTTGGTACCTGCATCGAGTCACGTGTCACATGTTAACAGGTGGTATCTGAGGTGCATACCTTTGACATAGTTATCGAAGTCAGTTGCGAGAATGGTCTATGTGTCGTTCGATTATAAAATATCTTCTAATATACATCGAAACTTGCCTTGATGTGTTGTGGTTCCGTGGTCACGATAAGGTCCTCCCAAAAAAAACGAAGATTGATAGTCGGCCCGAGTACCTTGATCTCGTCCTCTATAGGTCGTCCTAGACAAAAGTATAATTCCTTAAAGCACGAGCATGGAATGCATGAAACGGAGACTGTACCTAGGTATTCATTCTCGTTCCTCAGGACCATATTCACTACCGTGTCGAGATTTCCAGGCCATTTACCCCGGACACGAGGAACAAGTCTTGCACCGAGTCGATTGGCCTTTCGTTGTTGCGATCTCCCATCCACAAGAACGTACGCCACGAACCCGAGAGGCGCAGCACCCAAAACCACCGCAGATATAAGCCATGGAGAAACTCGTACGCCTTTTAGGGAGGCCAGGCGTGCTACGATAATGACTGAGGAAGCGGCCGGAGCAACGATGGAAAGCAAGCCCCGTGCGAGATACGCTACGCCAGGACTGACCCAAGATTGGGACATAGCTTGAAGTTTGTTACTAGTCGGTGACCCAGATTGGCAATATTTTATAAAAACCAAGATCGGTTGCTTATAGCCTAAGTTATAGGAAGGACCCCTGTGGCAATGCTTGATGTGATTTTCTAGTATTTGACAGCTTATGTTCGATAAAAATCGCAAATTTTCCTACTTTTTGTCCCTAGAAAGTCTAGGAATTTGAATTTCCGCAGTCCGGATCTGTCCGCAGTAATCAGTGATAATCCAGCGACCCCACGCAGACTCACGCTTGTCAGGACAGTCGCACAGCACATTAATGGCCATTGGTCACTCCTTTGATTGCATGCGACAGAGACAACGGCATGGAATTTCCATCTTTATTTCGATCAGCCATCACACCATGCTGGACAACGACGTCCACTTGCAATACTATCAACTAAGAACACGATCTTGTCCTAATATTCATCCCTGAAGCACAAGTTAAAGCTACTTAAGGTCTCTTTCGCTCAAAACAAAAATGCTATTAACTTACCTCCAACGTTGCACTTGCAAAATCGAAATGATCCTTTCAGTGAGTATTATGTATCTTGCACATCCGGTCCAGAGCTTGATGCACCATCGCCTACCCAGTAGTATACTGTACGATCACATCTTGACCCTTCCTGATCCACCAAGGTATCTGATTGGATGGTTCTACTATCCGAGGTAAGAAATCATCATTTTCAAGCGTGCGCTACGAGAATCAACGGCGATCGTTTTGACATCTAGCACAACAGGGCAAACTGATCATTCAATGTTACAAACTTCAATCCCACGAGATCGTCATCGCCTTTCCGATGTACGTACAATAATAGTTTGCAGCGAGAACCCGGGGATGCACCCATCGCTCCGGCCAGAACCTGCAAATGTAGCCCCTGAGCTAGCTATTTGTGGCCGAGAGACAAACTTACTTTTCTGCATCTTTACTTCTGGTATTGTATGTGATCATTCGTTCCGACATTCTGCTCACCTGCTCGGTGCCACAACTTGCAGTAAAGTCTGGCGAGGTTACTCTCAAAAGACCTCATCCACTTTCACGTCCCTGCTAGCGTCTTGGCCGGACTAAACGTTAACCCTCCATGTACGGAAGACCCAAGGGTGGGGAACACCCCGCGTGACCGTATCGAGCGCCTATACCCACGTTTTCGCGGAACTTGTCCTGTCAAAAAGTCCTGTCCTTCACGGAACATTCATGATTGGCCTGACGTAGTGACAAGCGACCTGAAAATAGGCTGAAGGTGTAAGTTTGAATGAGAAATCAAGCGCTAAAAATTGTCGGAGAAGCTAACACCATGCTCTGCTAGTATCTGCGCCACTGATCCAATACCCTTTACTTCTCGAAGGAAGAAACCGAGGGATAGGCTGAGCGACAAAAATAAGCTCACAGCTCACCGACGTAATCGTGCGTTTTTGCGACGCGAACTCGGATAGTGCATGTCATTGTATTGCAGTACGACCCACTGACGCTACGTCTCGAAAGCTAGGCCAACTATAGGCAGGTATGAGAATGTTCCGATCTACCCCACATATTTATACAACAGCAATAACAACAAGACAGGCAGCCAAAATAAAAATGAATAACGTTGCAGTATTGTCCCACAGTACCAATATCATAATTAGTTTATGATTTCGACGTCGTCTACAGCTTCCATCTTAACCCACATACCACCCTACGAGGTAGAATAAGATTAGATAATTGTAAAATACCTCGGAGTAAGACTTGCCATGGCATAAAGTGTCAAGTGGTTTCTCGGCCTGAATTGCTCGATAGCCTGTCGACCGTCTTTCTCAGCCCACCACGCAGGTGGGCGCATCGCCGGCTCGGGGGATAGTGTAATCGTCAAAAAGTTTTGCAGTAAACGAATGATCATGAACGACATTTCGTTGTATGCAAACTGAGGTAAAAAAAAATGGGGGGAATGAGATGGGTGGCAATAATGAACGAGCGACATACTTGTTGCCCTAAGCAAATTCTGGGTCCTGCGTTAAATGGCAGGAAAATGAAGGGATTGGGAATCAGGTATTTCTTCACGCGCTCGTCGAGCCATCTATCCGGATCGAACTCCAATGCTAGAGCACGGAGTCCGATTGAATCGACAATGTGTACGTAAACGAATTAAATTTACTTACCGTCTGGTCCCCACAGATCAGTTCTCCGGTGCATAAGGAACACTGAATAGCTGACCCTGAAATTGTTCAAAAAAATCATGCGATGAATCTAAACGATCAAATGTGATGCGTACATGGTTCCCTGTGGGATAAACAGTGGCTTCTTCCCATATTCGGGGGATATCCATGTGGTCTCACGTATGTTTTCCCTAAAAGCTCGTGGCTCAAGTCTAGCATCTTCGACGTAGCCTGATGAACATACCTCACATCAAAGGGGCTAAGCGGTTGTGGCACGATATAAAATACGTCTGAGGTCAAATTCAATTACTTACACAGCAGGAAAAAGGCGCAGTGTTTCTAAAATAGGTGAGCAACATCCCCACGAGCGATGGGAAACGACAATATGCACCATTGAGGACCGCTCTGAGATACTTCATCTCTTTGATATCATCATATGTGGGTCTGCGAGTCAGCCCAACCTTCGATATGATTTCTTCCCTGAGTCGAGTGAGGAACTCAGGATGCATTGCCAACAAATAAACAGCTGATGTTAATGTTGTGGCTGTCTAATAATCATCCTTCGTTACAGACAAGGATGGTTCACGAGTAAATGCAAGCTTACCGTATCTCTTCCGGCCAGTAATATATTTAATGTCTCATCTTTGATGATTTTGAAGTCTGAAAAGGATATTGCAACAACAGAAATTCTGTCGTAACATGCTATCTCACCTGACGTCAAATTTACGAGATGGTCCACAAGGGTTTGGTCGTCTGCGAATTCATTTTTGTCAAACTCAACGGCCGTGCTATGCTTCTCCAGAGCGTCTTTGAGAATCGGATCTAAAAATGCGTCTACCACTTTCATATGTTGCGCGGTGCTGTCAGCAAGAATCTCAGTGAGTGGCCAGGTCTGCCCAATAGAAAGACGCCGATTTATTCCCTGTTGAGCTTGAGAGAAAGCATATGCGAAGGCTGTGGCGGCGTTGTCTCCTTGAGTAGCATTTGTGGATTCTGTTGCGTTATGAGGGTAAGGGAGTCCAGCGGAAAGTGTCTCGATACAGTGTCCAAATAGGAACTCCGATGCGGAGTCAAGCGTAAATCTGGAGATGAGATCCTGAGGTAGGATGAAAAGATGTCAAAATTCCAGCTTGAAGGAGTCCGTACTTGGAAGTCAACTGCCAAGCCCGCTCTGAAGCGTTCCTTCGCCAAAGCGATAGCATGATCCGCATGACGGTCAAAGATGTCAAAGTGACTTATCCGATCATGAGTGAAGAATGGCCTTGTCATGGTTCTGTGAAGCCTAGAAATACACAGGCTGATTCCCCATCAGAGTTAATCTTCAAATTAATGGCTCACTTCCAGATTTCACCTGGTGGGACAACCAATCGGTCAATCGATCACAACATGAGCCCGTCAATGTACGCTTACCATCTGAATTAAATACGCCCGTTCCAAGGACAGAGTCAGCTGCTTCTCTGAACTTGGTACCTGCATCGAGTCACGTGTCACATGTCAACAGACGGCATCTAACGTGCATACCTTTGACATAGTTATCGAAGTCAGTTGCGAGAATAGTCTATGTGGCGTTCGATTATAAAACATCTTATAATATACATCGAAACTTGCCTTGATGTGTTGTGGCTCCGTGGTCATGATAAGGTCCTCCCAAAAAAAACGAAAATTGATAGTCGGCCCGAGCACCTTGATCTCGTCCTCTAAAGGTCGTGCTAGACAAAAGTATGATTCCGTAAAGCACGAGCATGGAATGCATGAAACGGAGACTATACCTAGGTATTCATTTTCAGATCTCATGACCATATTCACTACCTTGTCCAGATTTCCAGGCCATTTACCCCGGACACGAGGAACAAGTCTTGCACCGAGTCGATTGGCCTTTCGTTGTTGCGATCTCCCATCCACAAGAACGTAAGCCGCAAACCCGAGAGGCGCTGCACCCAAAACCAATGCAGATATAAGCCATGGAGAAACTCGTACGCCTTTGAGAGAGGCCAGGCGTGCTACGATAATGATGGAGGAAGCGGCCGGAACAACAACGGAAAGCAAGCCCCGTGCGAGGTACGCTACGCCAGGACTGACCCAAGATCGGGACATGGCTTGAAGTTTGTTACTGGTTAGTGACCCAGATGTGCAAATAAAAACCAAGGAGTACTAGCACTGGTCCACTTGAAATTGACACCTACACAGGTGGTCACTGGCTGCGGGTGTCCAACTAAGCGTTCAAAGACTGCGCACAATTTCACAGGCACAGGTGACAGGGGCCTCTCAACGTTAAGTTACATAAGCTAGTACTAGGCTATTTATGGTATCGCATCTAGACTTCTAGTAGTACTCATGGTCAGAACGATGGGTGAGTCTAAACTGATAGGCAACCTATTGCTGCAGAGGCAACCTGACGACCCTGTAAATGATCACTGCGGGTCTGCGCCAACCTTTTGGTTCCTCTAAAACTTTCTATCCCCGAAGATGATGCCCGAGCACCTGCCCAATCAAGTTGAAGCTTGACAGGCCAGTTCGTCCTGGTGATCATACGTGGGGCCGCCACTAGCATTTGCTTTGAAAATAGTCCAGAGTAACCGGATCATACCTCAAGCACTGACACGCGCCGCAACCTTCTGTTCCTCCTCTATGATGGTGTTTGACAACTCAAACTAAGGTAATTTTCTCTATGTATGGTCACCAGCGTGGGGAATGAAACCCATAGGAATAGAACTTTCCACTATTCGACCATGCGGACGTTGGCTCACGTTACTCGAAAGCGGAGCAACGGAATCAAATGTTTTGTCAAACGGTTTTTATAGCTGATAGTTCTCTGTATTGACCCACAGCTCTTGTTCATCCTCCCAAGTTACATCTGGATTTGAACTTGCTGTCATAATCACTGCCACCGGAAGTAAATCAATATGATCACACCCGGAATCTCTTTCCTTGGTCGCACAGTCGTATCGGCAGGCTCTCTATATCTGGGCACTGTCTGCTTAACGCGGTTCGCGACAAAGTTGGGAATATCCTTGCCATTATGGATATTACTACTGGGTGCGACCAGTATTTTTGCATTGCGCATCCTGTATGTCGGTATTGTTCGCCGCCGACAAGCTGCAAGGATGGGTGCCCGCCTTGCGTCCCCTCTTAAGGGCAAACGATTCGGTAACCTTGACATCATGCTCAAGCTGATCGATCGATTCAATAATGGCTATCCCGGTATGACTATCTGTAATTTCCGCTCGTTAATTTTGTATGAATTGTTTCATCAGGTGATGGATTCGCAGAGTTCATCGCAGAGTCCGGAACGTGTTTTAACCTCCATGTCATGTTCGAGGACGTCATATTTACCGTGGAGCCCAGCCACATCAAGGTATACTGATGTTTTCTTCATTGAAGGTATGGCACTGACTCAATGTCCATCCCCAGACTATCTTAGCATCCGATTTTGAAAACTACGTCAAAGGTGACGAGACGATCGTAACTCCAGTGATCGGTGTCTTAAACGTTCTATACAGGGGATAAGTTCAGGCATACGATGTCGAGTGTCCTCGGAACGGGTGTATTTAATTCTGATGGTAAATGAACTTCTACTCAGTTCCCGAACGACTAACAGCGCGCTAAAAACAGGTGAAATGTGGAAATTCCATCGTTCTATGACAAGGCCTTTCTTCAGCCATGACCGAATCAGTCACTTCAATACCTTCGATCGTTATGCCGAAGACGCTATCACGCAGATGAAGGCGCGTTTCCGTGCTGGATATCCCGTTGACTTCCAGGTCAGTTGCCAAACATATCTTACTGATATATCGCAATATTGACACAAATTCATAGGACCTGATGTCGCGTTTCACGCTCGACTCCGCCACGGAATTTTTATTTGGCAATTGTGTACACAGTCTTTCCGCAGGACTACCTTATCCGCATAACGTCGCAACAACGGAAGCCCTTACTGGGAAGGCAAAGATAGCTCAAGACTTTGCTCAGGCGTTCGCAGATGCGCAGACCATTATTGCCCAGCGTCCCCGCAAAAGTTGGCTGTGGCCCTTGTTCGAGATCTTCAAGGACGACACCGCAGCGCCTATGCGAATCGTGAACTCGTTCATTGATCCGATCTTGCAAGAAGCTATTGCCAAGAAGCAGCCTCATGCCAGTGAAAAGAAGAATGTCGATGACGACGATACGACATTACTGGACCATCTTGTCCAGATGACGACAAGTAGGGTGCCAGCACTCTCGCGTACCACGAAACTGAATTTTCTGGTAATAAGATCCCGTGGTACTGAAAGATGAGATCTTGAACATCCTGATCGCTGGTAGAGACACGGTAAATCTACTGTTTGGGTTCGCCTGAATATCAGCTAATTACCATGCATGTAGACTGCTGGGACGCTTACTGTTGCCCTGTATCTACTTTCCACGCACCCGCATGTGATGACCCGGCTGAGAGAGGAGGTCATGACAAAAGTTGGACCTACCGACAGGCCGACTTACGATCACATCCGTGACATGAAGTATCTTCGTGCTGTTATTAACGGTATACTCAATTTTTTGTGACTTGTTTTGATTGACTTCTGACATGTTCGCTTTACAGAAACTATGAGGGTTTTTTCTCCTGTGTAAGCCATTTGAATAAGGACTCTTTGACCAGTCTGATCGAGTTTTTCAGACCTTTTAATATTCGGTACGCTCAGTGTCCTACATTTTTACGAAATGCTCACATCATGATAGCGAAAGTGTCAAGGCATCCACTCTGCCTGCAACTAGTTCCTTGGATACGCCAATATACGTCCCTCCAAAGACAAGGTACAGTAATATTTTCCTCCCAGAATTTCCAACGTAACACAGATAATGGTTTAGTATCGGCTACTCCGTTTTCCTAATGCATCGTAGAAAAGATCTTTGGGGCCCTGATGGTACGCATGCCATTTGTTTCAAATGATTCATCTACACGCACTGACATTTTGCCAGCCGATGAGTTCGATCCCGACCGCTTCCTTGATGAACGGCTACATAAATATCTTACGCCTAAACCTTTCATATTCCTCCCCTTCAATGCCGGTCCCCGCATCTGTCTTGGGCAACAGGTGATACTCCGCTTCCTATTCCTCACTTCGAAATTGTCCTGACCTCAACTCATAGTTCGCTTACAACGAGATGTCATTCATGCTCATCCGCCTCCTCCAATCCTTCTCTTCTATCACTCTCCACCCCGAAGCGCAACACCCAGATACTCGTCCGCCTGCTGATTGGGCTCAAGCAGAAGGTCGCAAATCGCGCGAACAGTTCTGGCCAAAAGTACATTTGACGATGTATGCTCATGTACTGTGCTTTCCTCCTGCTTTGTTTCTGTATTAATAACTTAATTTAATAGGGCGGTTTATGGATCCGCATGACTGAAGCTGAGAACGCTGATTGAATAACATAATGTCATATTAGGGAAGTGCACTAATAGCACCGTAATCACATCGAAAATCATCTGTATTATGATCAATCTTCTGTCTCTCAAACTGTAACTATGCTGCCCTGTCCTTTCAATAGTGACCTGAACTTCGTTGCATCAGTGCTACCATGGATATGTTGTATCGTAGCGTTAATATAAATGTCAATACGTAAATAGTACAATCTCGCGAGGTCCACTCCTCCACACCTAAAAGAAAGACTATCCACAGCCCCCGCTCCACATCATTCAACTTCACATACTGATGTCTACGCCCCATTCATCTGACGTCACCCTCCTCACCTGACGATGTTACGCATAGACAAGTCTCCTCCGTAGTTTGTGGCGCGGCGATCCCAGCGCCCATGCATCGGATCGTGGAATGCCTTATTGGCAATCGCGAACAGCAATGACATCATAAAGAGGGCTAAGACGAGGATCCAGCCTAGCCAAGCGAATGCGAGCAGCGCAGTGAGGATCCTACACGTGCTGTACGTCCAGCAAGAAGAAAGGTTACCCCACCTGACGTCAACATCAGGTGGGTTGCTGGTGTGCTGCGCCACAGTGTGAATATAACGAATCATAGGGGAGTGGATGAAATGACGTACTGTGGCAATGGCAGCGCCGACGAGCCAAAGGAGGAAAAGGACAAACAACCCAACGAGCTCTGCTGTGAAGGTGTTCATCCTACGATGCTCGTGTCTGCCGTGTATAGTTCGGGCACTGATGCGAGTGGGGTTAAACTTGGAGGAAATGTGTGTGTATCATACGTACATAAACGCGGACCAGACTATGGTGATGATAGATGTTACGAGCAGTTCAACCACGATGTGATCTTCACGAGCTTAGGTGAGGGATCGGGCGCTTGGATGATAACGATAAACATACCGTAAAACCGGACGCCTCCGTTCAGAGGATCAAGTGGCGACAGGTGTGTAGTGTAGTGCAGCCTTACTGCGCACAGCGCCATAAGGACGACTGAAAAGATAAACTGGATACTGAAGTCAGCATCTCGCAAGACATGCGTTGGACTCGCAACTTACCAGGAGGAAGTATACGAAGACTCGTACGAAGTGGATCATGGCGGTAGTGTGTAGAGGATGACTCAACAAGGTGTGTTTGCAGATATGTGGGGCTTTATATGCACTAGAAGGGTAGGCACGAGGCAGCGGCCTTCTCGCCTGCCTAAATGAAATCATGCGGCATGTTTCCATTCCCGCCGCCGAAGAATTACAAATAAGTAATGGGGCCTTGTGTAATGTGCTCGAGGGAGTGGGTGGCGATGGAGATGACGTATCAACAAAACGAGACTACAGCGAACCTAGGGAGCGGTGAATACTTCACCGTTGTCAAATCCATGGAGAGAGGGTTGTGTTTGATCGCTGGACAAGCCAATCAAATTGTCAAACGCAATAATTTGAGACCTGTGCTTCTCGGAGGTGTTTGCCACGTTCATTCGCCTCGAGGCTTTCAATAGTGGCCTCATTGAGGTCATGCGCCATTCCACGTGTATTGGCAATCGTCATCATTTGCGTCATTGGTGCTGTCCGGCGAGCGCAATGAAATGTACGTACTGTTGATATCAAGGGAGCTGTGAAACCGGTTGCCGAAGTTCTCACTTCATAGTAGACAGAGTCGTCGACTCGCAGTCGTTGACAATGGAATTGCAAATCCAACGGCCCGGATGAGTAGAAGAAGCTCGAGTCCAAGTGACATCATGTGCTTCTAGAACTGTGCTCGCCGCTGCAGAGGACATGAGATGAAAATGCACCGAGGATGAATTCATTGAATGTAAACCTTTCATCCGTTATGACTCCTTTCCTCAAGTTCCTGCTCTCGCATGCACAAACGATCTTCTCGTACCTTCAATTCTTCTTCTCGAATGTTCAGATCTTCTTCCCGAAACTTTAAATCTTCTTTACGCAGCCTCAGACCCTCTTCTATCGTCGTCAAACCTTCCTCTCGTGCCATCACCTGATCCTCCCTGAGTCTCAACATCTTCTCAGCTACTTTTAGCCTCTCCTTTAGTGCTTGGCTTTCGCTATCAGATACATCACCTTGATCCTTCCGGTTTTGCTGTACTTGGCACATGTCGATGAGAATATGTAATAGGCACACTGAATGAACGTACTAAATGGTCTGATTCCGTCAAAGGAGCTCCAGTAGCACGAGCGTAGATAGTTTCCTGATCACTGTTGGAGGACATAGTGGAATTAGTGGGCAAGCAGAATTTGCCAATTTGGGGTTGTTCCTGATCCAATCTAAGCCTGGACACATTTTATGTAAATTGAAAGGTTTCGTCGCCACGTCGCTCGTGAAAATAACGGTTTATATGTACTGTGCGTGCTAACTTCAAATTATCCTACAGCGAGCCAACAGAGAGCTACAAATTTCTGTAGCCTTGGTCAGTGTCATTCACAATATTGAAGAGCATATTGATCAGCTGATTGCATGTAATTAGCGCCGTCAATTGCAGCGTTGCCGCAGCGCGTGGGTACACGTTTCTTGTTGGTTATCATTATTCCCTACACATCATTCACGCCAGCGCTTTCTCCCGCATACCCTTTCAGTCCTGTCATTACCGACTCTAATCATAAACATTTGTCATGCCTGTAGTCTGGCAGAGACATCCTCGATATTTCCTCCTCGTGGCCTTGGTTCTGACAACAACTTTCTTCCTACTGAGTCCATACGAATCTCCGCTCTCCACCGACTCGTATGCTGCCTATATCCGTGACGGTACCCTTTCAGCACGACTTGAGCGAGCAGAAAGGGTCTATCAGAAATTAACAGCTGGTCGCAAGGACCTAATACAAAGATATGGCACAAGCTCTCGCGACATCGTCATGTACGTCCCATCGACTCACTTGTCCTGTTGTGGAGAGTTAAATACGTTTCAGGTTTCCACCAGACAAAGATCCATGGCCAGCATACACCGTCTGTGAGTTTGGTCGATGAAGATTTCCGTTTGCCATTAGGCATTTACCAACATTCTCAGGGAGCTTCTTTCCTCCGTCTTTCGACTGTCCGCACGAACTAGAGCGTATAGGTGCACTGGGGGATGGCGGAAAGTGGGTATGCGGCATGTCCCGACTGGAGCACAAACCTGACTGTATCATATACACTTTCGGTGTGCCTGTTTATTCATTTCATTTCGGACTAGTACTCATTTGCACTTGCGTAGGTATGAATTATGAAACGTCATTCGAGGCGGAGCTCCTAGATCGGACGCGGCACTGTCAAGTCTGGGGATATGACTATCGCTCCAACTCGTTTGGATCCAACATCAAGAACAACTATCGCGCACACTTCTTTTCATGGGGCCTTGCCAACCTCGATGCGCATGAGTCGCACAATACTCCTAAGCTGTATACTCTCAAGACACTGCTTAAGATCAACAGTTCGTATGCCCTTCTATCTCCGTTCTACTTCCTGCTGATAAAATGCTCGAATCAGAGCATGAGCATATTGACGTGCTCAAAATTGACATAGAGGGTTGGGAGTTTGAGACACTCTCACAGATCATCCAGCCATACATCTCGTCCGGGGAACCACTACCGTTCGGACAGCTTATAGTTGAGATTCACGCCTGGGACAAGAAATTTGAGGATTTCTTGCCTTGGTGGGAGATGCTAGAGCAAGCTGGATTGAGACCATTTATGAATGAGGTGCGTACCGAATCTACGCATCGCACATTCCATCCAACATCGTATTATTCAGATAAACCTCGTATACCAGAACTACAACCGAGGGAAAGACACAGATCTCGCAGAGGTTTGTCGAGTTTCGATATTCCTGAATATGAACTAACCAGCCCCGCAGTACTCCTTCATCAACATCAAAGGAAACAACATCTTCATCTCGGACCCGCAGGGTGCTCCTGGGTATTCGGATGTTAGATAAAAACTGCGCTGATTGCACTTCGCAGTGTAATAGTACACATGATGGAGACTCCGTGGTGGCGTGGATATAATGACATAGTGGACAGTCATTGGTCAATTTTGTGTGAATACACACACTATGGATATACGCATGTATTAATGATCGAGTATATGTTGCAGGTCCAGTGCAAGACAGCGCTGTAGTGCTCCGCTTTGGATGTGCTTCCTTAGAATTTACAGGTACTGACCGCACCATAGCGGAAACCTGTGTCTTGTTACCTGAAATGACGTTCTTGCTGTATTTTGTAAACGGCATATCTGCTCTTGGGTCTCGGGCTCTTTCGGGGCATCGCTTTCTCCATCATCGGCTCAGCGATTTATGCCAAGCATGCAGGGGTGTTGACAGTCCTGCTTTAGAACTCAGATAGGTCTGCCTATGCAGGCTAATGTCCGGCATTGTACAGGGTGACACTGCCACGTATGGATGGATAGTTGATATCTTCTATCCATCAACTGAGACCAACTGGCTGACATTAGATTCTGGTGATTTCTCGGTGACTGTGCACAACAAATGCATAGCCAGCCAAGTCTAATTACCAAGGGCACTACGGAGGCCTCAAGGTGAGCATTTTCCAGGAAATGTCAAGTTATTTTTAGTTTGGGAGGTCAAGTGGGCATTGAGCGCCAACTTAAAAAGCCAGGCCTAGGGTCCAGCTGGACCCCCGTGCAAACCGCGCCAAAAAGATTTAATACCGATAAGCTCCTTCCTTAAGCTTTCCATCACTTGATCTGTTGGGACCTGAAACCCCGTATAATAAATGCCTTGTGGTATACAGCCACTTCAAAACGTGTTCTTCTTCTCTGTACGCTGATTGTTCGCTATGGCGGTGGACATTCATGATACGTTTGGTGAGTGTTTTATCCATGACATCGTCCCTAGGGGTGCAATTAACATTTTTTTAGGCGCAGGGTTCATCGGGGGTATGGTGGCTGCGATGTACGTCGAGAGTCCGTCTCCTTCCGCCTGGACTTGACAATGTGATCGGATAACAGCTTGTATGGCATCACGACTCTGCAGGTACGTCGCATTTCGTCTGTTGAAGGTGGTAGCACTTACTGATTACCTGCGAACCCCTGCAAGACATACTTGTATTATGTGTATTACCCCAGAGACACCGATGGCCTGAAAGTACTGGTACGTCGTGTCTAGTTTGTGCTACATTCTGGCTTTTTACGGAGGTGTTACAGGTTGCGTCCATCTGGTAATTTTCTTTGCGTTTAGTGGATTATACTTTCCTGATTGCTTCGCAGGGTCATCGACACTTTACACGTCTCCCTTAGTGAGTGATATATTAGCGCCTAAATTGACATTTACTGAATTGATTCCCGTTCAAGTGTGTCATGCCCTGTATTACTATCTTGTGCGCATCAACCAGATTCTCGTGTTTACGATTCTGATTCAGTATAGGTCACGAGTTTTGGTGACCCAGATAACCTTGCAATTGGAGTTTGGTATGTACTTCCAGAACACCCCAATGTTTCAGTGCTGAGTCGTACATCCTAGGTCCCTTTTCGTGAGTGTTTAGCGTTGTGTAATTCCGCATCTAACATATGGGAATCAGATATCGCTCGGTCTAAATGCAAGTCTTTTTCCACCTGGGAGTCTTCCTGAAGCTAACGTTGGCAGTAGCTTCTCATGGCTGTGCTCGTGCAAACGTGCGTGACGGTTCCATTAATGGTTTGCAGAGATGTATCCTGAGTGTCTTTGTCAGATACTTTGCTTTTCGAATATGCTACTGTAAGCGTTTCGTTTCAGTTGATTTTCTTGTCTTGAATCTTTCTGGGGTAGTAACCCGCTCCAATATTCGATGGTGGTTGACATCCTTTCTTGTAAGCTGAAGCTCTCGGGTTCATATGGTGGTTTGGTACTGAATGGTGTTTTTGTCATTTCAAGATGTTGGTCGTTCTCGCACACTTCGGTAAGACTCCGTATATGACTTGTCTAAGCAGCTCATTGATCGGAGATTCAGCCTTTGGATTGGGTAGGCTTCCTTTTCTCATTTCACTCAAACAATGTGCTGAGTCAAAGTAGAGACAGTTATCCTCATGTGAGTACTCTCTTCGATGTGTATAAAATGTAATAAACATCCTCTCAGGTTCATCAAGAAGGAATTCAGCGCGCTTTCGGAGATCACTGTGCGCTGAAAGACTAGTTTGACTAGGTGTCCTACTGACAGTTTCCAGCTCTATGCTGCTACGCCTTTCGCTATAACTGCTGTTTTGTCCGATGTCTTCATTGCTTGTTCACTGTGCATTCTTCTCCACGGCAATCGCAGTCCTGTTATCGAGTAGGTCTTAATCCCCCATTGTTGATGTCACTGAGATTGATATTGACCATTAGGACTAACACGCTCGTCAATACATTGATCATATACGCCATCAATCGTTGTCTACTGACTTCGTAAGTCCTTTGTCTGATAGACATGAGTGATGGTATTCATCTCGCTTCTTATCTTCTAGAGTCGTTGCCGTGGCCGAAGTTATCGCAGTAAGTTCAGGCGAACGAGGCAGGTCAATACTTTCGAAGCTAATATTTGTTTGCCGCACAGTTTGCTATCATCCCAGGCAGTCTGTGGTTCATCGCGATAGATTTCGTCATCGGAAAGCGTGAGTGTAAATCCTGTATCTCGGGTGATAAGACATCTCACCCTTTTATTCTGCAGTATACGCTAATTCCCTCCTTGCATCCCTAAATAGCCGAAGTGCCCTACGAGGGCGTGATCACACTCGCGATGACGGCACTAGTTTCCGTGTCAACACCATCAACCTAACTGGCCTACAGTCCTCAAGCGACAGGGACAGCAGCGGAGGCACGCAGAGTAAAACGACAGCCAGCACCGTCTCCGCTCGTGCCCGTGTAAAATCGGCTCCAGATGGAGATATCGCCCAGCTTGAGGTGAGTTGCAGTTCTGCTTCTTCGGTTTATCCCATCAAATGACGACGGAAATGAAGATGGGTAACTTGGACAAAATCTGATGTTTGTGTTTTGCTGTGCATGATTGCAACATACTCCTTATCTATCGACCTAGCCCTAGAGCGCTTCGTACTTCGCCATCATCATTATTATCACTCATCTTCATCTTCATCATGGGATTCTTGTTGTTGACATCACTCTTACTACCGTCTCGTCTACTCTTGCTTGTATCTATGTAGCTCGATACCCCCCAACTTGAAAAATAAGCATATTTTCATTAATGACGTGTGAGACGTGTGATTGAACCGCTGTCGAGGAACCACGTCCGAGGCCTAGACACGCTAGATATGTAATCATTAAATGAGAAGGAATGGGCACAACACCGCCATGTCTCCGCCAGCTTGGCGCCAAGTCTCCATGTTCTCTGCTCGAGAGTTAATACCGTAATTCGGACGTCGCCGGACGAACCTCCTTCATTCAAGTTGGAATTTGGCAATGACCTATGCATGGCGTATCTTCAATTATTGTCGAGGTCGCAGGCGTGGGGCTTGTCTACACTTTGGACGGGCCCAGGGTTATCATGGACAGAAAGCCTTACAAAAGTTAGATGACATGTTGACTCTCGCTCCATGGGAAGTGAGCAATTCGTAGAGGCTTTGACACCTCGGGCCCGGGAGTCGCCATCATCACCCGGTCATGCGATGATTCAGGTATACTGGCTCTAGGCGCCCAACTGGTTTCGAGAACACTTGTGTTGGAATATCTCACTCTGGGTTCGTCTGCCAAAATCAAATGATTGCTGAGTTTTTGACCACTTCAATGGACTCTTACTTTTTCTCAAGCTCAGCTCCTGAAATAACATATGAATGCCATGAGCCCTTAAATAATACCATGCCGATCTTTTATAATCCTCCATCGTGGCGCCCGACTTCCGGGATATCATCGGACTACTACGACTACAGCCGCAAAGTGGGAGCATCCATGCAATCGTTTTATGTTCCGCTGACTAGTTCCCAAGCTTATTTTAATCAGTGACTGGAGACGCATGTTTTTGTTCTTTTTTCGCTCCCTAACTTGCATCAGCCCACAGGAATCGGAGCCCTGATATGCATCACCCAACCCAACTGTCCTTTTGCGACCAACGAAGTTGGTTTTCTCTCTACACGGTTGATGCCGACGTAGTTGACACGTATTCCATCACTGGTTAAAGTCGCATGCTCCCATGCACATGTCTAGACAGGATGGCGCGCCAAGGGTTGGCTATTCGGACATGCATGAGTATGTGACCGGTGAGGTTACACACATTTCCTACACGGTTCAACTAGTGGAATCATCGGAACACATTGCGGTACCGAATTCTTTTCTAAAACAGTAATCCCGTTTATTGTTATTGTAGACTTGGTTAATGTTGAAAATAGGTATTGTGTTATACGGTGTGAATGTGGTCGAGAGCGAGGGCCGAGTCGTCTCAGTACCAGAAGAGTGGGCGAAAGACAGTGCACTGGGCTTCTGCGATCGTGTTGTCACGGCTTCGATGACATGAGATGCGAAGCATGAATTGTGGGCGATGTGCAGAACGATTTTTTCGAGCGTGAGGTACGCATTATATTCGGTTTCCTGTCATGGTGATATTCACTATTGTCACAGCCCAGTATCAAGCGACGGGAGAAAGAGAGCACTTGCCTCTGATATCTTCGATGATTGCAGGGTAATCCACTTGGTGCATACCAGATTTCTCGTAGTATCTGCGGCTGTGCCTGTGTGTCGCGACTCGTGAGCAAGAGTGGTTGACTAAGCTACGGGGTGCTACTCGCCTGGTAGGCTAGGGGTCCCCCACTCCGATCACCTTCTGCCGTTTGGGGGATTGACACCAATCAGCATGGGCATGTCAAGGTCTTTGAAAGACACCTTTGCAGCCTGCTGCAAACTATATATGCCCCTAGGTGTAATCACCCCAACCTCAAAGTTGTTCGCAAGTAAAATCTGCTTCGAAGGCCGACGACGACGCGACATTATCTCCAGCCAGAGCGAACGCTTCCTGAGTGACCTCATCCACAAGTGCACGGTCACCTGCAAAAGATGCCGAGGGTGCTGAGATGGTTTTGGTGAGATGCCCATAGTGGATGGAATATACGACGTTGTCGGATTGGCTGGATATCTCAAAGAAGGAGGGTTTGAGATGGAAGTGCACAGTAATGGAGACCGGCTGTTTGCGTGGACGTCCCCAGCAGTCTGGGCCAATGTTTGCCGTAAGCTAGATGATTGTCGAGAACTTCGTTGTAGTTCTGAATCGTGACAGGTGTCTCTTCGGAAACGTACGCACTTGCCAACTCGTTTCCCTATCCAAACCACAATAAGTCCTAGGCATCCACTCAGTACATTCGACTCACAAAAATTCTTGGTCTCTGATTCGTAATGGTGTCGACGAGCACGACGAATTCCGCCATTGTGGTGTCCCACCAACTCATATGCTTGTCCGACTTATCTGCGCGTTTCCCTCGATGTCAATCTGTCGCTTCCTGATCTTGTAGGGTATGCTGTAGATTATGGGCACGCTCTTACCTACAGGTACCGAATCCTGAGGTGGAAGTGCCCCATTTTCAGTTGTTCCACACGAAGGAAACATCGCACATGATGCGCTCCACATTCTATCCAAACGATCCTGCCACGTAAGGCGTACGTGATTTGACGTGAAGCTCCTTCCCCACATGGACGACGTCACCATGCGGACAGTGCACCTTTCAATTCTGGGTCATGCAATAGTGCTATTGGCGGCCCAACACCAGCCAACACATCGTACTCGACATCACGAAGGAGAAAGACTTGGTAAGCTAGGAAACCAGTCCTCCATGTTGATATTCACGTACCTTTAACCAAAAATAGGAGAACATATCGTGAACATGGCTGTACCCACAATTTCAACTTTCCTTGACACTGTCACTATCGGAGAATTCGACGTATTCGATTGGAGAATTTGAGCTGATGTACAAGTTATCTACTCGCCCTTGTATACTTTGGTATTGCCGTGTGACGAGTGTGATTATTTTTTGCAATAAGTAGAATCGATCATTTTGTGGCATGAATCACGAGAACAATTATTCCTGCTCATGAGATCCGTAAGCGACGGTCACCCCTTGAGAAGTGGACGATTCTTACTGAGAAATGGAGAGTTGCGCTGGTCGAGAATGTTGGAAGCCGTCTAGAACGGCTGCTCCGCTAAAGTTTCAGAAATTTTGACAACCAGCTCATCGCGAGTTCGAAGTTCAGCGGCAAAATAAGCCTTCACTCCTCCGACACCCTTGGATTTCACCACGCGGACGATATCATCATACGCGTTTGTGTTTCCAGCTCGTTGAACAGTGCACATGAAATCTTTCTTTTTGTTGTATATGAGCAAGCCGCCCAGTCCCATTGACGTCGCAGTCGGGGAGAACGGATCTACGGGGACTTGCACCTTGATGATCATGGACTTCTGATCAAAGGACATTCGAGTATACGGAGCGTTTTTGGGTGGCTTGGACTTGGCACTCGAAAGGCCGAGGGCTTCGCGAGTGAAATCAGCACGAGATATCGTAGACGAGAAGTTCCCATAGGTTGGCTTCAGCGTGACCGTGGTTGATGTGGAAAATGGCTGGCATAACGGTTTATGGATTTTCCAATGCATACCTGACATAAATCGTGAGTTGGGAAAACACATGAGAATGGCAGTAGTCTCTTACGTTGGCAGTCAGACGAACAATATCGGACTGTGTGACATCGTGCACATTGCTTCAGGCCTCTCTCTTTTTTCTTGCAGTATTCGCATTCCTTCTCTTCCCATAGGGCTTTCTCCCCTGATCGCTTCCTTTCCCACCGGCGAACCGCCGCCGTGACCTGGGGACCAAATACAACACATAACGCACGGGGAGAATCACCATTTCCGTCCTTAATGTCCAGATCAGCGTCGTGTTCCATTAGCAAATCTAGGATCGGTATATCTTGTCCCTGGAATGGGAAGAATAGAGGGACTTCGCCATAACGGTTTTGGACATTCGGGTTAGCTCCACCTTTTAGAAGTGCCTTGGCAAGTTCAAAATGTCCAAGGGGAGGAGTACATGCATGGTGGAGGGCTGTGTGCCCGGATATATCCGGCAAATCCGGTGGTGCACCACACTGAAGAAGATAGTTGATAACGTCAAGGTGCTTGAGAGAATTTGGAGTGGCTCCACTGATTCGCTGTGCGCCGAGAACAGTAAATGAAAGAAAACCAATTTTGAAGGGCGTCTCAGCTCCCGTTATATCAGGAGCAACCCCTCCGCTGACTGCCTTGACTGGGGATTCAGTATTTCAACCGCGGCATAGAGATAGAGACGAACAGCTTTGACGTCTTGAATTTGCCCTGTCATGCATGCGAGTGCGAATGATGAAAGTTTATTAATATCCAGTTCGCCGAACTCTGCATGCTCAGCGTTAGTGTCGTTCTCAGGAAGGCTGGAGAGTATAAACTGTCAATCAAAATCCGAGGAACGCACGTGTTTGAAACATAGTCCTAAGTTTCTCGCTACCCATTTTAATGCTAATATAGCCTGGTTGCTTGAGGATGACCTCCATCTCCGCTGTCACTTTGAGCCCGCCATGACCTGGCGTGTCACAGTTCATCAAATTATCATGGTGCTGGTGAGAACATAACTTAAAGATCTGCCAAGATGAGTATTCTCACCTCGTTCCATATCAACCAGCTGTATCTCCGTTCAGTTGAAAATAGTGCACAGAGAGTCACCGACGCTTTGACGGAGTGGGTCACTGGCAAGCCGCTAATTGAACTGATTAATGTGGACATTTACGTAAAACCACGAATTGTTGTTGAACTTGCTTTTGCATTAGGTGCAACGATTACACCTCATCACCATCACTAAGACTCAAATGATTCAGCCTATATGAAACCTTATGGTCGAGTTTCTGGTGGATGGCGGCCCTGCACAGCCGACGCGCACAGGCACATATCCTTCAGTGCTTCTTTCGTCCTTCTGTTGAATCTCTTTCTCATGAACTCTGAATCTGTCCCATCGCAAGGCTTAAGTATTTTCCTCTATCACCGGTTGTCCTTCGTCCGCATGGCCTCTTGCGCACTCCACGGACATTCATGAAGTATTATTTGAGGCCGCCGGCTGCTCTCTGATGTTCAGCTGTCAGACTCTGGCAGGACCCTCCAAAATGGCCCTGAGTCAAATAGAGCGTCAAATAGGCAAAATCGGACAAGGGTAGTCACGTGTCGCTAGCAGTGAGCACTATTTCGCTTTTGGAGGGTAAAATTTAAGCATGCAATAGTCTAATAAAACGTAACGAGCCAGAGGAACCAAGTTTTCAACGTTGTCAACATGCGTCCACCAGGAATTTTGAGCTTCGGCAACAGTAGTAAGTGCATTCCACTCCTTCCCCGCATCAGGAGATAACTTGCACGCTCGTGCACCAGACCACGGTCGCCTACAAGCGATTTCTTTCTGAGGTTGAAAAATGGGTCGTGAGTATGAAGGTCGAATGCGCGCTGCCGACATGTGAAATGCGGCGCTACCTTTGATCACAATCTGGGTCAGAGCTGTCACATCGGAGGCCTGATTGGTGCTCATTTACTCATTGATCATACATCATGTAGCAAGTTTGAAAACGCCCGCCCTGAAGGCCTGGGATAGGCAAAAATTAGGGAGACATTGTGTGTTCAAGTAACGGAGCGCTCGCATGCGAGGCGTCAAATAGGCGAAAAATGGACAAACAAAATGTAAGATTGGGGCCTCAAATAGCTCGCACCTCTAAAATGGCTGCACGGCACTCACATGCCATATAACAATTCCCCAAGGTCATGGAATACCGGTACGTACACTGTAACGGTTTTTCCCTTGTGTCTAATCTCGGGTAGTAATCTCGAGTAGTCTATTGGGTTGTCAATATTTGTCAGCTTCGGTACCGACTCAAAAAGTCAGTGAGGTTTGTTCAGGCTCTACGTCATAACGCTTTTAGAACATGCGGACATGTGGAGGTCCTACTTAGGTGTGAATTTTCGACGAGCGACTTGCGGATCAGTGCGGCGCCTGGTGCCCTTGAGTATTTGTTGCCGCATCACCTTCTAGCTTTCAGTCCAGCACTGTAGTAGCAAGATAAAAATGGGTCAACCTATTTTAGATAACCCACCGTTTATTTTTGGCATTACCAGTCGAATTGATTACGCAAGACATAGAGGCACTGACAATTGAGTTTGATGTCCCCTGGGCCCCGCTGATACTCGCGACGGTAGAAGCGACAACATTTTCCGACTGCCAGGCTGATACCCGCTCGCCTAGATCCAGTTGTGTCCGAGTCGGCAGTCGGATGATGAACATGGTAAAGATAGACAAAATCTGAAAAGAAGATGAGTCGGTCGCATTCACCTCATATATAAACACACCCATCACTGATCCCAGCTGCATCTAAGCTTGTCTACGATGAAATGCTGCTGTGAAACTCATTAGGATAAATTTGAACATGCATCTGCGCGGGCAGGTCGGCGCACAAGTTTCTGTACGGCCTCCTCACTTATGTGTTGGAAGGCAGTCTTAGGGAGCATGAATAACCAAGCGGTAGCAGTGCCCATTTTGTTGTTCCGGATCGGAACTCTGTTTTTGGAACGCTTAATTCCTCGCAGTGAACTTCGACCTGTTCTCAACTTCTCATGCATGTCCAAGTGCTGATTCCGGGGCATGGTGTCTCGAACGGTGCCACTCGACCGGATGAATTACATCACCTTCCCAGGTAAATTCATATCCGCAAGCTACCAATTCATCCTAAATACTCATACCGCAGTACAATCACGATGTGGCCAGAAGCGAACTCAGTTACCATACCCCTGTTGCGGAAGTCTATTTCGGAGCTTGAAGTGAAGAGCTTAATCCCTTTCTGGCGCGGCAAAAGCTGTCTCTCCGTAGGATGCTCCAACCGCAGTCTCAATGACAACGCCCGTAATCCAGACTTGGTTTTCATGTTTCGCGCAAAAATAAACTACTAGTCACGCGATGACTAGTTTCCCACGTCAACTATACACCATGATAATTAACCTGCTTAACCTGTTAGCTTTTCATCACGATCCGGATTAGTTGTAGCTCATCTTGGCGACTCTCAGTCCGGTAAATCTTTCTCAGATCAAGTCATGATTGCACTAATTCAGCCATAAATGTTACCGCTATCGATAGCAAGTCAGAAGACACGTTGTTTGGTCGAGCACCTTCCGGATGATTGTGATTCAGGGGTAAGCAGACTAATTGGGACTGCACTTAGCATCATGTAGTGACAGAGTTGACAGACGGTTAGGATATTCGCTAGGTGTTCTGCCGCGACAGTGCTAATTCTGGACATTTGACGCAAGGACCCACCAATCAGGATAGTGGCTCAATGATGTGGGTCATAGTCAATCGCATGTCACTTTGTTGAACTAAAATCTTCGGCATGCTGCCATGCTTATTCAATAGCATCTGACACACCCGACTTTTTTCGTGGGGAATTTACGTGGATGAGTACTCAAGCTCAAGCTGCAACCTACTCTCATGTAGGACTCGGATGCTGTGTTTAATGTGATACTCAACTTAGCTTGCGTCTAATGACCCTTCTCTAGGACATAGTCCATGCGTTAAGTTGTTCAAATTGACTACAAAGGCGAATAATATCACACGAGCTTTGCCGACCACTTGATTTTGGTATGTGAGAAGTTTCGCCGATCTATCTTCTCTGCCTATTCGGACGATCGGCTGATCGGTACAGGGTGTTTTTACGACAGGCAGAACTTTGGCGCGCGAAACGCTCTGGAGCGGGTACCTGATCGCGGGTCATCGAAACAAGGTTTGTTCGTCCTCATGTCAGGACTTATTATCCACGTTTGTTCGAGATCTCCGTTTCCGCTCAGTGCCCATGGCAAGCTTGCCTGAGACTATAAAGCTTCTCATTTGAGTGGCGGGTTTTGATCACTATCTCAGATCCCACCTAAAATGGCTTACTATTCCAATTCACCTGTTGTCCACAACGGACCTCCGACCCATCCTGCATTACGTGAGTCGTCCTTTCCTCTCTAGTGGCTCTGTGTCTTACGAACTACAAAGATGTCCGGGATGCCAAAGATGCGCACGTTGTCCTCGAGGCCGTGCGTCTCAATATGTTACCGTTGATCAAGCGGCGACTTACTGCTTCAGAAAGAGAGCAGTTATCTTCCGGGAACGTCTTCGTCTGGGAGGAGGCTGAGAACGATGGAGGACTCCTACGCTGGACAGACGGGCGTAGATGGTATTCGATATTGTTTTACATGTAGACGCTGTCATGACCTGTGTCTCCTAGGTCGCAAAGTCGGATGCGTGGTGACTACCTATTCTACGAGGAGAAGATGGAGACAACTCAGGAAGAGAAAGATGCTAAAGCTGCTATAAGGTAATTTGTCGAGTCAGCATCTTTCTTAGTGTACTCACTGCATCGTAGAGCGCTTCGTACTACAGATCCACTCGCCGTGGCTCCTCCAACAAACAGACGAAAAGATCGTCCTAATCGTCCGAATGGTTTGACGAAACAAACTTACTCCGCATTAGTCTATCTTCCGGGCTCAAGTCTCCCGCGTAAATGGCATGTCGTTGCATACTTTACAGTGAGCTTAGTCTCCACAATGAAAGAAGATCTCTTGTTCATTACCGCAACAGGGGGATGACTATGTTCGACTTCCTGTCATCGAGAGTTACGATTACCTTCGAAATTTGAGGGTTCCCGGTGGCATCTTTGTCTCCAGCAAAGCCAACGGATCTCGCACCGATCGCTTCTCTTATACTACTGATGGAATAGAGCCATACAATTCGGCAAGTCATGGACATGGCCACCCAAGTCAGTATTCTATGCTGCAAGGGGTCCCCCGAGGCCCAATGTCTCCCGCTTCCTCTTCATCATCAATACCTTTATCCCCTACCCAGCATCATTCAAGACCTCTACCGTCATCGGGCGCCGCAATGGGACCTGGACGTGCAGAGACGTCCCTACCTAGCATTTCGATCCTGACCGGTCTACAGGACACTCCAGAATCTCGACAACCTCATTCCTCACCATCTGTGCAACTTGGACATCCCTCTCCAACGACTTACAGCCCCTTATCCGCAGAAGACAGACGAGTACTCAATAGCTTTAAAGTCGTGTTATAGTCCTTCCCCCGTCCCGGGCGTTAGCCTCTTTTTTTTGCCTCCAACGGTAGAGACTTCCTGCATTCATTTTATGTCCCTTGGTAACCGCAGTATTTTTCTCACTTATCTTTTCATTTGTATCTATACCCTTCCAGACCGTGCCAACCTCCCCGGTCTGCGTGACAATTAAAGGCATCGTAGAGAATATATCAAGCGGCGGTCGGTTCTTGGATAAGTCCTAAAAACCAGAACAGAGGTAATGAAGAGCATTAGAGCTAATAGTAATAGCGCTGACCTCCACACTCGCTTAGATGTTTAACATACTACTCGGCCATCTCCAGCACTGTGGGCTTCCTGTTCTATCCTAGTGTTCTATTGAGTCTCCACTTTTGCGCTCGGTCTAAATATGTACTAGTTATTTGTGACTTCAAGCATGTGGCGGCCGTGAGGATAGTGCGCTTCTTGGAATTTGAAGTGATTCATTTCCACCTGGGATTGCGGGTGCACACGCCGGGCGTATTCGTCGGATCTATTCAATCTTTCAATTTGGCCTCGCACTCCATTCATGATGAGACTCTTAGTGCTATAGTCACTAAGTACTCAACTACCACTGCGTTGCGCTGCCACGTTGGAGATAAGTCGTCTGACGGAGGTCTGGGCTCGAGTAACGACGGTCACCAGTAGCCGATGTAATACTAGTAGTTCATGGGAACTTGATGGAACATGATATAAACTAGTATAGACCCGGACTGATCCCTAGGTGAGATACTTTAGTTTGGTATACTCTGAATGAGTAATATCTGGCGAGCGCAGCCAGAACGGGCCATGATAAACGAATAAGTGACAAGCGCTATCAGCTCTCGTCTATTTTTCCTCGTCTTGATGTGACATCACTGCGGATTGCATCCTATTGCATCCACATCATGATGGATTATGTAATATCGATATCCAGGCATTAAATTGAAGTTGAAATTGCGGGACATTGATTCTACTCGGAAGGTTTCTTCCAACAACTCTATCCTTCAAGAGTAATTTCCACTTGTCACTTCCGAGTCTTTCATTGCACTTCCTTCACTTCTCTAAAATATTTTTGCTGATTGTCCTAAACAATTGTGGCGGGCTGTCCCGTGTTTGCTCGTCAATGTGTGAATTACGACCAGGATCGGGTCCCTGTTGAGTCATATCTCTATGCTCATCATGAAGAGCTCTAGCAGGTTTTCGGTAAGTAACAATTTTCTCATCGTTATATCTCCGTGTATCTTTCTATGGCTTTCATGCGGGTGTTTTGAAATGCCTGTGACAGTTAATGCTATGAAGAGGTCATCTGTACCGTTTTCATTCGACAACTGCCTGGTCACAGCCTCGGAGTTCCTCCCACGGGCTGTTTTTCATTTGTTCTTTCAGGTACCCGAGTCTGCATAGAAGAGGGAATGCTCATTTGGCCTCCTGCTACAAACATATATATGGTCAGGCACAGTTTCAATCACTTATAGTTTCTCGCCGCAGTATCGTTGTGGCACATGCCTAAACTAATTGGCCACAGCCAATCAGGCTAGAGCTCGTTATACCTATTGTCTTTGGAAGCTTGGAGACAAGGCTCGTGATTAATTGACTAGCAGAGAATGATATCATGTTCCGCTGAGTTCGACGGTATCTGACCAAGGCAGAAGTCAAGGAATCTCAGTAGGCCTGCTAAATATACAACACTTGATGTGTATGAGATACAACTGAATCAGGTCGGAAAACAATCGCGGCTCTGTGGTAGCTTACACTTCGCCATGTACCATCCGTTTACCCTGTTCCACTTTATCCTCCTTGCCGGTCATCTTCCCAGCAATTATCTTTGCCTCACCTCGGAGTTTATCCAGAAAACTCACCCGACGTTCCTTAGAGCTGTCCTGCAGCGCTCGCTGGAGGTGCAGATGCTGACGTCACGGGAGAGTCAGGCTGAGCTTTCGCCTGGCTCGTGCTCTCGCCAACGCGCGGCGGATGCAATTTCGCTGGGTGGTAATCGGTATCGGAACCTCCTGTGCGTGCTCCAGCTTTCTGGGTGTGTTTGGTATCCTCATCGTTACCCCTGTCATCAGTTACCTTGCCTACATCGCCCGTCATATTCTCAACGCTTTTATTCTTTGTTGACTCTTCATCCCCAGGCTGCTGTAGCACTTTGGCTCCCTGACTGTGTGCAGGAGCTTCCTTGTTATCGCGAGCATTATCCTCGACGCCCGCTAAGTTGGAACGTAATTAGCTTGTAGAACAAGCGTCAAACAACATGTACATACCCTCCTTTGCTGGATCACCGGCGCCTACTGCACCTCCCGCCTCAGCAGTTTTGGCCGCCTTACTCTCCGTTATCTTGCCTAGAGGCCGATCACGTATCTGAGCCGCTCCTATGGCGGCTCCGCCAACACCAGCTGTCTCGGCATCGTCTGAACGTTGCCCTTCCGGTACTTCGTTTTTCGGAGTGTGATCAACGGACACGGGCTTTGGATCAGGAAAGCTTTGCGGGGATATTGATCTGTTTGCTGAGTAGGCGATTCGTCCAGTTGTTGAGGGTCTATTTGCGTCCCCGTAATGGCTGGACTGAGCCTGAGAGGACAGATCCTTCGAAGATTAGAAGGCTACAATGACGACAACCGTCAGATTCTAGACGCAACGAGGGAATAACATATAACAGACAGACGAGGAAGCGTCCAACGAGGTTAACAACAAAGAAGCATGGCACTATCAAAAAACCCCAAAGTAGAAGATAGATAAGCATGGCATAGCCAACCGTCCCCGCATCAAGTTCAAATGCCCCGGGATATTGGCATCTCGACTTCTCAACATTTGAAGAGACAGTCCAAAAAGTAGCCGGGGTGGTAATTGCAAATACATTAGCTGTCATGACTGAATGTCACGACCAGAATAACAGAGAAAATGACTTGGTACGATCATGATCGAACCTGTCAGTGTCTGGTAATAAGCCCATGACATGCAGCATGCTCCCGCAAATAAGACAGAATTGGGAAGATGCCAGCTGCCAAAGGCAGGCGAGAAACGAAGAGAACGAAGAAGATGAAGAGAAGCGAAACAAACTAGCCCCTCGTCCGCGGGCACCACAATCTCCGAGTCAGCGCCGAAAATGCAGTGCATCATGGCTTGCATCAACTCGCTCAAAATAAACATCGAAAAAGAAGGGAAGATGTCAAGGTGGAGACAGACCTGACTTACTTCTGGCTTCGCAGCAACCGCAGCAGCACCAGCGCCCTTCGCTTGATTATCACCCTCGTGTTTGAGACTCGTCCTTTTCAATCTTATCGGTCTTTGAGTATCTCTCTCTGCCCGTTCATCGGGTAGTAAAGCGACGCTTGATTCTGAGATAGTTCCTGGCAAGGAACCAACACCGCCAACATGTTCGTGGGGTTGGGCGCCCTTTAACTCTGAACTTGGAAGAGAAGTAGACAGTTGTTGGTCCAACTCGGACTCGGGGTGAGAATGCTCGTCATTGGCTGGTAAAAGTCCGTCAGGGCAGCTCAGCACAAGATAGGGGGCACACGCACACCAATAGGAAGCCACCGTATTTTGACGCCCTGAGGGATAGGAAAGTATGCAGCTGCTGTCTGGCCAGCATACTCGACGGTGCGCTCCACAGGTTCCGATATGTACTGCCTTGCTGTTTGAGCAACTGAGGTGGCAGCCGCAGGGCCCTCAAATCCATCGCCGCAGGATTGATGTTGCAGCTCTTGTTCATGTTCCCTGGGATAGGAGCCCGGAAATTCGTGACCTGGGGTGCTCAAGTTCTTTGTGATTGTGACGGGGTGTTGTTCAGGCTTGGGCGTCGCCCTCATGGCGGGATCAGGGGTAACAATGTCGGACTGGAGTATGGATTCAGTTTTGCTCGCCCACACGGTAGGGGGCGTGCCAGCTGGTACAGGAGTGATTTTCGGTGGTAAGTCGCTCGTCATTCTGATGTTGACGGACGCGTCAGAGCAGGGACGAGGTTTTATACTGCCACGCCAAAAGTGACGTCACACTGGGGACCAATGACGATCACTAAGCCTAAACTTAAACATTGTGGGGCGGCTCTCCAACGTCCGCCGAGACCATAACATTACTCCACTGCTCGACTACTAAAGACCACATTGCTCAGTAATAAAATACATACAATGAAGACGAGTGGTGTGTTAACAAAGTGTAGGCTGCAGGCCAAATCAAACGCACGTAAACACACTCCTATACGAGTCTATGTGGTCTGCAAGGATTGTAGTTTCGCCTGTGTTTCAGCCATTTCTTCCTCCCAGGCTTTCCAGGCCTGCGGCTCCTTTTCCCAATGTTCATGACACTCATGACATCGTATGTAGTAGGCTGTACTCGTAGCACCATACCCCAACAACACACTGCAGAATCAGAGATACGTCAGGCGAAACCTATCAGTTGAACATCATGCACTTACAACTCAGGCAACACTTGCCCGACAGCATCGATCTCCCCTTCAGGCATACAGTCTTCGCAGAATGCTTGTGGGCATGTTTGGCACCTACACAATCTTAGATTGAGTCGTTGTTGAGGATATTTACGCACCTGAATAACATTCCTCCTGCTTCCAGCAGTGGAGCGATCGCAAGCTGAGCACTTGTGTTGGGGACAATGAATCATAGGTAGCTTGCGGAGTTGCGCTGCGGTGATACCATGACACTTGGGGTGAAATACTGGTGATTTGGTGTCAAGAGCAAGCCAACCACACGCCCGTTCAGTCTCACCTCGGGGACACGTGTTACAGAGGACCACGTCGCCGCCATCTCGACAATAAACGCACCAATCCTCTGTTTCGTGCTTCGCTTTCGACCTTCTTTTTTGAGGCCGGACTTATTTCCTGGCTGATCAAGGTAAAAGTCAGCACATCTTACTTTCTGCAGAGAACACCACACGAACCGCGCTCTGGCCCATATGATCGGCGATGACTGTGATACCATTCTACCACAACTGTCCTGTCTATGCGTGCCCGTTTTCTGCCAGTTCCTGCACTCCTGCGCAATCTGATGATTGTTTTGATTGCGTTTAATGAGCTTGCCCTCGAAGAGTCTGCTCTGTACTTGAGCGATGCCACTAAGAAGCTTTCGCTCCTCTCCTCTGCATCGAGCAGCGTTTTCTCATCGATGTCGATGTCTTCAGCAGTATCATGCGAAGATACCATCTCTTTCTTCAGCTTCACATCCCTTACTCCTTCCCGCTCTCGTGAGTCGTCGAGAATTTCTTGGATTGGCGCTTTGAGGAATATCCCCAAGTCCATGCCTACATCCGACCGAGACAAGGCGCTACTACCCTTGCGCAAATGTCCAGGAGCTCTGTAGTCTTCAGTTGGGTATTATCCTCGTTGGCAGAAGATGACGACGTTGAAGAAGACATGACTTTAATGATAGGAACATCTTGCGACGAATGCGGTCGAGCATCTGATCCTCGACGCTTCCACGACAAATAAGGCGGTACACCTACAGGAACAAGGTTTGTAGGGTGAGTTGTGACATAGCATCGGACACACCTTGACGGTTTTCGTCTGACCAATGCGATGGGCCCGAGCAATGGCTTGCAAATCGTTCTGTGAATGTTTCGACGGATATCAAGTAGATCTGCCCCAGAACGCTCACCTGAGGATTCCAATCACAGTCGCACATGATGACGGTTGATGCCTTTGTAAGGTTTATACCTACCA